CCGGTGGTAACTCTTGCAATGCATTTTGATTCCTTCTTTTTGTTTCTTTTCGTTCGATATCTGATTTAGGAACCACCCACAAAATGTGGGTCAGTGTTTCATACCCATCCACGCTGCATATTTATGTCACTCGGTTAAATAATCACTTGCTGCTGCTGCTGCTACTCCTGATTAATTATCAACAACAATGGCGAGCAATTTTCTTTGCTTTTGCGGCTTTTCTCCAATTTATACAACACTAACACACTTTTCCTCATCGTGATGGCCTTTTTATGATTACTCGCACTCATCTCTGTATACTTTCCGCTCGTATATATATATATATATATATGTACTGTTACAGATACATTACTCGTACGCCACCAACGTCTCAACTGAAGCAGTGAATTAGTCGCTTATTGTTTGGAGTAATTGTTTCTTGTTGCCGCCGCTGTTGTTGTTTGACTTTTTATCTGTTTTGTTTTCTTTTTTTTTTTGGGTTTCGCTTTGTAAACGAAAGTCAGTTTTGATATTAATTTTGTTATGATTTTATTGCACACGGTTGTTGTTGTTTTCAGCATTGTTTGGGTCAATAGCGGAAAATGTAATGCAAGCGGAAATGGCATGAAAAATTAATGTCAATATTTGCTTTACTTAAGACATCACTATAAATGGTAATAACAAGACAAATTGCGACCCAGTTAAGCCCAAACGATAAGATTGTTAAAATAACACAAGCTCATCTTACACGAACTGCTTATAATATTTTCGAATCCAAAAATCGGATTTTTTTATTCTTGTATTACTTATGTTTGATTATTGCAATAAAAAAGTAAGCGTTACGATTTTTTTCCTGGCTCAAAAAATGTTTACTTTTATAAGTTTTATTATACTAATTAATTATATTACAATATAAAAGTAAAAAAATATGAAAACCAGTCAAAAAGCATAAGAAAACTTACAAATTATAATTTATTGGCTTTTTTGGCGCCTTTGCCAATTCTAAAAAATGAGTAGTAACAACAAAAGACTTAAGAAGCAAACTTGATGTGGCAGACACGCCGTCTAAATAGTTGTTTGTTTTTTTCCTCTGTGCTTTTGTTTTTTGCGCCGTTTTCTGAATGATGACAAAGCCAACATGTTGTCGAAAACATCAAAGTGGCTCGATTATGACTGTTGAGAGCTCTTGTCATTTCGTTGCCTTCGCGCTTTTAATTGTGCTTGAAACATATAATCAAAATGACCTACGCGAGCATATCAAAAGTAATATTAGATGCGGAATTATAGGTGCTTTTGATTTATAATTCTGTAGATGCTGAGGCGTTTCTAATTGGCTGAAAGCCGCCATTTGGCAGTCAATGATGCCTACTTAAGTAGTGGTCTAATGAACGCATCGTTGGCAGCTTCTTCTTAAGTACTCATGAAATCCCTGGCAATGACACTCGGCAATTGCTGTCAGCCTGAGAAAAATGATACGGAACTGAAAGTTAACCAAAATTCCATAAATATATATATATAATATAGTCTATTGTATTAAAACATGAGCTATAAATTCAAATGACAACTTAAATAAATGCTTAGCACAAGAGCCACCTACTGTTGCCAACACCTGATTATACTATTAACATAAATGCTATAATGAATCACCCTAATAAAAACCAGATAAACAGTTCTTAAGAATTGCCGCACTATTTGATCCTTTGTTTAAGTGATGTCATTAGCTCAATTTAGATCCTACGCAGGCGTAGAATATATATCGGGAAACAAGTTCTTCTCGCAGATGTCTTAGCATGAACTTCTAAAGCTGATTTGCTATTTACACTTTTTAGCAAAACAAATCTGATAAGTTTATTGATTTGTGTATTGACAAACTTGTTCTCTCGAACGCTCATCTAACATATTAAACATATTAAAGACAATAATTAAGATTATTAAGTTTCTAAGCCGCTTTTAATTTATCTTTCGTTTTTGCTTTTGTCTTTTGCAGATGTTGCATCAAATTTTATGGCAAAATCCAAACAAAATGTATTTTTAAGCCATTTGTCATGCGGTCTGAAGCTGAAGAGTATAGAGGATTGGCTGACATTGAGTTGTTGTTGTGCATAAAATATATTTACAATGTTAATAAAGATGCTCCCATTTCTAATAACCAATTCGAAGTCTTTGGCAATAGCTGAAGTTAGATGCTAGCCAAAGCAAATGCCATTCAATGGCAGCCCAAAGTGTACCCTGTCAGCGCATGGAGGTCAGCATTTTGCTCTGACATTTAGCCGCATGCTGCTGACCATATATCAAGTGCTGGATGCCTGCCGCAGACAAAAGCGGACACCATTCGAACTGACATAGCGTCTACGCAATTTGCAACGCACGTGTCTTGATGAATGTATAGTTTTAAATGCATACATATATTTTTACTGCTATTTAAGAAGTTGACATTTAGCTGTTAAATGCACACATAATCATCATATTTAAAATCGTGATGTAATGCAACGGTTTACGCATGCTTTAAGCTGTGAGAAACTGCAATTTAGGGGGAAAATAACATTTTTATACATGCAATTACAGTTGACTCGAAGTAAAGTTCAATTTGGCAAGAAGTAAAAAATAATTCACATAAAAGTTCAAGTTCGTTGCCCAAGCCCAAATCTTTTGTTTTGCTGCCCAAAAAAAAAAACAAAAATAAATAAAGTTGACAAACTATTTATTTATTACACTTGAAGCGTTGCTGACATTTGACCAAAATGACAAACAACATCTCGCGCTGATGTTTTGGTTAATTTTGTTTTTGTGCGTCGCAAGTTCGTTGTCAAAGTCTTTTGTATATCCAAGAGTGTTTTTCATAACCTGTAACGAAGCTTAGCGTCCAAGACAAAGCGAAACATGTTGCGCAGTTAAAGAATAACAGACAATAACAACAGAAACACAACAATGCTGAGGAGAAAAAAACAACCTGATGCTTAGAATGTGTTGAAATCTTAAGGCAGCATCAAAAGCAGAAAACATGTGCATTATTTACACACTTCATTAATCACTAAAGATGGGCTGTAAAAAATACTAGCAGCAAACGTAAGGTTAGAGGGGGTACAAAAAAAACAAGATACATTAGGTTACTTTTACTTGATCGTACGCTGAAGCGGACTGCCGGCAACAGATGCGGCTCATTGGCTTTTCAGCGATGCGCACGCAGCGGCAGTTAACGCATCAACACTTGAATGGAATACAAGTAAAGCAACCTCAACAAAATAGAAGACAACAAACTTGTAGTTGATACTGATTGCGAGGGAGAGCATGGTGGGGAGCAGACCCCACTGCTTTTGGGCATTGTTGCTTGAATGACTTTTAAATTTATTTGCCATTTCTTTGCTGGCAAACGTTAATGAGCAAAGCGGACCATGCCAAAACCAAACTGAACCAGGCAACCAACAACATTCGCATTTTGAACTTTTATCTGGCCATCTGCAACAACAACAATAGCAACAACAATAACAGCAGCAACAACAACAACAATAGCAAGCGGGCAAAATTATATTGTATACAGCATTTGCTTACATTTTAAGCCAGCTTTGTGTTTTCTTTTTATTTTGTGTTCCCCCTAGTTTTATTTCTTTCTTCCAGCTCAACTTTAACCCTCTGCCACATAAAACAAAATAACTAAAACACCTTCGCTTGCTCCGACTGTATGTATGTGTGTGGGTGTGTGGCTGTGTGTATGTCTGTGTGTGTGATGTGATGTGAAAGATGTTAAGTCACACATTTGGCCTAAATTTGTCTTTTCCTAAGCAATGTCTGCGGCAACATTGCGCTTTTCTTTTGTTCATTTGCGCCACAAGGCTGGAAAAATCTGTAGCAACTCTTTGACATTTAAGCCGCATTTCCTAATTCCTGCTCAAGTACTTTCTGTGTCTGCTGTCGCTTCAACTGTAATTTTGGGAGCTGCACTACGATATTATCTAACCAAGCATTGCAGCTGCCTCAAAATACCCCAAGCATCTCATTCTGAGCCACTTCTGCTGCTGCTGTGCATCCTTGAACTGCTGGTACTTTATCTCAGATGCTTTAATAACAATGCCAAAAACTCAGCTGTGGCGATTTCAGAAATGGTAATTTGATGTGGTGTAGTATTAAAAAAAAAACCAATATACAATTAAAAATACCTAGCCAAAAACCAGCAGAAAAAAAATCATTGAATCAATGAAACGTACGCCATTAATTTAAAGGCTGATCAAAATGTTGTCTACCCTAAACATAATCATTTGATTTATTAATCATACATTCGACTGGCTAAATCATTTGCGAATTATTCAAAATTTGTTAGAACCATTAAAAAATTAAAGTCTTAGTTAATTACAGCCAGTTAATTAAGACACCATGATGCTACTGACACTTAATTGTAATGACTTTGTATCATTATAAAGTCATTATTATTTTATGTTTTTGCATTTCATACTGCCTGAAATGCAATTAACAATTAAGTGACAAAAACAAACAAGATTTTTAAGGACATGTTGCAATATTTCATTGCCAGCTGATGACAACTGAAAAAGAAAATTTAAGAAACACACAAATCTAACAAAGATTTTCTTGAGATGTTAGGTAAAAAGGAAAACTCAATCATAACTATAAGATTCCAATTCAATTTTAAGGATAGCTTGAATAAAAGTAACTAAGTAAAAATACAGCTACATATTTAACAATTTGCTTAGGCATTTGCTTTGTCCAGTCAAATATTTAAATTGGCTGGAGAGAAAGTATAAAATCAGTATCCAAATCAGAGAATTATAAAATTCGCAAAATAAACCGTTCTTAATGGGCAAAGAATAACGGGAAATAATTAACTTAACAAACTCGCTTGGGAACTTTAAGTCAGAGCAGTAAACTGAATTAAGTCTCAAATCAAATCAAATCCACATGCCATTAAAAAAAACTAGGCTCGTTTTTGAAAGGCAGCTTTTGATCATACATTTATGAACAGCATAGAAGACACAACTGCCAAGATTCCAGACCTCAGTGCAATCACTTACCTTTAAGCGGCAGCATCAGCAACAGTCTCAATGTCAGATTTTTTGTGGCTACAAACTGTGGCAGCAACTTCTTCCTGTGCTCGCAAAGTGGTTTTGCTTTCGGTTTCGTGAGTGAAGTAATATGTTTTGCTTTGCTATTATAAAGTTTTCCGCTGTTTCGTTTTTTCTCTTGTTGTATATTAATTATAATGTTGCATTTTTAATCTCGTTTTCTTATTTGTGTTTTTTCTTCTTTTATATGACTCACTAGGGGTTTGTTTGTCTAATACACAGTTATCACGATTAAGTTGTCGTTAAGCGAAAGATATAACAAAATCACTTCAAATTTTAAATGTCAGTAGCGCCGACAAATCATCTAAAAAGTTAATTCGTTTAATGTAGCAAAGTGTGGTAATATGCCATCCAAATAAAAACTAGTAAAAATCTCTGTGTTGAAAAATATTTAAGACCAAAAAGGAAATGGTTTTTTAAAATGGCTTTGTTGATCTGTCATTTCATATTTTTTATTATGCAATATATTTAAAGTGATTTTGTTAAAAACTTTGCTTCTTCAACGCTAAGAATCTTTAAAAGCACATTTTAATTATTGTTCTCCGCAAAGTCTTGTATATATTTTATTATTTAAAAATAAAATAAATCGAGTAAAAGCACAAAAATTCCAAGCTAAAGCACTTTACGCTTGAAACGATTCACAGTCGATATGTAAGAGCACACAACAGTTTCGAGTTGAAATAAAAATGTTTAAAAAATCGTCTGAATTTAAGTACAAACTGAGGAGCCAGGCCGAACAGAAGACGTCTTCACCCGTACGATATTCACATTTGAATGTTTCAATTGGCAAATGCGGCGTCCAACTTTAGTAGTTGAGCGACTCCGACTCGGCCCCCGATGCCGACTCGGCTCACTCTTCTTCAGCGAAAACGCACAAAAGCGACTCCCAGCAAAGTCACCCAAGAAAAGCAGTCGGCAAAGTCGCCGAAGCTACCGCAAATCTTTGCTTTAAGCCACGAACGAACATCTTCCTCGAAATCAACAACAACATGTTCAGGCAGAAAAACAAAAGCAACAAATTAAAAAAAAAAAAACAACAAAATAAAAACAAATGCAATTGACTTTGCGACCGGTCCAGCGATCAGCTGTTTACAACTCAAGAGAGTTGATGTCTCTGGTGGCTAACAAAGATAGAGAGAGAGGGGGAGACAGAGAGAGATAGAGAGAGAGAGCCGTACACGAAACTGTTAAGCATTGCATTGCTGTTAACTACATACAAATATTTTTGTTAACAGTTAATCACAACAAATATACTAATGCAGATCTAGAATTTTATTTTATTTTACAATTCACCTTTTCAGCTAAATTTAGTAATAAAATATATATTTATTATATTATATATTATATATATATTATTTTCCATTATCTCCATGTTTTGCAAAAATTATATTCATAACAAAATTTTATGAATTATATTATATTATTTTTATATGTTTACGTATTTATTTTATCGTTATAATAATTATAAGAATTATAGGCAGATAAGTTTCTCATATATAATTAGAATGAAATATTAACTAAACAAAACGAAAATAACTATTACACATTAAAAGCGAAAAACAAAAACAAATAAAAATGAGAAGAAAAAAAACAAAGTCAAGATTTGGTAGCTGTATCATAATATGAAAGCACTCGAGTGACGCACACAACTGATGATGGAAAAATGGAAGCGCAGACATATCATTAATGGACAATCTTGAAGGGCCCTCGAGCAGCTGGTGAAGTGTGGGGTAAAAAACAAATATAAAATTATTGATTTGAAACGCTGTCATTGACGACTTTATGACTTAAGTTGGTTTCTGTTTATGGGGCACTGGCCATAGCTAGCGAGAGGGACAGAGAAAAAAGAGAATGGGATAGCAGACAGCTGAAGAGTTGACAGTGGACAGTTTTTTTATGATTTGCTAGCTTCTTGAGGATGATGGGCGCAGTGATTTTGACTGCAACTCGCAGCCCTGACAAGCGGCGCCATTGCATAACTACATTTTGGAGTTTTGGTTTTATTTGGTGACTGTTGCTGCTGCTGCTTCTTCTTGGGCACAGCTACTTCTGCTTCCTTCTGCAACTTCATCTTTGCCTCCACCTTCGTCTACGACCCTCCGCCTTCATGCGATGCAGATGGCAACATTACACGGCGCATTCATTGCGCCTTCGATTATGCTTTTGCCATAGGAAATGCTTAAATAATCGTAGACACAAATATTCCCACGAGTTTAATTTTTCTTTATTTTTCTTTGGTAGCTATCTACTTCCAGCCATCAGCAGCGTCTGGCTGTCTACTACATGAACGAATCAGCATTGGATTCTATTAAAAGCGCCGGTAATCGTCAGAAGCGACGCTGGTAATCATCCCAAAGACTTAAAACGAAAGACTGCAGCAACGAACTTGCCGCGCATGCTCAACTTAACGTGATTTTAATAACGAGTCGGTTTAGCATTTCATATTTGGGTTGGTTTCTTATTTCTTAGATATACAAAAACCCAAATATAAATATATACTAATACAGATGACTGTTCTGTAAATTGGTTGCAAATGACATTGAACAATTTGTATACCCTTCAAAAATGAATGGGGTAGGTGAACAAATAAAACATTATACTATTGTTATATTCAAATCGAATAAGGTGTTTTATATGCAAAAGATGCATAGTTAATTTGAGTTTCAAAATTATTATATTTTATATATTAAATTTCTTCAACTATCTATTTAAAATAATAAACTTGAACTTCAATTATTGCAAATATAACATTTATTGACTAATTTAAATTATTGTACAGGGTATTTATTGGAGAAGATATCGACTTTTTCAGTACAAATGTTCTTTGAGTATAATTAATGGCTTTATTGATAGTGTCGAATATCTGCTAGCAGCAATAAAAATAATTCATGTTATTGATTTTAAGAGTGTTTTAATCATAATTATATTTATGCACGCGCTGAGCTGAGAACTCTTTTGTATTTGTTATTAAAAATTAAAGCTGCATTTTAACGTGTTCCACAAAATAAAGAAAACAACTTGGAGGTGCTAAATAATTTAATTTAATTTTATTATCTATATTTTTACTATCAACTATTTAATACCCAAATTCTTCTCCATTTTTTTAAAAAGTATTTTTCAGCTGCTCAACACAGTTCAAGGACCTGACAAAAATGCAATTCAGCATTGAAGACCCATGTTTAACCAAAATTATTTGGCAATTGCAGCGAACTCATTGCCACAATTAATTCATTTTACAACTTACCGTACTTTAACTGCATATCTTTAAAGGCGAGCCAGAGGCTAAGATAGTTGGATGCTTGAATGCATGGCAGTTTCTGCACGTTGAGCAACAACCTTAAAAGGTCGTTTGCCATTTTAGAGCAAAGTGTCAAATCATCGCCATACCACTTAAGAAGCCATAACCTAACCTGTATTTAACCCAAAACTATCCATCAAAGTACATGGAACGAGGGCTTCTGTTTCGTTTTTTTTTTTCTATGTATTTTTTGCTTTTACAATCGAATACAAGGCAGCGAAGCCTTTTGTAAAATTGAAAAACCATTTAAGTCCCGTTAGTTTTAACACCCATTTTCTATGGCAGCAGCTTAAGATTGCCTAACAGACTATCAAAAAAAAAAAGGCGCAACAGTGGCATCGTAAACAAAAGCGACTAACAGCCGAAATACGTAATGCAAGCGATAATTATTACCTACAGGCAACGAAGATTCAGCAGACCCCAAAAGAGAGAGAATCACTCCCCCTCCAATAACCCCCCCCCCCCACCCGAAAAAAAAAAAATAATAGAAGCGAGATTGAAAAGCAGCGAAGATTTGCATAGAAACGTGCGATTTTCAGTCGGCCGCTGGCGGCACATGGTGGCCTCCACTGAATACCTGGCAGATACCCCTTGCATCTGCCACTGGCATGTTGCACCCACACATAGCGACAACCGCAGAATTCGGCTTCGTTTGTCGCGCCTGCTGTCAACATGTTCAGACTTCAGTCACAGCATGAGAACAATAAAAAAAAAAAAAAAAAAACAAATAGAAAACAACGGATTTGTACTCTTTGTACCGTTGTTACTGCTTCTGCTACCACATTCTGCCTTCAATTACTCATCCATTCATGCCGTCATTTCCTTAGCACAGTGTTTCTAGCTCAGCGCTGGCAGCGGCAATTTGTTGATTTTAATGTAGAATTTTCAACAACTTCTTGTGCTAATTGCAAATAACTGTAATTAATCTAATTATTTTTAGCGAACGAAAGGTCTTGAGGGTTATTTCATTGTCAATTGCCCTACCTTTTTGTATTAATCTAATTAAACTTTAATTTATTATAGTACATGCATATGTGTGGGCATATTTTAAACAATCGTCCAGAATTTCGGCAATTTTGAAATTTCATTATACGTTGTGAACCCAAAAATGTTGAAATTTAAGCTTTATTCTGCTTGAAACCCTAAAAATGTCAAGATCAAAGTTAAAGATTAAGAAAAAGGTTGATTAATGGTTTCTTAAAAGCGACATACATTTTTCTGCCTTACAAAAATTGAGAAAATAAACAAAATCGAAATTAGATAGATTTTGATTTTGTGAATTACTGGCTTATAATTCTTCAGAGGAATACTTTAAGCAGAGCATCATCTAATAGGAATGTCAATGTGAATATTTCTAGAAAAAAAAAAGGAAATTAAATTGAATACAATTTAAACAAGTGACCGAAATAAATAACTCTCAAACTGGCATCGATACATTGGCAAATTTTAAAACAATCGTTTGCTAACGATGAAAGATATATTTAGCAGCTGGCCATAAAAAACCCCCTATATTGATTTTAAAACTAAGCGACTTAATATGTCATGTTGAGTCTGGCCAATGGATACTCAATTCCAGACTAACAACAGCAACACAAATGTATTTTTTATTGAGCATTTTACAAAACTGCACATTAGACCTCAGGGTCTGAACTGCGACCCTGGACAGACTCTGGCTACGAATCACGATGCGGACGCCAGTAAAAAAAAGTAGAAAATAAAGATGCCTGAAAAAATACAATGAAGATTTATGCAAGTTCGGTGCAGAGTCACAGATGCCAACAAGCTGGTAGCACAGGGAATCCATCATTACCGAACGACATAAGTTTTGTGGGATCGCAGACAAAGCTGAGGACTGCCAGGAACTACTGCGAAGATAATAATAACTTGATCGCAGGAAAATCATTTATTGTGACACGATCGCCAATTGTGAACTGCGAGTTTATCAATGCAACAAATCTCAGAGTTGCCAACTTGTTTACTCTTGCCAATTAGCTCCGGGGTATAATTTCGTCTTGTTGCCAAGTCGATGGGTTTTCATTGCTCGTGCGAATTATGTTCATCTTTTTGTTTAATGAGTTTTATGTTATTATTTTATTACCTGTTGGAAATGTGCAATAATATCCGACTTTTATTTCTGTCATTTTAGCAAATAACTATACTATCAACTTAGATAAGACTGTGTCTGTAGCGCCGTTGCTGATTTTCGACTGCCTCTCACTGCTTAAAATAAATAGTGGAATAACTTTTATATTTATTATTTTTATAACTTTTTGTGTATATATAAAAGATAAGCCAAAATAAATTATGATGTTACATATTCCGTATGATGATACATATTCCGTACTGGATGGTTAATGCATAACCCATAAATAACATTTTTATGCTTGTGCATAAACTTTATGACTACAGATCATAAAAAGCTCTAAAGACAGTAGTTGCTAGATAGTCTGCAAATATTTGTCATAATATTCTAAAATTAAAATTATGACCATAACTTAACCTAACTTTACATTATAATAACGATGGCAAAAGTCACTTATATCTATATAGATCATTTTTATATAAAAGCTGTTAGTAAAAAAAAGAAAAGCGCTGTATGCAAACTGTCAACCTGAAGGAGATTATTATTATTTCAAATTGCTCTTTGTTGAACCATATTATAAAAACTGAAATGCATACATTACAAAGTGTTATTTGTGCTATAATAAAGATAAAGAAACTAAAGCAATATCTCCATATGCAAACAAAAACACAATTAAACAGTTTCCTCTATGACTTGCAATTCAACACAAATATTTACAATTTAAAAATAATTATTTATTAATTTCTAATCGATATTTAACTAAATGATGCAAAATGTACTCATGTTGTTTTTACTGTTTAAAATTCATGTTATAAAATTGTTAAGAAATTCTTCAAATTGTCACGTTCAGGCGATAAAGCTCATTCTTGTGAGTACTTCAGCTGAAAGGCGACGAATCTAATCTTAGTAATACGTTTTATGGAACGTTTATAGCGCATACATGCCGTGATTTTTACTATAAAAACAAATGTGAACCGCATTCAGAACGTTCAGTAGATGTACGTCCATAGAACGATGCATATTAATAAGTGTTGAGATACGCGCAATAAGAAAACACCAAAATGGTTTACAGTGTTAGTGAGCAAAAGTTAAGCGTATTTAGTGCGCGGTATCGCTGGCAGGTCATAGCCACTATGACAGGTGGGTGTTTCGTACTTTTGATAAGTAGTTCTTGTAGTAAAACCAATTTATCCAAAAAATAGTGAATCTAATGACCTTGACTCATGGCATTGGTATTGGCTGGTTTGCGCCATCGTTGCCACTACTGGGCTCCGAGGAAACGCCCCTCAACCAACCCATCAGCGTGAATGAGGTCTCCTGGGTGGGTGGTTTGGTCGGCCTGGGCGCCTTGGCAGGAAATATAATCTTTGGACTCCTACTGGACCGCATTGGCCGCAAACTGTGCATGTACTTTATGGCTATACCCAATATGGTAAATTGAGTTCGATTAAGTTGCTGCCAAGTCAGAATCGTTCAGGATATTTAATTATTTTTATTTGCAATACAGACCTTTTGGATCCTTATATATTTGGCTAAAGACGTTACATATATATATGCAGGTCGTTTTCTTGCCGGCATTTCAGGTGGTGGCTGCTATGTGACATTGCCAATATTCGTTGCTGAAATATCTGATAACAAGTAAGTTGCAGTTGGAATTTTGGAGATAATGTGATTAATTTTACACACATTTAGTAAGGAAGTGTTTTCAAATTAATTTTACACTTATAGAAAAGCAATACACATTTAATCAGCTTAAGTAGATAAGTCGGACCTATTCCTAGCTAGTATCCGTATCTTCTGGGTGGTTGAAGTCTTCAAAAAAATCTCATTTCGTTTTCAAGAATATCTTGAGCAATTCAACTCAAAACTTTTAATTAATTATCCATATTGGATGAACACCGCAAGGGTATCCAATATTCGACAAGCTCAACATTTAGAATTCTTCTTATTTATAATATGATATTGCGTTGTTTTACTTTTCCAGTATACGTGGAGCATTATCTTCCATGGCCATGATGTATGTCAGCTTTGGCATGATTATAGGCTATATACTCACCTCGTATCTCAATTATTATCTGATGCCATGTGTTGCTATTATAGTGCCAATCGTATATCTAATCGCCATCTGGGGCTTACATGAGACGCCACAACACTTGCTGCGAAAGAGTCACGATGCTCAGGCAGAGAAATCATATTATTTCTATAAGAATCTGCCTAACAATGATGCAGCTAAAAAGGAGTTTGACACATTTAAACAACAAGTGTTGAAAGGGGGTGTGAAACAAGATGTTGGCTGGAAAGATTTCTGTAAGTAATTGCTTGTTAAAAAACCAAATTTATAAGTACAAATAGATTATCTTTGTACTTATCTTTGCAGTCAATATACCCACGGTGAAGATCTTTGCTCTAAATTTAGCGCTGATCGTTTGCAATCAGCTGTCGGGCAGTTTCGCTCTGTACAACTACACTGCGCACATCTTTAACAAACTGGAGACCCAAATTGATGTAAACACCTGCACCATTTTAATAGGTGTCATGCAGGTGGCGGGCATATTGTGTACCGTTGGCTTGGTAGATCGGCTGGGGCGACGTGTCCTGCTGCTCACTTCCATAGCATGCATGGGTCTGGGCGAGCTGTCTATTGGTTTGCTCAAGGACCTATCCACTAAGGAGTTTCTGGCTGGTGCTAATTGGCTATCGCTGTTCCTCATGTGCTTTGTATCATTTACAGCATCCCTGGGCGTTATACCGGTCATCTTTGTTGTTGTCGTCGAACTACTGCCCGCTAAGGTGAGTGAAGAACGCCACAATTAGCCAAACTGCTTATGTAGGTCGACTGACTGACAGTCAGCTAGGGTTATACATTTTTATATATATTTCATATAGACATTTTGGGAAATTCCTACTAATTGTGTGGAACACTTTTCGAATCCATTTTAAATCGATCTATATTTTAGTTTAGTGCATAGTTTATGATTGCTGCTTTAAGCATGTACTTATAAGATTGAACACCGTCATTTAACAATAACTCAATGCATTTGCTTAATCCTCACAGATACGCTCCCTTGGCACGTCCATATGCATGGCCACATTGAGCACCTTCATCTTCGTCTCGCTCAAAATATATCCGCTTATGATCTTTGGCCCCGGTTTGGCAGCCACCATGTACATGTCGGCCGGCTTTTGCGGATTTGGTTTTACCATATTGAGTTTATTTCTACCAGAGACCAAAGGCAAAGAGCTGACGAACTAATTGTTGGCGCGTGTGAAAATCAAAAATGATGAGATGACTTCAACATTGCCATCAATCCCAGCGGCCACGCCAAATTGTCGCTTTTGTATCGGTAACTCGTTGCATAAGTTGCTTTTGGTATTGGGATTACCAACATGTGAATGTGTCTGTGCAAATACGAATATGGTTACGAGTACTCGACGCTTCTCAAGACATTGCAGTCAAAGCAACACAGTCAAATGTTGCCACAAAAAAAAATAAATAAATAAATAAATACAAATAAGGGCATGTCATGGTTCATCCTGAACTATTGAACTTAATTCAATTTCTGTTTGGCCGGATTTTCGCTGTTATTGTGTGTGTGTTTGCAAAATATTATTTAATTTGCTTGGAGAAAGTCTGCGCACTTTGGTACGAGCCTAAACTTAGGGAAATAATTTAGCTTCCATTGCATATAGATAAATTTAATGGAACTGTATTTAGCTCACTTACTCAACAACAAAATTTCCATATTGATGACATGACTAGAATTGCAATCACCTATCTAAATACAAATAGAGGCCCACCCAAAAATAAATAATTAATGATAGTACACATAAAAATAACAAAAATGTTGTCCAAATTGTTGTTGGAGAAAGTAAGTTCCTTGAGTAAACACGTAAATAATAGGACTTCGAAATATACTTATGTAATATTAAGCAGATAAACTGCAGTCTGCAATTTATTAACTTCTGCCTGCCTAAAACAAACTAGAGAAAAATTCAACAAGCAAACCTTCAAGCAAATGTTTTACGATTATGAAATGATAAATGCGGATTAATGGATTTGCGTTAGCAGACAAACAAAGACACATAAATTCCGAGAAATTGTTTATTTAGTTTTGTTTTAGACCAAATTCAGAGAGACAGAGAGATGTGCGCGAAAAATGAGCTTTATGACAGGATACACAAATCTCGTCAGATCTCAGTAGATCATAAAAGATGATAAATGAACTCAACTCCACACAAGACCAACAAAAGCCACAATTAACCCCACTTTAGTTTAGCGTTGCTGCTGTAGAAGTTTTCGGGAGTGCAGTCCACTTAAGTGCAACAGCGTCTGCAACTGCAATTTCATAATTTTCACACGTTTTTCTAACCGTCAGCTTTCAAATAGAAACCGCTTTAACAATTGCTGACGAGCGGAAATTAAACGTAACTCGGAGAATTTGTAACAAGTTTTTGTTTGAGGGCTGTTGCACTTACGAGTACTTAAATGCAATTTCAGTTAATTGCAGGCGCTGATTAAGTTGATAAGCGCTCATATTGACCTAGTGCACACACATCGCTTCAAACTCCCTCGACTGATTACATGCCGGAAGCCAACGAATCATCTTGATTGAAGAAGTGTTAAAATGTAGATACACTTCCAAAAATATTTTTGGCTCAGGGGAAGTTGTACTCTGTAGTTATCTAATCTTTAATAAAGTTGGTATAAACGAAATATATGTTATATATTAATATATATAATATATAATGCTTTCAAATTTTGATACAATTTTAAGTTTATCGCAATCAAGCACATGTATAAATCTCATTTTTAAATCCTTGCTTATTATTAACATATTATAAATTTTAGTAAAAATCTAATTAATATAAACTTTCACTATGATTATATAAATGTACATTTTTCTTGACTTAAGAATAGGTTGAACTAATTATACAGATATATGTACATAAATGTACATCAACCAATCAAATATGTTACAAATTTTACGTCACAATTAAAATACACTCCATAAAAAGCATGTCTCAAGCCCATTCACAATGTGTGTGGTCGAATGCAATTTCAATCGGATTCGAAAAAGTGCCAAACAATTGCGGCTAATGCGAACGATTTCTCATTGTTAGGAGTGTTTGATTTGTGGTTCCACAGATTCCAATTGTTTACCTCTTGATTGTTTAAAGAAAGTGTAGAAGCAGCCCATTGTCTAAGCCCGGCCTATGCTCCGGCTGACCATTAATAGGCCATTTGCGATACAAAATGTCATACCTATTGAGTTTTGTGGCAACGGTGGCAATATCCGTACCAAACTCACATTTTTATGCCACTCACCCACTGATCCCCATTGATAACGACTATAATTGCGAGAGGGAAATAATTTTTAAATTTAACACAATTGCCACCGAAAATTGTTTCTCGATTTATTTATTGTGTCATTGCAAATATCGTATCCATTTATTATATGTTATTATTATTTGTGGCGCTTGTTGTTGTTGTTTTTTTTTTTGTTTTTTTTTTTTTTTTGATGATGCGACGTTTTTATTGTCCGCTCTTCTTCTCTGGAAATCAATTTTTGCAATTGTAAAATATAATTTCGACTATTTATTTGCTCTAATTTCGTAGCGCTACTTTTATGAATGGCCCTAGGGACTGAGTGTCGTAAATAGAAGCCGGAGCTTACGGAATTACACATTACTTTTGTTGTATGTTATACAATCGTGTGAGTCGTGCTTTCAAAAAGATAAGTTATAGAAAGGATTGCATAATTGGTGTGGAAATAAATTACTTAATAATTGCTAGATGCTCATGTATTTGATATACTTAAGCAATCTTTATAATACTCAATAATTTATCTCATATTCTATATTAAAAGCTAACATAATTGTTACATAATTGTTAAAATTGCAGTTGTTTCCCCAAATAAAATTTACCAAATATATTTCACATTACATAAAGTTGTTTTTATTTTTTTAATATCAAACTAAGAATTGCACAATATTATAAGAATCAAAATTCAACGAAACTTTTTCTGTGCCAAGAAAGGTTGATTGAACTCAAAAAAAAACCCTAAATAAAAACATTTATAAACTAGTTTCATTATCATATCAAACTAACAAAAAAAAGACAATAAAAGTAAACTATAAAATATTCAAATATGCAAATATGCAAAGCGACGCTTGGGTTGGTTAAAAACCTGACCGTTGGTGTGAAAATTAATGGACACTTGAATTTAGACGCTTGATATTTATGTTGAATATGAAAAACCTAGACGAACTGACAGCAGCTACCGTTAAGAAGAAAACAACTCAAAACTGGAAAAATGGTTTTTTGTATGCACAAATAAATTAACCATGATTAATTAAAAGGTCAAGCAGTGAGAAGAAGCTGTGAAGTGCATGGAGTTAAAGTTAAGACTTGGAAGCTGTGAAGACTTCATCAAGGCAGTGTCTCAAATCAAAACTGTACGTTAATTGGTAATTGTTGGATGCGTCTTGCGGATGCGCTGCTCAAGCCTCGCTGCTCGTCTGGCATGCAAAGTGACCTTCAATAAACTTTGTATAGACAGTCAGGATGGTACAGGTTTTTATTCATTCAAACAACTGGAATTATAATTAATTAAATGCCGACACTGAAGTGCATACAAAATTGACTACAATTAGCGCTGCGCTTTATTAAAACTTTGTATTACGAGCGAGAGGAAATATTCGGTTTGAGAAATATCTCCAAATATATCTTTAAAAAAAAATTACTACAATTTTATATACAAATTTGAAGATAATCGTTACCACCTATTTTCATATATTATGAAGAACAGAGTATTTCGCAGTTGGTTGCTTATAATTGCAAAATTCGTACTTGTTATTATATTGTATTCGTCTCGGCTGCCTTGTAAAGTGTCTGCCGATAATAATTTATATACTTATGTTGATGACTAGCATCTGCTTCTAAAAGGTCGTTAAATCACGAAACGTGTCCGAAAATAATTTCTTACAGAATCAACTCATGCCGCAAAATACATTTATGTTAGAACATTAATTAAATGCCAGACTCTGCCGCTCAAATTTCGCTAATACGATTTACGAAATATCTGCGAGTAGCATAAAATTAGACATGATCAAAGAATGGTCGAGAAGAATGGTCTGCAGGGCAAAAGAACCATTTGGTTTGGTCCAACAGCTAATTAAGAAGCAATCAATAACTTTCAATTTGATGGGTTCTTTCTATTTTCATAAAATCTTATTTATGTCGCAAATGACAGCTCCTTTTGTATGGGTTTACCAAGAAAGAATAAACAAAAGTTAATACGAAGTTAATCTCTTAGAAAGCAAACAACAGCGACTGACGTAACTATTTCTTTTGGGTTTACTTTAAGTTTTGCCATGACCTTGAGTTATGCAATCATGCAGAGTCTAAATGGATTCTGCCAATGATTAATGATGCTGGTGATGTAAGCAAATTATTTGTAGAAATATTTATGAACGAAAGCTAAATCGTTTACATTTGCGTTCGATTAGAAACTTTCTCAATAAAAAGTGAAATTTTAAACCTTCTGAGTTGGAAAGAGTTAGACATAAAGATGAATTAATACTATAAATAAATTCAATAAGTAATGCTAAACATAGGAGTTTTTTTTTTTTGGTGATGATATGTATTTGAATCTTCCATTGAATAATAGAAAATACTCTACATATTATAGTTATCAGGAAGTATTACTTGGACTCCACTATATGTCTATGAAACACCAACTAGCCACTAAAGCAAACAAGTAATTTCAAGCCAATACAAGCCCTAAGCAAAACCCCCAACTATTCACATTAAATTGAAGGCAGGTGTTTGTTTAAAAAAAATTTTAACTATTCGAACTGTTGCTTGCCTGACCTGCTAATTTCGTTGTTGGTGTCTGTGGAGTCTAATTCCAGCACTCAACTGTCAGACCAAAAAGCTGTCAGCTGCCACGTGGCTATTGAATTTGTCCAAGACACTGGAGCTGGGCTCACACTTTTGAACAATAAAACATCACATATTCATATATAACTGACAAAGTTCTTAACTAAGTGCCTGCAGACAATGCGAATGACAATTGAAGTGAACTCCCTCACCTGCACCCGCATAATGTTGATTTGAGCGTGTCTACAATTATGCTCGTTGCATGTTTATTTTGGCCCCTTGTCGGGCAAGTTGTTGTAATTTTGGTTATAAAACAAACACAACTGACATTATTCGCACGAAAAACAGGATGGCTGTGGCTGAGGTTGCAACTGCAACTGCGGCAGCTGTTGTCGCACGACTTTCTTCTTTAGCTTCTCTTTATCTGCAAATACAATAACAACAACCACAAAAGCAGATACAACAACACAAAGCAATTCGACAGCGACGACATTTGCACGGGCGCCTTTGTTGCGCTTTAACTTCCGGAAATCACGTTGCTGCTTGTGATAATGTTTTTCAATTTTTTTATTTTAAGGAACAGCACAAAACAAAAAAATAATAAATAAAAAACGTTGTGCACGCGAGTAAAATTACAAAGTCAAACAACTATTTCAAGTTGTTAAATTTATTCAATTATACAAAAAAAAATTGATTTTGGCGAAAAAAAATGACTGATTGGTGGATGTCGCTGTCTGATAAGAGAATGTTAACAAGCTGTAATAAAAATAAGTAAGCAATATACAAAACAAATTTCTTTATTAAAATAACAATTATTTTTTGATTATGCAATATAATTGCGTCTTCGTTATGATATTATATTATAAATGGTAAGTATTATTTGCAATTTTTTTTTTGTATAATGTTCAACCAGCTTCTAATTTTACTTCTAAATGTACTGATAAAAATATTGATTATAATTTTATTCTGCATATAGTTCCAAATTATCATCTAAACAGGTCACACCATTTGCAAAGACTCTTTTGACAGTCAATAATTTGCAAGCTAATGCGAATATAATTAATGAGCGGCCGCAGTACAAATTGACGCCCTGCTAATGCGCTGGCAGTCAACACTCCCAGAAGCGGATAGGTAATGTCAGAGAAGCAAAATGACTGAGTGCAGGCACCCAATGAACTTAAGAGCTGTCTGCAATTGCCAGACATTCTTGATTCATACGGCAGCCAACTGGCCTTCTAAAGTGGCAATCAATTCTTATTTTTTTTCTCTTCTTATTCCAAGCTTAAAAAAGTTACCCACGTGTTGCGACGGTGTTGAAATGCGACAATGGTGATGATACAACGGCAAGTCGCTCGCTCGTTACTTTAACGGCATTTGACCCCCAAGCGGTTTTTAAGAGTTGGCCACGTTTCCTTCGCAGCCGCATCTATTCATTTCTTTAGTTATCAAAAAAGCAGCAATGGCTGGCATCTCTAGCTCCCAACAATATGTTTTCTCTATGCCTTGTTTTCTGCACAAATCACTTGACCTTAAGCATTGTTGTAATTTATTTGTCGTTTCCCACACACACACACACACCAACACACAACTGGTGCTCTTTTTTTAGAAGCTCAATGCTGTAAACTGTATTACGATCATTTTTTTTTTTTAGGTTACTCGGGCTATGGGTCTCAGTTGGGCTAAGTTTAGCTCTTTTGTGGGTTATTGTGCAACGATTCCCGTCTGCCATTGTTGGGTGGCTTGTGTGCAGCTCTTGGGTTGGTGCTTATCAGCATTTTGGTTGCATTCGAAATTGCACTAGGGCTCCAAACACTATATGATATAAGAGTTGTGCAGCCGTGGAGTCGCAATTGAATGCCGCCAACAATTGAAAAAAGTTTTAAAATGAAATATTTAAGTACATAATTATTCTGACAGCAATTATTGATCAAATTTCCGATGAGTTTAACGAATATTTCCACAATTCCGGTCGTTATAAATTAAACAATCAATCAAAGTTACACATTGTATAGCTTAACCAGATTAGACTATACCCTTACCACATACCAAGAAATACCATAAAGTAGCCCTACAACTGTACTTATCATTTGATTGTAATTATGTTTAAAGCTTATATGGAACAAAGTATATTATATTACATAGTATGAACTACAACGTAAACAAATATATACACAATTGATTTTATTATACAATTTTGTACAATTTATTTGTTCAACAGGTTACAACTTATTTATTTGCCTTATATCCATTTTATCAACTATTACGATTCTCCATATTATCGTATAGGATGGCTAAAAAAAAAGGTGTTAAATAACAGGCATTATATAACCCGGTATGCTATAATCAAATTAAATTCGAATTACCCCCAAACATGTATCAAGTTGATGCCCCTCCTCAAGCCACCCAACTCGACAGTTCCAGACTCCAACATGTATAACACTTCCGGACTAATGAAGCTGCAGACATGATAGCCCATTCGGCAACAACTTCATTAACAGACTCGTCGACAATAATAAGATATGTGAGGCTTCCATTTCATTGGAGGGGAGAAAAGCAATGAAGATGTGTTGACGCTTAATAGTATTAAGTTAAGCGGAGGGAGGAGGGATAGTAAGAGGTGCTAAACGGGTAAAAGGTTTTTCACGCTTCTCCAGCCAGGGAATCGCGTTTTGGACACCAGCAAGTTTGGCTGCCTAGCATTTTCCATTGAACGCCCATTTAAGTGTCCAATAATTCAATCACATCAAACGCCAGTCTAATGAGGCTCTAAAAAGCCGTTAAGGGCTTTCAATTACACCAATTGAGTTTGCAGATTGGTCAAATGTTGAGAAAGTTGGAAAATGTAAAAACTAAACTGACATAGTATGCGTTGATTTTCTAAAAAGAAAAAACTTTACTGCTGTACTCACCTTGAAGGCTTAAAAATCATTCTAGTTACTCAGATCGAACGGAAAACAACATTACATTTGGCATCAAAATTCTAAAAAAGAAAACATGTTTTATCTATAAAATCTTTGCTCCCAAATTGAAAAAAATAAATAAATTCAATTGTTTTTGTGAACAAATTTGGCGCTTTGCGATTGCTTCTGAGTTTTTTCCTTCCAATGGAAGTGCCTAAAAAAGAAAACCAGAATTCCAACGACTCCGAGGCAACCGTGGCTCCAATCGGCTGTTGCAGGTCATTGTTGCAGGAATTTTGTATATTTTTGATATTCTTATCAATGGCTATACTCATATTCTCGGCCTTATTCTCGGTGTTAAATGGATTTGGGCTGCTTAAAGCCAATGGACAGGCACGTCCCCTAAGTTCCTGCCCGTGGCCCCCAGAATGGTGTATCTTCTTAAACAAGAAGCCCCAGCAAAAGCAAGCATTGATATTGGTGGTTCCGCACTCGGAGCAGTTGCAGCAAAATCATATTTTGGGTAACGGTATTTGTTCGTTTAAGTTATCTTCAAAAAAATGTTATGCTTAGATAATATTTCCAAAGCCACATAACGAAAAATGGTATATGCATCGCCTTGTTGTCAGTGGGCGCATCGTTCTTGTTTCAACTCTAGCAGTATCAACATGAGTTCCTAGCTGTCCGGTCGTTCCGGGCAATGGATAAAGACACTGACCTATGTTAATATAATCAAAACACAAAGTATCCACATATCTCAATTAAACGCATCTATGAGAAGCAGTCCGTAACCCAGTAGTTAAGGTAAGATATATATGATAAAATCAAACTACATCATTTGATAAAGACAATCATGCAGCTGCAAACGACGATTTACTCAAACACTACAAACCACAATCTTATTACATACAGGTCCCCTTCTAACTAAGTTAATCAAGTATGTAAATAAATGTAATTAAATGTAATATTATTGTGATTTTTGGAACGGAATGGGACAATTAAAAATGGATATGTGCAAAATATAGTTTAAAAAAAATCTCGCTCAACTTCCCAACGCAAAACTAAATATTATACATAATCTGTACAATTTTATTGTGATACAATCTGCATGTATATATTTTAGTTAATTCGAGCTAAATTAAGCTTTTCGACTTTTAATGACTTTCAAATGGAGTTACCCCAAAATAGGCTCAGAATTTCGTAAATTTTAATTTGCCACAAAGAACGCTGATTTTTATAAAAGCGCGCTACAAAAAACTGTTGGCCAATGGAATTGTATGGTTCTCCTTAAAACTATACTAGAATTCAAAGTAGCCTTGCAATTTGAACAAACATTTGAGATAATCTGACATATCTGCGTTCAAGATGCAGGTGAACTGTCCTCGCAACAGGAAGCGTGTGCACTTATTTATAATAATAACAATATATTTTCTCATATTTGTTGAGTACATAGCAACACTCAAATAACTATTCATTTATCTGGTATTTCCGAGGTAATTTTGCAGTCAATTTTATATTTTATGATTTTTTGTCTGCATCACAATTTCAAACAATTCTTTGATTAAAACAATTTTTTTTTTAAATAATGTTGATTAAAAAATAACTATAAAAATTGTAAAAATGTAATAAAAATATTCGTTTTGAAATCTTTTACAAGTGTTAAACAGCATTTATTGATATTTGCATATAAAATTTTTACATATTTTTGTAACTTTTATAAATTAGCTTATTTGCGCTAACTGGCCTGAGAAGCTGAATAAAGCGGAGGAAATAATAACTAAGTACGACTGGGTGAATTACATGACGTAATTTATATAAATTCTTGTTTTATAAATTTACATTGAATTAATCGTTATATAAATTTCGAATAAATGAATCGCTCTTATATAAAGTACTGATAGTGTTTGTATAGTTTTTAATCAAGTTAAGCCATAATTATCTCAAGTAAAAACGGAACTGTTTTTGGCAGCAACTCACGATTTCACAATCGCCGAAAATTTTAAAACAACAATCGACTCATTCAAAGTCACAGAACTCTTAAGAGGTACAAGTAGCGACTATCTGCAAATCTTAGATGCTGGAAATTGGTCGTGTAAGCTTCCGAGATGATAGGCATCTTGAGTACACAAAGCTGGAAATTTGTGGTAAACAGAAGTTGCGCATGCGCATAATGAGTTAATTGAGGTATTGAAAGACGAGAGGCGATGCACACACAAACTAACAACTACAGGAGTACTTCAATCTTCAATCCAAATGAAATGAAGTGTATAATGTTTGCATTATCACGCTTTACAGTTAAACAACAGCAGCAGCAACAGCAACAACAACAAGAACAACAGCAATGCAATAACAATGCCAGGCAGCTGCTGGCGCTGTTGAAGGGCAACGCTACGAGGCAACTTTGTTGCTGCAGTTGTTGCTGTTGTTATTTGTTTATTGTTGTTGCCTTGCATTTGACTTGGCCAAAATCGTGGGCGTTGCTGCAATCGACAATGGATTTCGGGGTCTTTGGGGGTCCTAAGGTCTTGTCGTTGCGGCTGTTGTTTTAATTTGCTGATAACTACAGCTGTATGTATAATTATTTTGGCTTAAGCATAAAGACATAAAATTTGCATAGACCAGCAGCTGACGCCAAGAACTCGAGAAGCATACCTAGCCAGACTAAGCCATACCTTACCATACAATTGCATAATTGCATTTAATAGGTATACTCTAGTCGACTAGTAGCTACCCTATAACTAAAGTCATAATTATAGCTAAGAAATTTAATTTGGGTGACTTTGTAATTAATGTTTACTTTGCTCTCAAGCTAATTAGACATTCAAATTGAATAAATATTAGGCTTACTAACTTTGTCACTTATAGTTTAATTTATTAATTAACATATCAAACTTATATGCTCTATCGATATATATAAATGTATATACTAAAATTTAAAATCGTTTTATATAGGGTATACTAAAGAACATTACTTAAGCAATTGCAGGGTATTCGCAGCAAGTATTTTAACATTTTTTTGCATTTTGCCATTGACAACTAGGCGTTTATTTGGCTTTGTCTTTTATCATATAATTTTAATTAAAATAATCATTGGTTATAGCGCTCACACCGCGGTAATTTATATTTATAAAGTTTGTGAGAGTGATTTCATAATATCCATCGGCGCCTTAGAACAAAATTCAGCGGTCAGCTAAGGTTGATTTTTAATGGCGCCCCAACACGAAATGGAACGTGCAACATGGAGCTTTGCCCGTCTCCTTTGGCAAATGTCTATAATTCTTTATCTATGATTTCGAATATTTATGAGGCTCACTTAATTAGGCAGATTTAACAACATTATGACTATATTTATGCATGGCATTTTACAGTACTGATTGCCAAGTTCGTTGTCTGAGTCGTTTGTTGCTGCTGGGAAAGTTTTTAATTCACAGTTAGAACCAAAGCAAGTTTATTGGCCAAATAACTAAAATATAAGAAAAAAAATTAAAGCAGTTCTGTTCGTTTGCGTGTTTGACATTAACATTTAATTTTATGAATTGCATAATCATGAATAGTCCGAATGTATTCATTTGCTGAGCTGTTGTTGGCATGCTTTGTTTTGGTGACACCGATTTATTTATAGCAGATATTTGTCAAGTTTTGTTTTGTGCAAAAAGCCGGTTTAGATTTTTGTAGGATCCCAGAGAAAATGGGTGCGTCAACAAAAGAAGCATAGGAACTTTTATAGCCAATGCTCGCACAAAACACAATAGCGGCTTACAAATCGCATCTCCACAAAACAACACATGAGCAATTGGAAAGTACTCAATTGAATGCTTCATTAGGAATATGATAATTGAGAACTAGTTAACAAATTGATTGCTTTGCACTCATGCTGTGTCCGAGAAATGAACATCGACCACCGCCCCGAAAACAAAAATGTAAACTGCTTGGATTTGCTTGAAAATGATATTAGTCTGACATGTATACCCAATTTATGGCTCTTTCACTTTGGGTATTTGCCGTTTATGGCAATTAAATAAAACATGCCGCAGTTGGTTTCTTGCAATAGATGCGGCTTACATAACCATATGTAAATTATTTTCACAAATGAAGAAGAAATATTGCACGAATACGACGCGACTATCGCATGCACAGGAGGAGGAACACACCTCAAAAAAAAAAAAAACAGAAAAGAAAATCAGCTTGCCAAAAGGGAGTCTCAAGATGCTGCCTTGAGTTACCGACCTACCCACCTAACTCCCATCCATCTATCCATGCACACATGGGGTTCATAGTGGCCCAGCCCAAGCAAAACACTGGACCGCAATTGAAGCGCAGCCATTGACAAGATAATTTCCTAGGAGCTGCATGCGCACAGTAAATCCATTCAGATACCCTATAAAAAGACACTATTAAACTATGACATGCTGTTTGTAATAAGTAATATAAGCTATTATATCCTGATAATTTTATATTATTTTTATTTGCTTTTATTAAGTTTGATTTTAAACATTTGTATATATAGTGTAATATATAATATATATTAACTATATACATAAGTATATATACTATTATCATTGTTCTGTAAGAATATATAAAGAGTATGCAGGAACATAACTGAATTCAACTTTTCATTTCCATTGTCCGTCTTCGTTTTACAAATTGTACAAAAAGGAATGAAGAAAAAAATGGTTGGCCACGACTCAGCTGGCTGAAAAGCATAAAATTGGCTAGTTTTGCAGTTCGCGTTAAGTTGACTGACTACCAATTGTTTTAGCCACGAATCTTCGACTCCTTCACGAATAATTTCAAACGCAAACTGCCGCCAACACTCAAGAAGGTTCATAATTATCAAACCCAAACCGTTTGTTGTGGTCGGAGCAATGGGGCTTTGTGGGCTGTGGCTTCTGGAAATGTTGTAACCATTTGGATGGTTAAAATGTAACCACCGCCGCTGCTGATTTTGGGCCAAGAGAGCAAGGCATCGGGTTAAATAGGTCTGCTCTGTTGGCCGACAATCGCAATGCTTTCGCTATGGGTATTTACAAAGTTTGAATACTTCTCGTTTGTAAACATTCATTGGGTCATGTGAAATGATTCACTTCACATTTTGTGAACACACCTACCTCAGAAGCGATCTCTAATTGATCTTGTTCTCTTAGCCAACACTTCCGTAGATTTATGCAAATGATTTATTATGATATGCTTGAGTTTTATGGTGATGATAAATATGTTTTTAATTGAATTATGTATATGTATTTAACAATATTTGGGGCGAGCCATAACAAATTAGGTTTCCTACTAATATCTATAGATAAAGCTGTATGCCTCTTGCATGCAGGTCAATCATAAAACTCACAGCTGTCAGATGCCCTCAATTATCTTTATATTTACACTTCTAGACACATAAATAGAAACAAAAAACAAAAAAATGAAACTATAAGCGAATAAAACATATAATCAATATTCAGAATTAATTTGTCATACTCAAAAACTTACAACATTATTAACATGACTGTTGTATTTAAATTTTACAGTACTAAATTGTGAAATACCTTAACAAAATAATATCACAATTTAACCAGAAATATAAATGAACATATTTATATAGCACACAATTTTGTTGTATATTAAGAACTTTTGTGAAATGCTAATGCATTAATTGTAATATAATAATTCAAAAGTACCTAGTCAAATGCCCTTTGGTGTACTGCTACATATGTAGTTATATTTTCACAACAAACTAATTTCAGCACTTACAAAATAAATGAATTTGAGCAAACAATTTATATTAGAGCGCCTCTATGTTGAACAAAATTGTATTTTCATTGAGCGGCCACGACATTAACTCTTAAAGGCAACCGCAAATCACATCACCTAATTTTTAGCACTTGTTGTACCCAATTTCTTTGCTGTTACATCGGGAGATCGCCTCCTCCCCACCGCAACAGGCAAAAGGGGCGAATGAAATGTATATGACTGGTTGGCTGAGGCTGTTGGCACGTTGATTGTCTAAGCGGACTTACATAACCTCATTTATGTGCCTTATGTGTGTTGGTCGCGTGTTCCCATCCTCGTCGTCAGCATGATATTGGGTAGGCAGATAAAAGAAAATAACAGATCCACATACAAGTGCTCTACAGCCAAGTGAAGTGGAAGCGTGTGCTACTCAAAAGCCACACTCTGCATTTTTTTTGTAGTTCAGCTTGCGGTGTTGATGAGCCCAAGTTGTCGCTGATCGTTTCGTTGGCAGCACTTATTTATTTTGGATAAATAAAGCTGTTACATTTTAATGACACTGTCGTCGAGAGCGCGCTCATCAATGAATACATCTTATTTTGGGCTTTTTCTTTATTTCTATTCACAGAGGAAGTGGTATTGTATTGGTCAGAGGAAATGATTAATAGGCGGCTATTGTACTGTGTTTATAAAGACAATACATGCGTATATGTGTCTTGTGAGGTAATATTGTTTGAATAAATATTTATGTTTTATATGTCATTGATCCCAAAGTATTATTTATTTGAATGAATAAGAAACTGTTTTGGTTGCTTGTATTTGAGATTGTGTAGAAATTAGAAAAGTATTTAAATACCTGTAATAATTCTATACCCTTCAAATATAAAACTTTTGTAAGCATTAATTTCATTGATTTACTATAGAAAAACTGAAACCTTTAAAAGAATTTAAAAATTGTTCAAATTTGACTGACAGAAGCATTATCTCAAACCGAAACATTCTAATCTTTGCAAAAGCGCAGCTTGTGTAAAAAAAAGCCAAACAGATCCACAACTCATAAATAAAAGAGAGGCTCTCTCATCCACAATTATGTTGTGTGGCAACCGCCGCAGTGCAATTCTTCCTCCCACAATTGTGGAGATTGTCGGTGCTACCGAAAAACAAACCGGAGGGCGTCGCATCAGTTGAACACAGTACCAATACAAGTACCAGCAAAAGCCAAAGTTGAGGCGATGAAATCCCAGACAGCGACTGTTTGCAGCAATTTCGGATCAATTATATGAAGTTAACTAGCGACTTCTGCAGACGATCTTCATAGCTTCAACGCTTCCATTGCTTTTTTATTTATACCCTTGCAGAGGGTCGTGAGGTTTTTTGACGCTTTGAAGGACGACTTAAAGTACATATATTGTTATTTCTAATTTTTAAAGTTATCTTCAGATTGGAATAGATTTTCTTTTTTGGCAGTACATAGAGCAGAAACAGTCGGATCGGATCACTATATGATTTAGCTGACATAGAAACGAACGGTCGGAAGATGAGTTCATGAAAGAATTTTATTATGCTCTTAGCATTTGAATGAGAAATCAACATCAGTTAACTATAATCGGAAGAATCGTTTGTTTTTTCAAATTTATAGTGAAGTTTAAATGGTGGAAGGTTAATCCGGTCGCTAGAGTATGTAATATGCGGCATGCTTAAGAAAGCCGTTCTTTCTTCTTTTTTTTGGCAATCGATTGTCGAATGCAGCTCACGATTTATTAATTTTTTTGTTTCTGGTTGCTATTTATTATGAGTAAATTTGTTGCATTACTTTACAGAGAGATCGCTATTTACTTTACAAATTTGGCCCCCTGCACTCAGAAAACTGTAACTTCGTATTTTGGATGGTATAACTAAATAGGAAACTTAATATATTGTGCGCTATTCATCCCGCTTCGCAAGCTCATCCAGGAACTTGGCACTCTGGGCCTTGATCTGTTTGCGATTTGGCACATGAACATTGTACTTGTTTTCGACGAGCAGATCCTCTGGCAACACAGACTGTTGATCATCGTCATCGATTTCCTCGACTATTTCAAGACTGGCAAGAAAATCGGCATGATACTCTTCCTTATTACGAGCTATAATCGACGGACTCATTTCCACCAAGTAGCCTTTCATCAATTTGTAAACTTTACGCTTCAATATGTGCATTACAGCATCAACTGTGTACAAACACAATTCTTTAATAAAAATATGTTATTTTTTGTGGATTATAACTACTCAACTGTTTTCCTCGTAAATCTCTGGTGCTGCAGCGCGCATATTGAGCATCTCGAATTTAAGAAGAGGCAACTTCAAATACGAATTTGGATACTGCGTACGCAGTAATTTTGGTGAACGATCTATGTGCCTCAGAATCTCAATGAGATTCCAAATGTTCACTCTGCGTTAGTAAATAAAATATATAAGTATAATTTCAACTGATAACTAAAGAGTTACTTCATATATATGTAGTTAAAATATATATATATATATATATATATATATATATATATATATATGTGCTTACCGTAACATCACAAAAGCATCGCCACGATTCTTCAAATAGTCCAACGTCTCACGCTCAAATTTTGATTCGTATTCCATAACTTTTTTCAAGTCCTTTATGCGCTCAAGTCGACTACATAAGGCAATATTGTTATAAGTTAATTTATAATTTTATTTTTTAAGTGCCTCACTTGATTTCCTCCTCCGATAGATTATTCACCAGCACACCCTTTAACACATTAGCGCTTTTCATTTTATCCTCGAGCATCTCATGAGCCATCATATCACTTTCGATAGTTCGACGCAGCTTCTCATTGTTGTCCACCTGGCTCTTCATACTAGAATGCGATATTTAGATTTGCATTGTTAATCAGTGAATAAGCTTACCGTGGATATATTTCCCTTGCTTGCGAGCATAACGTAACCATTTTCATCTCAGTTATGGTCTTCTCAACGGACTTTAACACAAGCTTCAGTACCAGCATGCTGCGCGTCTCACGGAAATATCGATTGGGATCTGCGCTCTGGGGCATCTCCTTTTCGTGTTTGGCATTAATAGAGCCGACATTTTTACGCGGCTTAAAAGAGCCCAACATTTGTAACTTTGCCTGAAGATTTTTGCGGGACTTCGCCTCTAGATGTCGATACTGGTCATTTAGCTCCTTAAATTTTACTATTGCCGGCATGCCCAGATAAAGTATGTGCTTTATGAAATTCGCCTGATCTTCCATATCAGCAGCGAGAGATCGGAGAATGGGCTCATAAAATATTGCATCGTGTCGCAACACCTGTATCATTTTTTGATACGTACTATTAATGGTCTTAATGGCCTTTAGACGCACATTAGAGTTTTCAATTTTCTTGATAAAATCACGCGATTTGATTTCTTCTTCTAAAGCAAACTCATTCTGATAGTTAATGCGGTTTTCCAACAAGCCACGATCGAGCTGCGAATAAAACATAATACCCAATTTTGGTCGATTTAATTACAAGCTTTTGATATACTAACCAGTAACTCTCTATACCGATGCTTTAGTTGACCCAATCGACACTCCAGACGATCTCGCTCTTTTCGCATTGTAAAAGTCCGCTGATTAATGTTATCAACAACTAGGTGTATGGGCATTCTCTGATAGAGACGCTGCATATCCTTGTGGTTGATTAGAAAATTTCTAATCCTATGGGAATTATTTCCGGTGAGGATGTTTTGAAGTTTGGCCCGTCCATCGCGACACTGCAATTTTAACTTCTTACTTTCCTCAACATAGTTTTGCCGATTGGCCGTTGTTTCATGGCGTTTGAAAACGACACGACGAGCTATAAAAAAAAATTTTACTCAGAAGCACAAAAAAAAAACATAATTCTAGAAATGAAGTTTTCATTTTAACTGTTTTAATATCACTGCAGCGATTAATACTTAAGTATCGCTATACCGATTAATATCGAAGCTTTGGTCACACATGAATTGTGTTCTTTTCTGCATTGTATTCTGCTAAGTAGAGTTGCTCTCAATTCTTCAACAAGTACAATAAAGATAATCCATAATTAGAAACTGCGTTTAACTCTTCATTTTGCCACGTTATTTACAAAAAACTACTTAAATTTTGTCTTCAAATTTCTGTAGCCAAAGTATAAGTTTCGTTTTTATTATAAAGCCGATCGGAAGAAAAACCACCCAGAAAATTATTTTAGTTATATTACCCATTAGTCAGTATATAGCACTTACTTAGCAAATCGGTCATGCCACCAAATTGCTCGGTCAAAGAGTTTGGGGTCCATCGTTCGTCTATCATTGCATGCTGACGCACAAAGGACATGCCAAAAAGTCCATGGAATCGTAAAGCTCGAGGATGTACTGGCTTTGGAGCTGTTACATCCCTATCCTTTTGCTTATCCCCCCGAAGGCAGTTCGATAAGCTCTTCTCTCGAACGAAGCAGGGCATTAGTGTATTTGTATTTTTGTATATTTATTTATATTTATTTAACTTAAAAAATTAAAAAGGAACGTAAGAAGCAATTGAAAGAACTGACTTTAGTTCGAATAAATGAAACTTAAATAAGTACAAACATAAGTAGACAGAAATTTCACAGGTTCCTTAAAATATCTATAGCATGAGAATGAAGTTCTTATCTATTCGTATCTGGGGTATGTTAGTACAATAATATTGTTGTCTCATAGTATGTTATTACATTATGCTTCATCTCGTCGTAGTATAGCATCATCAACGATTCTGTTACTCTGCGCTTTAATCTGAGTGCGATCCGGGACATTTGCCAAGGTCTTTTGCATCTGCAGTAGATCTTCACCAACTGTCGCTCCGCGTCCCTCGGCACTACGAATGTGTGGGTTACACTTGACTGTTTTTAAAAATTCGATATGATATTTTTCCTTGCTATTATCTATATCCGATGTCGCATTGTAACCCTTCATCAGCTTGTAAACCTTACGCTTGATAAAACTCATAATTTTTTCAGCTGTGAATAAAAGTTATCAATGAAAGGATTCCTTCGCAGTGGGTAGGTTAAACTCAACTGTCTTCCTCGCAAAGCTCTGGTGGCGAAGCGTACATATGATGCATCTCGAATTTGAGAAGTGGCAACTTCAAATACGAATTTGGATACTGAGAGCGGAACATTTTTGGATCACGATCTATGTGTCGTAAAATTTCAATTAGATTCCAAAGTCTAATGCTGTCATAGAAAAGAGAAAATAAAAACAAAAGATAATATGTTTTCGAACAATAATAAATAAGAATGGAAAATGCGTTTTATGTGTATATTGAATGTGTGTAAATAAAGCTTACCGAATTAATACAAATGCATCTGCGCGATTCTTTATATACTCCAAGGTTTTTTGCTCAAGTTCCTCGTCACCTTTCAATATTCTTTTTAGGTCTTCAATTCGCTCAAGGCGACTGTTGAACATTATAAAGGAAAATATATTAAGAACTCATAAATTTTTATAAGACGTGCATACTTAATTTCCTCCTCGGATAAATTGTTAACTAAAATGCCTTCCAGCAAGGTTGCGTATTTAATTTTTTCCTCTAGGTATTCTCGGGTCATCTTGTCATGCTCGGTGAGTCGAATCATCTTCTCCTTATTATCCATTTGGAATTCCAAACTGAATTTTAATAGTTAGACTAAATAAAATGTTAAAAAGTCCAGTGGACAAACCGAGGATAAATCTCCTTCGCCTGCAAGCATAGTGTTCCGCATTTCACCTCATTAATTCTCTTCTCTAGGGTTTGAAACACGTTCTTGAGTATTAGCATGCTGGTAGTCTCACGCAAATAACGCTTTGGATTTGCAGATGCCGGGTTCCCTTCACGGGGCTTGGCACCAAAAGAACCGGCTTTCTTAGTATTTTTAAAGGAGGCTAATAATTGTTCTTTTATCAAGTGATATTTAGAAGACTTATTCTCCAGATGTCGATACTGGTCATTTAGCTCCTTAAATTTTGATATTGCAGGCATGCCCAAATAAAGTATGTGCTTTATGAAATTCGCCTGATCCTCCATGTCAGCAGCGAGAGAGCGGAGAATGGGCTCATAAAATATTGCATCGTGCCGTAATACCTCAATCATTTTTTGATACGTACTATTAATGGCCTTAATGGCCTTTAGACGCACATTAGAGTTTTCAATTTTCTTGATAAAATCACGCGATTTGATCTCCTCCTCCAAGACAAACTCATTCTGATATCTGATGCGGTTTTCCAACTCGGCACGATCTATCTATAAATATCATTAATTCAATATCAATGATTATATTCGCTTCGATTTCGTTTTTAATTTTCTACATACTAACCAGCATTTTTCTATATTGATGCTTTAGTTGGCCCAATCGACACTCCAAACGATCTCGCTCTTTTCGCATTGTAAAAGTCCGCTGATTAATATTATCAGCAACAAGATGAATGGGCATTCTCTGATAGAGACGCTGCATATCCTTGTGGTTGATCAGAAAATTTCGAATCCTATGCGTATTATCATCGGTGAGGATGTTCTGAAGCTTAGCCCGTCCATCGCGGCACTGTAATTTCAATTTCTTACTTTCCTTAACGTAGTTCAACCGATTGGCCTTCGTGTCATACCTCTTGAAGATTAAGTTACGTGCTTTAGAAGAACTTGAAAATATCACTTATGTATATAATTGAAGCTCATTCCATACTTAACAAATCGGTCATTCCGCCAAATTGCTCAGTTAATGAGTTGGGTGCCCATCTCTCATCGATTACCATGTGCTGCGGAGCAAAGGACACGCCAAAGAGACCATGATATCTTAGAGATCGAGGATGCACTGGTTTGAGAGGAACTTCTCTATTATTTTGCTTGTCCTTTCGAGGGCAGTGCGATATACTTCTCTCTCGCTTAAAACAGGGCATCGTAAGTGTGTATTTTTTTATTTTTCTTATTTTTTTGGCTTATTTATATATTTTTATTTTTTTTTATTTTTTTTTTTAATTATCTGTTTACAAAATTATGTTGTGTACATAACAATTGAATTAAATCATTCACAATAATATGAAAAGTTTGTAGAAGAGAATTTCAAAGCTTACTTTGAAAAATCCTTAAATACTTTTCAAAAGTTTTTAAGAAAATTCAACATATCTTCCTTTCTATGCCAACTATTAACTTAAGCTTCGACCATTGATTAATCATTGACGTGACATTCAAATTTAGTAACTTAATCTGCAAAATTGCAGGAGATGTAGAATTTGTGCATTTTTAATGACGATATAGGCGGGACTACAAAATATTCTTACCAATCGTAGGAGAATGTTACTAGTAATCCACCTTGCAATTTTGAAAACTCTAGCTTTAAAATTACGAGCAGGCATGACCCGATACTGTGCTTTGAACGACGTCGACAGTAATATACTAACCAAATTTAGTTACTATCTTGCTGTATTAGAGTAGACAAAATTGAGAAATACAGTTTCAATGAGTAACAGGGTGTAAACTTTACTATTTGTACAAATACATTATCTTTCATCCAGCTTGGCATGATCCTCTACAAGCCTAGAGCTCTGAGCCTTAATCTGCTTGCGATCTGGTATATTTGCCAAGGTTTTCTGCGCCTGTAGTAGATCCTCACCAACTATTGCTCCGTGTCCCTCGTCCTCATCAATATATGGGTTATAGTTGATCGTATTTAAAAATTCGATATGGTACTTTTCCCTGCTATTGTCTTTGTCCGATCTCTTTATCGCTTTGTAACTCTTCATCAGCTTGTAAACCTTACGCTTAAGCAAATTCATTATTTTTTCAGCTGTGAATAAAGTGATCAATGAAAGGATTCCTTCGAAATGGGTAGGCTAAACTCAACTGTCTTCCTCGTAAAGCTCTGGTGGCGCAGCGTACACGTTATGCAAATCGAATTTGAGAAGTGGCAACTTCAAATACGAATTTGGATACTGAGAGCGGAACATTTTTGGATCACGATCTATGTGTCGTAAAATTTCAATTAGATTCCAAAGTCTAATGCTGTGATGGAAAAGAAAAAATAAAAATAAATTATGTGTTATCGAACAATAATAAAGCATTAAGTAAAATGAGGTTTATATGTAAATAAACTTTACCGAATCAATACAAATGCATCTCCGCGATTTTTGATATGCTCCACAGTTTCTTGCTCAAATTCCTCGTCACCTTTCAATATTCTTTTTAGGTCTTTAATTCGCTCAAGGCGACTGTTGGACATTATAATGGTAAGTATATTGAAAACCATGTTTTTTTTTAAAGAGTTGCATACTTAATTTCCTCCTCAGATAGATTATTAACTAATATATCTTTCAGCATCGATGCGTAATTCATTTTGTTCTCTAGCATATCTCGATTCTGCCTTTCATGCTCGACTTTTCGAATGAGTTGTTGATTATTTTCCACCTGACTCTTTACGCTGTAAACGAAGATTTGAGATATTTAAACACATATTTTCGGTTATGCACATACCGTGGATATATCTCCTTGGCCTGTGAGCATAGTGTCACTAATTTTAGCTCCTTGATTGTCTTCTCAATGGTTTGCAGTTCTCTCTTTAACATAGACATGCTCTGTGTATCACGCACATAACGATTTGGATCTGCTGATAAAATCTCGTTAGTCTTAGGTTGTGGTAAGCCGCCAATAGCTTTTGGAGTTTTCAGTGAAGCCAAGATTTCTATCTTCTCCTGAACATTCATCCGCGACTTAGCATCTAGCTGAAGAAACTCGCGATTGAGCTTCCTGAACTTGGATATGGCCGGTATACCCAGATAGAGTATGTGCTTGATGAAATTCGACTGATCCTCCATGTCACCGACCAGAGAACGCAGAATGGGCTCATAAAAAATTTCGTCCTGTATTAACACTTGCAACATTTTCTTATATGTAGTATTAATGGTTTTAATGGCCTTTAAGCGTACTTTCGAGTTTTCAATTCTCTTAAGTAACTCCCGCGATTTGAGCTGCTCTTCTAGCACAAACTCATTCTCATACCTAATTAGGTTCTCGACCTCACCTCGGTCCAGCTGTAAATAGATAATAATAAAGCAATATTGTAAGTATCACAGCATTACGTATTATAATAATTACCAATAACTCTTTATATGTATGCTTTAACTGATCCAAGCGCAACTCCAAGCGATCTCGCTCCTTACGCATTGTAAAAGTGCGTTGATTAATGTTATCGACAACTTGATGTATGGGCATTTTCTGATAGAGACGCTGCATATCCTTGTGCCTAATCAAAAAGTTGCGTATCTTGTGTGTATTATTCCCCTGCGATATCTTTTGGAGCTTAGTGCGCCCATCAGCACATTGATTTCTCAATCGCTTGCTCTCCACCAAAAGTTGCAACCGATTGGCATTAGTCTCATGCCGCTTATAGATTACGCGACGCCCTAAGAATCACCTCATACTTACCACATACATACATGTATATGTAAAGAAATCGCACACTTACTCAGTAGTTCGGTCATCCCACCATACTGATCGCTTAGCGAGGCGGGTGTCCACTTTTCGTCAACGATGAGATGCTGCCTGGCAATGGCCATTCCAAAGAGTCCATGGCATTTGATGGCTCGTGGTCGAACTGCTTTGGGTGCCTTCAGATCTCTATCATTGGTTTTATCCCGACGAGGGCGGAATAATAGGCTTTTCTCTTGCTTGAAACAGGGCATTATGAATGTATATTTTTATTTAAATATTTATTGTTTACAATTATTCTGTTCAGTGTACCTAACTGTATGGTGTTATGTATGTAGAGTGAATGAAATTTTTATTCTTAAGTGTAGCATCAGTAGACAATCATTGCATGGTTTGCTATATTCATTTGTGCTTACATTCTAATATTTATAACTTGAACTGCAGAAGGAAGCATCTCCGACCCCACAAGGTACATACATATATTCTTAATCAGAATCACCAGCCGAGTCGATATAGCCAAGTTCGTTTGTCCGTCTGAATGAACATGCAGATCTCATAAGCTAAAGCTAGCTACTTCAAATTTAGAATATAAGTTTTCGTAGATTAAGTTTATTTCATTTAATCATTTTTCGATAGCAATAAAATACACAATTAATTGTGATAATATTATATACATTGAACTGTTTGAAATAAAAGCTTGCTTACATTTAAGTGTGCAAAAGTTTTATTATTAATAAATTATTTATTTAATTATTTATTTTATTTATATAAATTTGTCTTAGAAGTCTAGCTATTTTTTAAATAGTACATGAATATACATGGTTAAGAATGTAAGTCTCTGAAAACTAACTAATATTGATTATCTAACAAGCGATTAGTGTTCATCTAAGTATTTGAGACATTCGTCTATAAGTTTAGCACTCTGAGCCTTAATCTGCTTTCGATCCGGAATATTGGCATTAACTTTTTCCTGGAATATTACCTCCTCCGATTCTGCTGTAGATTTCTTGAAATCGCCGTCTAATGCTAACATATTTAAGTAATCTTGGTGATATTTTTCAATACTACTCTTAATATCATTTTGCATATGAGCTTTATAACCTTTCATAAGTTTGTAAACCTTCCGCTTAAGCAAATGCATAATTTTATCAACTGTGAAAAGTAATTAGAATTTAATTTTTTGGTAATAATAAGCTCAACTCAACTGTTTTCCTCGTAAAACTTTGGTGCCGCAGAGCGAAAGCGAAGCATCTCGAATTTGAGAAGTGGCAACTTCAAATACGAAGTCTGATATTGATGACGAAATACTATGGGATTACGATCTACATGTCGAAGGATATCAGAAAGATTCCAAAGGCTCAAACTGCGTTAGAAAGTAAAACACAAATAAAATTGATGAAACAATAATAATTTTGTAAGGCTTACCGCATCATTACATAAGCATCTCCTCGATTTTTAATATGGTCCATAGTATCTCGCTCGAACTCCTCATCCGCACTCAATACTTTTTTTAAGTGCCTAATGCGCTCCAGGCGGCTAGTAGGCAATAAAATTAAATGTATATTTAAACTTATATTTGATTTATATATATACTTAATTTCCTCCTCAGAGAGATTATTAAGTAAAACTCCCTTCATAACACTGGCATACTTCATTTTGTTAATTAGCATGGTGCGATTCTGTCTGTCTTTCTCGATTTGATAATGCAGATGTTCATTGTTTTCCACCTGATTCTTGATACTACGGACAATCATTTCAATATTAATATTTTCTCAATAACTTAAATTCATTTACCGCGGATAAATCTCCTTAGCTTGCGAGCATAATGTTTTTAATCTTAAACGCTGAATTGTTTTTTCGATTGACCGTAACTCTGTCTTGAGTATAAGCATGCTTTCCGTCTCACGCACGTATCGCTTGGGGTCTGCTGTGGCAATCTGTTTGATCTGGACTTCTGGTGGTGGTCCAATTGCAACAGGCTTCTTTAATGAGGCTAAAATGGCTAGCTTGGCCCGAAGATTCTCACGTGACCTTTCATCCATTTGTCGAAACTCGCTATTGAGCTTTCTGAACTTGGATATGGCCGGCATACCCAGATAGAGTATGTGCTTGATGAAATTCGACTGATCCTCCATGTCACCGTCCAAGGAACGCAGAATGGGCTCGTAAAAAATTTCATCCTGCATTAACACTTGCAACATTTTCTTATATGTATTATTAATGGTCTTTATGGCCTTCAAACGCACATTCGAGTTTTCAATTTTCTTAAGCAAGACGCGTGATTTGAGCTGCTCGTCCAGCACAAACTCATTCTCATACTTTATGCGACATTCCACGTCAGAATAATCTAACTACAGCTCGAATGTAGTGATAAACTATTTGCTGACTTACTTGAGACTACTCACCAGTAATTTCTTGTATTCAGCCTTCACCTGCTCTAATCGACATTGCAGGCGATCTCGCTCCTTACGCATTGTAAAAGTGCGTTGATTAATGTTATCGACAACTTGATGTATGGGCATTTTCTGATAGAGACGCTGCATATCCTTATGCCTAATCAAAAAGTTGCGTATCTTGTGTGTATTATTCCCTTGCGATATCTTTTGGAGCTTAATTCGCCCATCGGCGCACAGGGATTTATATCGCTGACTCTCTGCACAGAGGCGACGGCGATGGGCCTTTGTCTCATGCCGCTTGTAGATTACGCGACACGCTAAGGAGCAGCGTACACTCAATACAAAAAACTCTATACAATCCTCAATATATAGATTGATTACTTACTCAACAATTCGGTAAATTTGGTGAATTGTTCAGTCAGCGAGGCGGGCGTCCACTTTTCGTCAACGATGAGATGCTGGCTGGCAATGGCCATGCCAAAGAGTCCATGGTGTTTGATGGCTCGTGGACGAACTGCTTTGGGTGCCATCAGATCTCTGGTGTTGCTTTTGTCCCGGCGGGAACGAAAATCTATGCTCTTCTCTTGCTTAAAGCACGGCATTGTGAATATATGTATTTGTATTTATGGGTTTGTTGGAGTGAGTGTTATGGGCGTATATCTTGAATCAGATGTATACTTTAAATGTGTATATTATTTATTTTATCGGGTTCATTGAGTTGATAATCCAAGGATTGCTAGATCGATGTACATATGTATATATTTGTAAGAATATCTGAAAACATTTCATTCAAGAAAATTGGAAAAGAAAAGCTTATAATTGCAATTGCGAAAAATATTCATTTCTAAGACGCATGAAGAATAAATCTATGTGAGAAACAACAAAAGGTGTTTAATTTACACATTTATTTTGCACTAACATTTCTTTTTGTGTTTCATTTTTTTGCTTTAATTTATTTTTTTGTTAACATAAATTTCATGCATTTCATTTTAATTTACTTCTGTTCTTGTTCTGTTAAGAATGTAAATGTGCTTGTACTTATGCAATTATTAAATATTACTTGTATAGTCTGCATAAAATGATTTTCTCGAGAAAATATTTGGTGTACATATTTTATCGATGGGTAAGAAAAAACGAATAGAAACACATTAACACATTTGATTAAAAGTAAAATGTTGACATTCTTTTATTTCATAAATTATATGATGTACTCTATTGCACTTCTTATATGTATCTACACAGAATGTATCTCTTAATGTGAAAAGCCAACACGTTAAGCTTATACATGGACTTTCTTGTGTGTTTTAAATGTAAATATGTTGTTTGCTTTTCGAAATGTTTTCTCTATTGAAAGCTAATTTTGTTTGGAAAATATCAACAAGTGGTCGCTTTTGTCGTAAGTTCTTGGGTAAGTGTCAATTTTAGATACGAATTTTATTTTTGTGTACATAGAACTTGTAATTCTGTTAATTCTCTTTTTATTTAGGTCTAGAGTATGGTTTTCTTTTCAAGTAAGATTTAGCTCAAACAGCAGCGTAGAAATATTGTCATAAAACATTGTTTATAGTTTTCATTTGATAAAGTATGTGTATAATTTTGCTAAATTTACATTGATTTGTTCGGCTGTTGTAGCTATAGATGGCATGAACATTTCATGCATGATTGTTGCCTCTAATATTATTGCATTGATGTGTGCGGGTGTTGCCTACTCTACGGCGTCCCGCTCCTTATAATAAGGAGATGTATACTTGTAGGCATAATGCAAAATTATTGAAAGATACTTTAGGTACAATTTTATATTAAAAATCAACTAATCACATTATTTAAGACGAAATTTCGAAACTCAACACAAATATATATAAGCTCATAAAAGATTAGTTTTGTGTTTTACGGAAACCATTTTATGAGAAACGCTTTCAGTGCTTAAGTGAGAACACTAAATCATATACGAATTACATTGAATACTAATCCAACTGCTTTCCTATTTGCCAGCAGTGAAAATAAATATATTTTCGGTGTATCCATAACGTTCAATTTATCGAGTCGTTAAACTTGACAATATTATATAAAAATCAAATCTGGAATATTGTGTATTATATGCGACTTTTATTTAAACATAATTCAGCATGTTGCCGCTTTTCATGTTATTTACACATTTTTAAAATGAACTACAGATATAGATGAATGTTTGCTTTAAATAATGCCGCAAGCAGTTATTATACATACGTACGTACATTTATTGTATATATAGTTGCTTTCTAATCATTTTTTACAATAATAATAATAATAATAATAATGCATCTCATTTCAAAATTTAAATAATACTTAACATATACAAAAGTAATTTGGGACCAAATTGAAACTAGCTTGGAATGCTTTACAAATACGAGTAACCTTTCACTTTTCCATTTTCCATACTGCCGACTCCTTGAAATCAACAAAAAAATTTTAACAATTAACAAAATCGTATGGTAGCACACAAGAAAATAAGAAGCATAGACTACAGATAACAATAATAGTATTAGTTTTTAAAGACGGATTAAAATATTGCAAAATGTTAAGAGGCGCTAAGACATTTTCATTCAGATTTGCTCTCACTTAAGCATAATTATAATATAGTTTATAGCTTTATGGCGTCTATAAAGAAGTAATTTTTACTTTTCCATATTTAAGTTTAGACGGTGTTCAATAATTTCAGTAATTAACAGATTCCATGCAAAGTATCGTTTATCTAGCTTTAGGTGTTTTTAGGTTTAGTGATTGGCGCAGGACACAACTACAGGTATTTTGCTTACATACAATATGTAGGTATATTTCACATAGGCTACTTTTTTATATTTCATTTGTTTCATTTTTGCTATGTATGGAAATGTTTGCATACAGTTATGTAAATTGTTTGTATACATATAAATAGTCAAACTCATTATATATTTTATAGTATTAATATAAATATATGTATATGTATATAGCAATTTCATTTTTATGTTCGTTTTTCTGTTTTTCGTTTTGTATTTGCCCAAAATGCTCAACATTATAATAGAATTCTTAGCATTTCATTTCGCACGCAGCATAGTGTAAACATTTTTAATTTTTAGTTTTGTTTTCATGAATCTTTTTCTTTTATAATATCTGCAAATATATATTTATATATATTATATTATGTGTGTGTGTATGTGTATTCGTAATGTTCCTTGTCTATGAGGTTATAGCGCTTAATGTGTGTGTGTGCTTGTGTTTCTGTGTTTGTTTGATGATGGCGCCTTATAACGCCCCAAATGGATCAAGTGGAACGTTTTTGTTGCCTCCATTCTGTGTCGCCTGCGTGGGTTGCATAATTCCCGTCGCTGCACCCGCATTACTTTGCGGCGTGCCCATCATCGTCGGCTGCCCCCCAGTCAAAGGGGCTGCCTGTGCCAGCATATTCGGCTGCTGACTCATCACCGGCATCCCCTACAATTATCAAAATAGATAATTAGTAATTGCAAAGGTGTATTTTGTTAATCAAATTCAAATCATGCATTGGTCGGAAGGTACTTAAACAGCTAAGACAGACGCCAAGGGCTACAAATTGGTTGATACAAAGTAGGTTAGATTTGGGAAATAGACAGAATTGTTGTTAAAAAGTAATTGGCATTAAAAGGAGGGCCGCCGTGAGCTGCTACATATACATATATATGGTTTTCAGGCTGGGTTAGTGAGTTCTACAAAGGAATACAAATTCAAATTGTCAACTAAAACGATAACTTTAAAACTCTACAAAATTAAAATATATGTTACTAAAAATTCAGAGCTGATAGCCCAAAAACTTAGAAATGTGAATTTTAAAAACATATTTTATACAATTCAGATTATTTTTCCAAGTGTTATATGCCAAGAGACACCTATAGAGTAGAGGTAGAGATAGTGGTTACCATAACCATAAAAAGGGAGCACTGGGGATCAGTTCTCATAGCTCAGTGCGGGGACAGAATTCAGGCGTAAGTAGATTTGATAGTGATAGTGAAGTCGGAACTTAGGCATTGAACATAAAATTAAAATAAACAGTACAAACATAATCAAAAATAAAAGTACACATATTTGAAGAGAAAAAAAATGAAAAAATAAATTAAATGAAAGCAACTCATAAATATAGTAAGTATAAACACATTATTTTATATTTGATTATGTTGTTCAAAGTTTTTGTAGTACGTTGGGTTTTTTTTTTGTATTTTTTTTTTAATTTATTAAAATTTTTTTCGTTCGTTTGCATCATTCTTACCTGCATATAATTTGGCATTACAGGATAACTAGCATGTATATACGGATGATTGATTGTGATTGGCGCAGGACTTACTGTCATGCCATGTGCCTAGGTATACATATACATATATGCACATACATATATAGTGTGTATATATTTTAATATACATATACATATATAGATATAAATATATATATATATATATATGTATATATATATCACAAACATACAGACAGCATTAACACAGGCGCATCGTGAGTTTTTGTAAATTTTTGGTGGTGTAATTTTTTGTTTGGTTTTTTGTTTGGTTATTTTTTTGATATGTTTTGATATTGCGGTATGCGTTGGATAGTTGAAATATATAAAGCAACATAAAATAAAGAAAAGAAAGTGATAGTTTATATATATGTATATACTATATATATAAATATGTTTAAGTATATATTAATACCAAAATAAAGAGGAAAAATAAAATCATAATGGGAAAATACTTAAGTACGAGTAAGAAATAAGTTTTTTTTTTTTTGGTTTTTGCAAGTTAATAAACAAGTATAATTTTTGTTTGCCTGCTTGTGTAGGGGAGCTGGTTTCATGTAATTGTTTGTTTTGTTTTGTTTTGTTTTTTTTTCAAATCCTACACTTACGAGGTGTGCCACAATAATTATCCCTAGTGCTTTGTGTAATTGTTGTACTTGCTGTGGGTGGTTGTTGTGGTGCAGATAGTGTATGAGAAACCTTAACCAATTCATCATAGTGGTTGAATAATATTAAAAAATATGTATGTATAAGTATATAAATGCGTTTCGAGTAAGTCGTACAGATTGCAACAACTTGGTTCGTTCTTAGTTTGATATATATATATATATAGCTTAATACCAATTCAAGTCTTATGTATATATAAAATGGCCACAACATCTAGAATTTTTGCCTTGTATAAATAAAATGTTGAATTAATCTAAGAAAAATTTCGCACACAGATCAAGACAATAAATAAATAAACCAAGTAGCTGTAGTTGTAAAGCAAATGCAATGTGCAACTCGAAAGTAATATTCAAAATTAGAAAATATACAAAAAGGAAAAAATAATAAAAACAAAAATTATAATAGATCTTTTGTATGTTACATGAAGGTAAGTGAGCCTAAAATGTTGAGTGACACAATCTTATGAGTAACTCAAAAAAAAAAATTTGTTTTCCCTTTTGGGTTATTTCCTTAACTGTCATATCTCTTGATTTTACAAATGATCTCTCATTCAATTGAAGCTAATCGCATTTGTTTTGTTTTTGTTATTGTTATTGTTATTGTTCTTGTAATTGTTGTAATTGTTTTAATTGTTGTAGAGATTCGATTGAGTTGAGTTGATTTGAGTTGAATTGAGTTGAGAGAGAGAAAGAGTAGAGAGAGAGAGAGTTAGTTGTCATAACTCACCATTGGACGATAGCCAGCACCAGTTGTAGCCGCCATTGGTTGTGGTGTCCAATTAGCACCTGGTTTCGCTGTATTTTTAGGTGAATTCCATTGCACGGGTCTATGAGATATAATGTGGTAAGAGAGTAATGATATAAAGAGAGACGAAATCAATGAAACTGGTTTTTTTGAATTCGATTTTCGATTTTCTAATTACGTTACTAAAGGAATCTCTGATATACTCGAAGACCTAAGTAAGTTTTATGGGGATCGGAAGCTATTATGTACACAAATGGAACATGAACACAGATATGGTTATTATGGTATGGTTTTATGGAATATGGGTAAAGAGGCAGGAGAGATATGACTGGTTTGGTTTTTTTATTTAATCTGCATTTACAAAGCAAACGAGGGAATTACTTTAAGATGGATCTTAAAATGGTTTTTGGAGCTTTGATTGGTGAAACGTGTTTGAGATGATTGTGATGCTCTTTCCTCATCGCTGTCACACACATAAACATTTTTATATATACAAAACAGACACACACACACACACACAGATTTTGCATTCTTTTGCTCTATTTTACTCACTTTGCACTTGCAGTTTTATTTATATTTAAATTATCAACTAGTGACATTAGTGAACTATCCAGATCGCCAGTTATGATCTTGCCAGTGCCAGCTGATTGCTGTTGTAGTTGTTGCTGCTGTTGGAGCTGCATTTGTTGTTGCTGTAGGTGTTGTGAGTTTTGTAGTTGTTGTTGTTGTTGCTGTTGTAATGTCAGGCCTGGACTGCTGCTATTGTAACCCTGGTAGGCGGCACCTGTGGCGACAACATTCATTTGATTGCTGTTTTGGCTGTTGGCTGTGGCCGGTTTCATAACATCACCCAAAGCATCGAAGCCTTTTTTTTTGTTTGTATTTGCCGTGATTTACATATGACATTTGTTTGTTGTTGTAAGATATAGCCAGTGCACCATTTTAGCCAGACATTTACACAAAGAGACATACACAGTTTTTTACGTATAGAACATGAGACAAATGAAAGCCCACAAGAATTTGTAATGTTTTCGTTTGGTTTTTTTTTTATAAGTTTTGTCCGGTTCAAATGTTTGTTTGTTTTATAATTTAATTTAACACACATACATATAAATATGTATTAAGTGAAGTATTTTTAATGGAGTTGTGCCACCAACATTAACGTATAGTAAACATGATACAATGTGAGTAAGGTGTCAAGTGTTTTGTAATTGTTTTGTTTTTAATTTTTTATATTACGTACACAAGAACATAAAAAGGAGAAAAAGAGAAAAAATACATTGAAAAAATAAATAATGTGAATAATTATATATGTATATATTTTTTTATAATATTATGTGCTTGTATATGGCAGATATAATATATTATAGGGACAGATGGAAATGTTATCGCAATTGTTCTGCGGTTATTTAAGCAATTATTAAATGGTTAAATATTATATTAGATAGATTCTACTTTATAGTTTCAACCTGTATATTTTTTATATTGAATCAAAGCCAAACCCGAAGCAGAAAATATATAAAAGGGAAGAATCGAATTTTCCAAACTTTTTTAAGATATGGTTAAATTTTTACACTTTTATTAAATTAAAAAAAAAAGTCTATAATTTAAGTAGATTTGCCTTCGGCCAAGCTATACACACACCATATAAAACTATGCATCTTCGACCTAAATTTCCTTGATAAATGCAATAAAGCCAAATATGATTTTTCACAAAGCTACAGTCAACATACACCAAACAACACAATAAAGGACACAATCACGCAATTTTAAATAGTAAATCAACATTCATAAAACCAAAATATATAATTGTAATAATATTTACAAAAACATGTATAAACTAAAAATGATAAATTGATATGTACAAAAATGTTTCAGGACCAAAATTTATAATACACTTTGAGAGATATATACAAATATATTAAAGTCTTGCACAAAACATATTAAATGCCGATCAAAAAATTAGATTGAATGAATCAAGGGAATGCATCGATAAGTGACAACTTCATACTTTCAAATGAACAAATGAAAATCTGAAGATTCGTACAATCAAAAGCCAAAACTTGAAAATTTTAAGTCACTTGAAAGTTATTTGAAATTTTTACAACAAACACATTTCACTTAATAATTTTGTTGCTTTTGAACGCATTTGTGCAAGACTTTAGCAATTAGGTAGAGACATACAAAACAGCGCGGCGGCTTGTGAACAGATTGCGCGATCTATGGATGAAAGAGTGGGTGGTTGGGCAGTTGGGTCTATGTGTGTGTGAATGTATTTATTCGCAGCACTACAAGCACAAGATAATGAGGCCAGTGTTGACGATTGAAGCTTTGTACAATAACAAAGCGCGCAACGTAAAATTGGGTTCTGCTGTGTTTCGTTTTTATTTTTATTTTTCTTGTTTTTTTTTGTTCACGAAAAGTTCACCTGTTGAGAATTGCGACATCGTGGAAGTTGGAAATAAAGCCAGCTCTTGCTGGTATTGTTGTTGTTGTTGTGCCTGCAGTTGCTGTTGTTGCGCCTGCAGTTGTTGTTGTTGTTGATGTTGTTGCTGCATATAAAACAACGCGGCTGACTGTTGTTGTTGCTGTTGTGGTTCCATATAATTGTCATGGGGCACACCCATGGGCTGCATATCATCGTAAAATGGATTTGGCAATGCTCTCGACGCTGATTTCATTGTATCAAATAATTTGTATGGATTTTTTCAGGAGTAGCCATAAAGAAATTTAATTAAATTATAATAATAAAGTACACACAAGGACAAAACAAAAAGAATAATAAAAAAAATCGTAGAATCAAAATTACGCAATTACAAAATTCAAAAAGTCTCGAAAAATGTGTAGAATTGAGTTTCACGCATACAGTAAAAACGAATCGTGTGTTTGGAATCTTAAAACTACTATATTGCATTTGAATCTAGCCTTTTGGGTTCTGCCAACACATTTAATGTACATATCAGAAACAAAAAGTTGCAGAACATATGAACATATTAATTAAATGGTTAGTACAACATGCTAAACATACCAGCAATTAATATTCGTTATAGATAATATGAAAGATAAAACATTTATATTCATTTTAAAGTGCATTTTAGGAGCACCGCACCATTAATATGAGTATATAACAAAAAATGTTAGCCCCACCCAAAATCAGGAGTTTCAATTAGTCTTAAGCATAGTATATGTAATTATTTGACAATAAATTGCATTGCGGTTGTATTATGTATTAATGAGAGAAATTAGCTGGCTTGTTGTAGTTGGAACACTTACCTGCTGGTTCCGTATTACCAAAAACGGACGTAAAATTACTATCGGAAACGAATGCATTTGTAGCAGCAGCGGAGGAAACTGTTGAGCCATTGAAACCTATTTTATGGTTTTGTTTATTTTATTTTTATATATATATATTTTTTTTTTGTTGAGGGTTTTTGATTCAGTTTTCAGTTGTGTGTGTTGGGTATTAGACGTGTTATTGAGTTTTCGAGTATTTATCGAGTCATGTTTATAGTTATAGTTGTTCATGTTGTTGTTGTTGTTGTTGGAGTTGTAGTTGTTTGTTTTTTGGGGTGGAGAAAAGAAAGCAGGTGATGAAAATGAAGAGTAACAATACATTAGACCACAATTCAAAAATTAGAATAAAATCATAACAAAATCTTACAAAATTATATATAGTACATAATAATAAAATATAAATAATAGAAATAAATAAATTCATGTTTCATTTATGATGAGAAATACATATATGTGCAACAAGAAAATGTGCTTAAAGACTGCCAGAGAAAGAGCTTAGACGGAGTGCGCGCCTTTTGGGTCTGAGACAACTACAAGACGACATGGGTAATACATATATATATATATACGATTATAAGTATATATATATACACTTATATAATAAAAAAAAACAACACTTAAGCAACTAACTAGTGAGCACTTAACGAACTAAAGCATTCAACATAAAATTGTAATTAAGTAAATAATAAAGAAATTATAGCATGCTACCGTTATTATGCATCCATAAATTATTGGCATTTAATGCAGCACCTGTTGCTCCGGCGGCAGCGGCAGCATTGCCGCCACTGGCCTCGAACATGTCAGCAAACGGATTGCCCAACTGCAGCAAATCGTCGGATGCCTTTGTGGCAAGCGCCTGGGGCGCAGCTGCTGCAGCAGCAGCGGGCTGTGCCGACGCGGCACCAAACAGATCAACTATCGGCTGACCAGCCTGCGAGGCTGGTGGTGACGATAGAAATGGATTTGTTAGTGCAGCGCTAGCGCCAGCAGCACCGCTACTGGTGGGCGACGATAACTTGGACTGGGTTGCAAAACAGAAACAAATTGATTAAATATCGTTCAATTGAAATCAATTAAATGAACACATTTTTTGTATTCACACTCACTTTGTACTGATTCATGGCGGCTTCCTCCTCGGCGAGCACTTGAGCCTTGAGCTGCTCATCAATGCCATTGGTGGTATCAAATTTACTGGACGCAGCCGCAGTGCCAAATGCCGAGCTAGTTGAAGAGAGTGCAGAGACAGCGGATTTAACATTCGTGCGTTGATAGCTACGCATACAAATGCAACCCAAAATCACAAAACACAGGAAAAATCATAGAAAAAAGAGTAAATAAAATATAAATTAATTAAAACAAGAAATGAAAATGAATAACTACTGTTGAAATATTTAATATACCATCTTAAAAAAAAACCCCAATTTTGGATCAATCAGCAATCAGTATTGCAATCTATGATATTTTTTAAGTAAATAATTAAATTCAAAATGATTTTCTCACATTAAATCAATTGTCGATAAAGTTCCCTTTTTTATACAAGTAAATCACATTTTAAAAGCATAATTAAACACGATTATGAGCAAATAAATAGGTAGCCTATGAAAAATGAAAAAAATATTTACATAATAATAATTTAAAAAAAAGATATAATTCTATAACAATTTCCTAACTAATCACAGCAACAAACCTCGCCGATTGTGTGGGCGTATTGGCAGCGGACACCTTGCGTCCCTCGAGCGTAGCCAAATGCTGCTCCAAAGCATCCAAAAGAGAACTGGGCGCCTTCGTTAAATCGGGTATGTCACCCTTATCAATTCCCACATTCTGTGAATACAATGAATTTGTAATTGTTAATTTTGAGCACAGCGCTGATCTTTCTATTGTGTGACGATTTACCTCGGCCACCTTAAGGAATTCACCCACGCGATCCATGCGCACCAAAAACTTCTTGTACAAGTCCAAAGCATCGCGTGCATGCTTCTTATTCATATCAAAGTATTTCTCCAGCAAATTGATAATGCCATCGTTATAGCACGCAAACAAACGAATTAAATCGCGAAACAGCAGCATGAAGCTCATGTTGATGACACCTGTTCAGTGGAATAGTTATGCATTTGAATGCGATTTAATATAGATATGCCAGATATACACACCGTTAGTTAAATCATTGGACTGGCAATCAAACTCGAGCAATCCATCCAATTGTGCCTGCAAAACTGGCAGCGTCTTCAACAGTTTTTCCGCGTTCATATTACGCAACGAGCCCTCTTCTTTTCTATAAATATATTAAATACATTTATATAAATCATTCAACTTATTGGATGTATCGTGTTGGGCATTTGCCACTTACCCGCGCTTCACTTTACAAAAATCGAAAGCCATGGCGCGATAAGAGAGCGATTTCTCATTCAAATACTTGGCATAGCGTCTTATGAATGGCGACATATCATAACCTGTTGAATATGACAATTTTAGGGTATTATTATGGCTTTTATAGGTTCAATAAAAGCCACATTTAGGAAAAGCCAGTGAATTCAGTTAATTTTGAGCGTCAAATATAAAATTTGTAAACATGTTTTTGTTTTAGTAAGTTAGTCAAATTTGTATCGATTTATATAGAAAATGGTTTTCGTTTTTGTTTTAGTTAACAGCCATGGCCACAAATGTTAGACAATTTTGGGGTTTTGTTCTTTTCTTATTTTTTTGGTTTTTGTTTCTAATCCCATAAACCGTTATGCAACTGTTTATCAAAAATACTCACCCATTCTCCCACCTGGAACGCCCATGCCACCATCTGTAGTATAGGTTCATAATTCGCAATTGCAGATACGTTTATGTTTAAATATGTTTATAGGTATAAATTAGGAATGATTTTCAAAATTAATTAGGATTAGATTGATTATGTGTGTTTGTGTGAGTAAGCAGTCGCATTGCAGTTCAAATTCGAGGCGCAATATTATTATTGAAATGTTATCATTAGAACGAATACACAAATGAATAAGCCAAATCGCAATCGCAGCATTCACATGTCAGTGAGTCAAAAATGAGAGAGTGGAAAGAGAAGAGATGTGAAGAGAACAGAAGAGAAGAGAAGCATGTAATATCAATTTGTATATAGTTAGTTAATTGTTTAATGTTTTCTTTCGTCGATTTGCTGATAGCGTGAGTAAATTTTAGAAAGCAGCAAAATGTTTCGCTTTGCGAAGGTGTTTATTGTTGTCGCGTTGATCGAGATTTTAGTGAAATGCATTCGGGGTTATACCTTGCACAGTTCCTTTGTCCAGAAAGGAGCTGAGATTGAATGTAGAATTGCTCGATGCGAGATATTGCATGAAACGCTGCATAAAGAAAGAAAAGAATAGAATTGATTAATAACTTATTATTAATAATACGAATTGGAAGAAGGATTGACCCAAAAGCGCAATATGCATTTAAGTAATATTGTCAAATTATAATCATATTTATGTCAAACTGAAACGAATCTAAGTTCCGATTCTGGTACAAAAAGTATAAATATTAAAGTAACGATTCCGGCATTTTTCCAAACTATTTTTAATAGCATTCGGTTCATTTTTTTACCTTGATTTTTAAGGTAGGCTAGTGGCACTGGCAGAGATTGTAAAAATAAGTGAGAACGTCCCTGTCCGGCGTAACTGACTGCGGATTACTCTGATACCATTTGAGCAAAAACAAATTATTAACATCGGACAAGTACATATATCATATAACTCTGTCGGTTTCTTCAAATCTATTTTTTGCAAGAGTATTTTATCTTCGGCGTGTTTAAACTAGCCGTTCTTTCTTGGTATACCCTGAATCCAATAAAAATGGGCAAGTCTCCGGCCCCACAAGATATGTAAATCTTAATTAGAATCAACACTAGAGTAGACTTAGCCGTCCATTTGTATGAAGAAACGGACCTCAAACTACAAGAGCTAAAGAGATCTAAAGAATTTTGAATATATATTATCGTATACCAGCTTGATTCCGACGAATCTGAATTTTAATCGTTTATCGCTACATGAAAATATTTAAAATACATCAAAAGTTGGTTTCTTCAAACACCATTGAGATTCACAAGAAATCTAGAGATCTAACTATAAAAACATTTGTATTTCGCTGGCAAATAATTTAATTTAGAATTTAATTGACAAGGCAAAACATTGTTTGCTAACTGAATGCCATCCAATTATAAAATAAAAACAATTATATTGCCAAAACGCTGTGTGCAAGAAAGAAAACATTCAGCGTTAAAATAAACACAAAGATAACATTAACAACTAAAGACCACGCATAAAGCACCAAACAAAAAATATAAAATTAAAAATAAAATATAACAACAACGAACGTGACATTCTTCCATTTGACTAAAAAGCAACGCCCCGCAATTACGAGCGTCCAAATAAAATATGAATAGAATAGAAGTAAAAGTTTTAAGGAGACGCCCCCCTTAATTTTGGTTTTATATGGGATACATACCTCATTGCCATATGCCATCAAATGATGGGTTGTTATCAGCGATTTATAGACGACCACCCAATTGGCGTTCTGTGAACGTTCGATAAGTAAATTGGCCAAATGCGGTATCGACACATTCGGTTCATTTGTGCAATGCACCAAATCTGCAAGATTGAAACAAAGCAAACGAAATTAATGTATAAATTGTAGATTATTAAATGAGTAAAATAAAAGATTTGTATAAATGTGTAAATGTTCATACATATATGTATATGTAAATATGGTATTATCATCTTGTTGGTGCCGACTTTTGCGGTTCATTGCTTCATTCTTATCGTTCTTATGCTCAGCTACAAATTCCAAACACTCAACGATAAGCTTTTGTCTGTGGCGTCTGTTGCCATATCAAAAACGCATTAATTTAGTGCATTATAAAACATTTACATTTGTATAATAAATATATTATAAGTACCAGAGCTTGGTTGCCAATAGCGTGAAGAGGGGCGTTTTCTCCATAAATGCAGATGCGCTCAAATCGCCTGCAAATGCACTCGATGATTGCTTACACACTCATACACACACACACACACATACACACACACACACACACATACACACACACACACACTGGCACACACAGACACATCCATGAATCATTTGATTGAATTCAGTAATTGAAACTGGTGTACTCATAAATTGAAATATGGTAAGAAACAAACGTATGGTAATTTTAATATTTATTCATTAAATGAACGCTTGACATCAAGAATTGATTGCTTCTATAGGGACATTTTTTTTTCTCTATTTCACACTAGAAACTCTCATCATAAACTTCAAAACTGTATACTTGAATTCTTTATGTATAAAATCATGTTTTATATATCAATATTAATCAGTTGAAAATACTATAGTTTTCTAAAAAGGGTATTTTGGTTTCTTAAGTAAATATGACGTCAAACTTTTTGCCAAAATATTTAGCTAAAGACGACGGTTCTCAAAGTTTCAAATGTCAAACTACTTAAAAACTTTAAAAATATAAAAACGTTGCGCAAAACTTGTTGCAAGCTTTAATTGGAATTTTTTGAGGACAAGAAGAATAAATAAAATGACATATAACTATTGCACCGTTTTCGAAAAGTATAGTTAACGATTTTAATTAAATTATCAAAAAGCAGTCTTTAAATACAGTTTATTTGCCATATCTAAAGTTCCTACCTTTTTCATCTTTTGCTTGTTCTACGAATTTCTAACTGGTTTTAGTTTTTTTTTTTTTATTATTAGCAAAGAAAACGGTGGAAAGGGTAGAGGAGAAAGAGAAAGATGTTGTATAAAGTATATTCTTTTCAATGTATCTGCCATATAGCGATATGGAACCCAAGAACAGGTTTCTTTCTTTCTTTCTCTCTTATTGAATTTCTATATTGAAGGCTGCTCGCCTCTTTAATGGGTAAACTATGGATTGACTTTAGTCTTAATTACGAACGTCTGTTTTTAAGTATACTTTCAAGTAAATGTAGTAAATATTTTGTAGGTGTGTAATTTTAAGCAAGTGATAAATAACCTACACTTAAAAAAAAGGGAGCAATAACGATATTTTTACTAAGAAGTAAAGTAGATGCAGAATAACGGATTTTCTACTCAAGCAGTTCTGCTGCATAATAAACAATAAACAATAGAGTTTATAATCTGCATACCCCGCTTAAAGAGTCAAGATTTTGGATTGGTTTATATTCGTCTGTTTGGAACTGGAGCATGACGTCTGCACACAGATACCATAAGATTCAGCTTGATTTATTTCCATTCATTTCCTTAATTACAACAACAACAAGAGACACACACAAACACACATACAAAATGTCATCAGAGCCCAATTTCTATTCGTAGTTTTATCACACACACTCACACAAAGCTATGTTGCTCATTATGTGACAAATGAGTACAAGTAATGCTCACACACACACACACACACACACATGCAAACATATGTATGTATTTATTTATTTACGGTACTGGACATTAACGAAAATTTCTTATGAGTCACTTCGCGCTCATTGGACAACAACAACACCAAAGTTGCAAACGTGCCAAATAAACGGGTCAACACAAACACACATGCATACACACACACACATATATGGATGTGTAAACAGCAGCAATAGCAGAAAAATGTCAAGCAGAATCCAATAAGACGCACAAAAGATCAGTTTGTTTGGCCAATTAGAAGTGCAATGTGAAACATAGATGTTGTTGTTCTTGTAGTTGCATGCAACTTGTGCATACATTTAAAAGGCAATGACACCGTGACGCTTTGATCACAAAATTTAATACCATATCAAATGCAATTACACACACACACAGGTACTCATCTCATTGTAAATCATCAGAGACACGTGCAGCCGTGAGAAAGTGACGTAACATTAGAAAAAGAGGCCCAAAGCAATGAATGACGAAGCAGCTCAAAGGAAAGACCGCAAATCAGCAGCTGAGGCAGGAGAAGCAGGTGAATAGCAAAAATAAACATATGCACAATGAGTGGGCGTTAAATGCGGGCAGAGTGGGGCTGCTCTTTTTTTGGCATTAAATTTACAGTTAAATTTACAGCAGCCCTGGAGACTACTAAAGAAATGCATGCACATACACACACACACACATGCGCATGGCTTCATCATATATAACGTTACATTTCACATAAAAATCAAGGAAAAGAAAACTAGAAGAGAGAGAGGGAGAGAGAGAAGAGAACGAGACGCTTCTTTGTATAATTGAATGAATGGCAAAATTTTTAATTTATGCGTGTGTGTGGGTAAGATGATATCCGTTATTCGATGATTGTTATTCCTTTTCATTTTGTATATAATTCGCTTTGTGCACTTACAATCCAAATGCTTCTTCTTCGGCCCAATGCATTCCTCAGTTGTGGCCTTGCACACAGATTTGGCCAATCCTTGGCCCGCAAGGCTGTGACGAGCTGCGAGCAGCCTGTCGTTGATTGTTTGCCCAGCCATGGTCATCTTGAAGCTGTTGTTGTTGCTGCTCTTGTTGTTTTTAGTTTAATTGCACTCTAGTTTATTTCCAATCTAATTTGATTATGTGCACCAAAGAATGGACCAAAAAAACACTCACTGGCAAGTACACATACGCACGCACACACACTCACACACACACACACTCGGAGAGAGAGAGATGGACAAACAGGGAGACGTTTCTATATTGATTAGTTGTGTGTTGTGTGGCAATTTGTTATATACGAAAAATCACTTGTGGTTTCTGGGTGCACAAAGTGTTTCGCTGCCCGATTCGATTTAACGCAGCGATTTAATGCGCTCTTAGCCGGTGCGTATCGTTGCAACGCGATCTTTAATTCTCTATTTTTTTTTTTTTTTGCCACAAATCGATAATGGCGACCAGCACTTTTGCAGCCGATAAGAATAATGAGAGCTGAGGCTATCGATACTTGCTCGTGTTCGTACTTAACTTATCGACGTTCTCAGGCGCCACTGTTGTAATCGGTTGTTTCATTGAGGTATTCCCAATTTAATTTTTCGAATAATTGGCTCCAATCAAATAAAGATCATGTAATTACATACATTTGCTTTAATTTTGAGTTACATTATAAAATACAATCATTTTATTTGCTATTCATTTGGTTAATTTTAAAACAATTCAATAACTAAAATAATTCAATCAAGAAGTGACCAATATCTTTGTGTTTCCAGTCCCATTGCTTTAAATAAAAATGTCACTAAATTGAGTTAATATACAAATTATCGCAAACTATGGCTGGTCACACTATCATTTAGGACCGAGGTGCGATAACTGTACTCACCGATAAGCGATAACAATAATATTTTATATCGCTCCCATGCCACAGAACCTTTAGAACCAAGCAAAATAAATATAAAAACTCCAATAAAACATAAAGTCCAAACAATTTACAAGCTGTCAACAATTGGAGAGCGCAGTAAAGCGAAACCGTAGCAGATGTGAACGCTTGCGTTGCCAGAGCGCAACCAAAAACACGCACAAAAAATTCTTCAGCCCACCAAAAACAAAAAAGAAAAGAAAAACAAAAAACAGAAAGCTGGAAAATGAATGCACTTCGTCATTTTTACATGGAGATTCCGATTGTGACGCGAGTCTACACCACAGTCTGTGTGCTCACAACGCTGGCGGTGGTGAGTCTCCAACAGATACCATTTCCAATCTGACGCTGACGTGTACCCATTTTTGAATTTGTATTTTTATAGCATCTGGATTTGGTGTCGCCTCTGCAATTATACTTTAATCCCACACTGATTGTGAGGAAATATCAGGTGTGGCGTTTGGCAACCACATTCCTATACTTTGGCACCATCGGCATTAGTTTCTTCTTCAATATGGTGTTCACATATCGCTATTGCCGGATGCTCGAGGATGGCTCGTTTCGCGGCCGCAGCTCCGACTTTGTGATGATGTTCATATTTGGCGGCGTCCTCATGACATTCTTTGGCATCTTTGTCAATCTGCTCTTCCTCGGCCAGGCGTTCACGTTAATGCTCGTCTATGTGTGGTCCAGACGCAATCCCATGGTTCCAATGAATTTCTTTGGTGTGCTCAACTTTCAGGCATGTTTGCAAATTGAATATATATTCTTTGAATATATATTATTTGTTTATTATAATATATATTCCTATTAACGTTTTTATATCTTTTTATCTCCCACAAAAACAGGCGCCTTATCTGCCTTGGGTGCTACTCTGCTGTTCCATGATCCTGGGTAATACGGTTTGGGTGGACATCATTGGCATGGGCGTTGGCCACATCTACTATGTGCTGGAGGATGTATATCCGCAGCTCTCCAATGGCTATCGACTGATAAAGACGCCATATTTTCTGTAAGCGTTCTCTTTACACATTTCACATGCCAAAATACAATTGATTTTCATATTTAATCGCTTGCAGTAAAAGACTTTTCAACGAGCACATTGAGCGCAATTATCAAGCACCTGCGGAGGATCGTCCTGGTGGCTTCATGTGGGGTGGCGAGGGTCAGCCGGTGGCGCAACCAGATCAAGCAGATGATGCACCACAGCCAGCGGAACAGCCGCCAGCAGCTGCAGCAGCAGCTCAATAACAACCACCGACACACAGAAACCAGGCAAACAAAGTTGTTGATTAATTGTTTATTATGCGCTTTGATACAAACAAAAAAAAAAGAAAAAAGAGACAGAATTTTGCACGAGACGAGACGAAGATGAAGATGAAAATTAACAATTTAGGACCCCTCCGCCACCTGTCACTTGGTGCTTGCTATGATTAGGTACATATTGAAAGCGATAAAGAGAGCTCAGCCTTATCCATGGAACGATATGGCGTGCAATAGTTAGCCAAAGTTAATTCAAATGTGTGTTTTGTGTGTATTTAATCTATTTATTATTATTGGTTGATTTTTCCGATTCGCGGAACTGGTCGAGTTTAGTACGCAAATTGTACTTGACTTCTATTTTCTTTGCCTTAAGTTTTTCCTTTTCTGTGTAGATTCAGCACATGTGATTATATATCTATATATATATACATATATTTATGTATACAAACATGATAAGAATGAAAGAAAAAAAATTGAAAACAAATAAATAAGTGGAACAAATAAATAAATTCTTTCATTGCAGATCAATTGGCGCCATCTGTAGATTGTTGGCAGAAACAGGGGAGCTAATAAATTTGCACATTTCCAATACGATTCCTATTGATCATAACAGATGACCAACATTTTATTCATTTAATTTTTGCCGTATTGAAATAGTTTAGGTTTTGCCAGAATTAATGGTCAGTTGCCACACAATTCTGTTCGGATCTGGCAACTTCATCTGGCAATCACATCTGGCAACTACATTTGGCATATGAAAATGTTGTCGCACATGTCTGGCCAAGTCTGGCAGCGCAGTTTCTCAATTGTAAAAATTGCGACGAAAAACTAAGAATTAAGCGTAAGCAAAAGTTTAGAATTTAAGTCGTCTAAGCTAAATATTAGAATTGAGTTATTAACTATCAGATGGGAGCTAATAAAAGGCCACGCAAGCCGCGGAAAATCGAAAAGGATTATACACCCAACGACATCAAATTGCTGATAAAACTTGTGGAGCCGCGTACGATTTTGTGGGATCCAAATCACATCGATTACAAGGATCGCAAATTGCGCGAAAGTGAATTTCAGATCATTGCCGATGAAATGGACCGCACCGTGGACGATTGCAAGGCCAAATGGGAAAATCTACGTGCCCAATATCGAGGCTGTCACGTGAGGGAAGTTCGAAATAGTGCCGTTAAATGGAAATACTTTGAATGCATGAACTTCTTGCGCTCAGTGTACAGGGGAAATAACAAAGTTAAATCAAACTCGGTAAGCGACCATTTCAAATACGATCATCCAAAATATCTAATAAGAAACGCCACGTTTTGAAGCTGAAACCCGATTTAGCTGCGAGACCTGATCCAATATTTATCGAGACGCCGCTTTCACAGAGTGCACATTTTATAGATGATTTGGAGACGAGTTCCACTTCATTTTCATCGCTGAAATCGACACGGACAACGGTGAAGGACGAGGAACGCGAGTCGTCAGTTTTGGCCAAATCAGATATGTCGCTTCGGGCGAGGGCTGCTCAAGAACAAACTCATAATTCTGCACAAATCTTTGGTGATTTTGTCGCTGATCAAATGCGCCAGATAAAACCACATTTGGCTGCTGATCTAAAAACTAGCATTCTCAAACTGATCGTCGAGTCACTCGAAAAAAATAAATAAATCTAAGCTGTATTTAGATTTAAGCCAGTAGCTGATAAGTTTTTAATTATTAAAAATTCATGTTATTCCATTTCGAAAGGCATTGCTTAACCTTTCATTACATCGCTGCAGGATGATTACTCGGAAGAACTTCGTAATCGGAAACTTAGCTTTCATCTGTTTAAAGTTACATTTATTTAATTGATCACCTTTGTCAAGGATGATAAAATAAATAAATACAGGGCCTCAAAATCATTCCGTTGAAGCAAAATTCGTTTACAGATTTAAGACGCAAATTGCACAACGTAAACGCAAATCTGAGACTGTTAAAACTCGACAGCGTTGCCACTTTGCCAGTGCTTACAGTCTCATTTGAGGCCGAACACAAAGCAGAATCGAGCCGCAAAAATAAGACAATTGCAATACTTAAACCGCAACTATTGTCGTAAATAAACCACAAAATGGACGTTGATGCTGCACAAAAGACTTGGGAGCTGGAAAACAATATACAAACGCTGCCCAGCTGTGACGATATCTTTCGCTATGATGCCGAACAACAGCGTCAAATAATTGATGCCAAACCCTGGGAAAAGGATCCACATTATTTCAAGGATATCAAAATATCCGCTTTGGCTCTGCTCAAAATGGTGATGCACGCTCGCTCCGGTGGCACCCTGGAGGTGATGGGTCTCATGCTCGGCAAAGTGGAGGACAACACAATGGTAACAAGTTGAACTAACCCGACTAGCAGATTCCCTATGCCCAGATCCTAATTTAAGTACGATTGCAGATTGTGATGGACGCATTTGCTCTGCCCGTAGAAGGCACTGAGACGCGTGTGAATGCCCAGGCACAGGCCTATGAGTACATGACCGCTTATATGGAGGCGGCCAAGGAGGTGGGACGCCTAGAGCATGCTGTCGGCTGGTATCACAGCCATCCGGGCTACGGCTGCTGGCTGTCGGGCATCGATGTGTCCACACAGATGCTCAACCAGACCTACCAGGAGCCTTTCGTGGCCATTGTCGTTGATCCGGTGCGCACCGTGTCCGCTGGCAAGGTCTGCCTTGGCGCCTTTCGCACATATCCCAAGGGTTACAAGCCACCGAATGAGGAGCCATCGGAATATCAAACAATACCATTGAATAAAATTGAGGACTTTGGAGTGCACTGCAAGCAATACTATCCGCTGGAGATAAGCTACTTCAAATCGGACTTGGATCGCAAGCTGCTCGACTCGCTGTGGAACAAGTACTGGGTGAACACGCTGGGCAGCTCGGGCTTGCTGACCAATACCGAATACACCACCGGCCAAATAATGGACCTATCCGAGAAGCTCGAGCAAAGTGAAAACTTTTTGGGTCGCGGTAAGTGGAGTTGGCTTATGCAATTATTAAATTACACATTTCTAATTCAATTTCGATGCCCATTTCATGTAGGCACCGATGTGAACGAGAAGCGCTCCGAGGATAAGCTGTCGAAGGCCACGCGCGACTGCAGCCGCTCAACCATCGAGCTCATCCACGGACTGATGGCACAAATTGTTAAGGACAAGCTCTTTAACAAGGTGGGCCTGGGCAAATAGGCAGGACCAGTCATGGCCAGGCCAAAAGCTAAGCTTTTTTATAATATTCAGCTACTAAATTGAATACACTTATAAATATAAAGAGAATCTGCAGAGTGCATCATCAATCAAAATTATCATTTAATAAGTATTATTTTGACATTTTTGGCATTTTTTGCGGGCCAGCAGAAATCGATGGCAAGCGGGCGGAAACCGGAAGCCAGAAGCAAAACTGCTAATTAAGTGCGCTGTCACGTTTATGGCGACAGGTTTAAGAGGGACACGCGCCAGTTTGGGTGCGGGTGTGTGTGTGTGTGCTGCATACCAGGCAGCTAATATAAATAACGGCTATGTGTGTGTGTGGCATCCTTAACGCTCAACCGTTGTCATCAACTGTCAGCATTTGTTGTTTGGGCCCCTCATTAATTCCACTCGCAAGCTCGTAAAGAATGCATGTTCAGATTTACAAAAGCACCCGTTTAAGTGCTTCAAAAAATTTAGATATCCATTCAACATGTACATAAAATACGGTTATGGCTGCGGAAAATTTTTAAATGTGTTTTTTATTACACACATTTTAGAAACAGACACGCACACATATATAGATATATCAACTTCTCTGATCAAGTATATATATTTGTGTAAATGGACACAGCATTTATGGTTCATGTATGCAATTTTGTCAAGAACAAGAAACACATATTTAATTAAATTACATTTTGTAAATGTTCTATTTGTAATGCTTAAATTATTATTATATTAGAATATTTATATAGATAGCTATGCTTAAATTATTATTATATGTGAATGGGAAAATTATTGTTTATCAATAATATATTTTAAGACTTACGGCTACTTAAAGCTATGATTTATGTAACTATTTGATGAAAATGGTCATAAGTAGAACAATTACATATATTATACAATTTCTCGGTCAGCTTCTCCAGCCGATCTTTTCAATATTTGCTCTTCTAGGCTGGTCAATGGTGGAATGATTCAACGGCAGATTTAAATTCAGTTTTAGTAGGAAACGCATATTAAATATATTAAAGACTTACAGTAAAAGAGTGAAATACTTTCAATTATGAGTTTATTTATGATCCAATCAGATATGAATATTATTGAGTAAACATTAAATAGCAAAAGCGAAATTCAAAATGTCAAAGTAACACCCAAACAAGAAACACCAATAACAAATGCAAAGAACTCATAATGTGCGTGAGAGTTATTGTTGTAAAAGGGATGCAATAAAATTGCGGAGAGACACTTGATTGATAGTTTATCGCCTAAGTGAGCGTCAATTGGCACCCAACAAGGAGCAATGACATTTAATGAAACACTGTCAACGAGCACTCGCTGCATGGGGATGTTGCCGCTGACAGACAAATGGGATAGGGAGCTGGTGGCACCCGAAAGGGTTGCGAATGGGAAAAAATTTTGGCAGCCAACTGGCTATAAAAGTCGTGGGCAAATGCGGCACGCGCTTCATTCACAGGACGTACGCGAACGGAGTACAACACACAATTACATTCACATATTAAGCATAAAAACAAAAAAAAAAAAAAAAAAATTAGAAAATAAGGAAAAGGAAAAAGAAATCACACAAGCACAAAGAAAAACATCCTCGGGCAGAACAGTTGCCTCGTAAATGGAAACACTGTGGAAATCACATTAAGCATTTTCCTGTGTCTCAGCAAATTCAATTACGTTCAAGCTATTAATAAATAATGCATCTGGGAAAAGACTGGGAAATGCAAGCAGTTGAAAAGTGAAAGGCATCGGAAAATAAAACTCATTTTTAAAGCATACCTGTTGCTCTTTCCAAATAAAAAGTAAGTAAAAATAATAATAACAATTTAATATAAAAATGTGCATCTTGCAGTTAATTGCTGAAATTTCAGCTTTGCAATAATTTAATATAATTTTGTTTAATATCTGTAGATGAAGGTAGGAAGCGACTAGAAGTTCATTCAAATTTATGTATTTATATTAACTTATTTTATATTGATTTAATTTTCTATGAAGTCTTAATAATATTGATACAAAATAATCCCATCACATTTTGGTATTTGTATATATTCTCCATCGAATTTAATTGAATATTGCAAGAATAAGTTAATTTCCATTTAGTATTTTTTTAAATTATTAAATATATAATTATTTATTTTATATATTTTTCTAGACAGTTAAAACACATTTTACCATGTATGGAATGTTGTATGAGAGTGTCCAGCACTATGTGCAGAAAGAATACGGCAAAGAAGTTTGGTCAAAAGTTTGCCACATTGTGGACTGCAAGCACAACAGCTTTAAGACCCATCAGATATATCCGGATAAGCTGATGCCAGATTTCGCAGCAGCTCTATCCGCAGTAACGGGCCAGTCCTTTGACTTTTGCATGAACTTCTTTGGCAAATGTTTTGTGCGTTTCTTCAGCAACTTTGGTTACGATAAAATGATACGCTCCACGGGTCGGTATTTCTGTGATTTCCTGCAGTCCATCGATAATATCCATTTGATTATGCGCTTCACCTATCCGAAGATGAAGTCACCCAGCATGCAGCTGACCAGCATGGATGACAATGGAGCGGTTATATTATATCGTAGTGGTCGCACCGGCATGTCCAAGTACCTCATCGGGCAGATGACGGAGGTGGCCAGTGAGTTCTATGGCCTGCAGATCAAAGCCTATGTGATCGAGAGTCAGAATGATATATCCGGCGGCACTGCTGGACCCATTAAATTGACAGACGGTCCTCTAACGGTTATAGTCAAATATCGGCTGGACTTTGATAATAGAGAATATATGGCCAAGCGTGTGAATACTGAAGCGCATCCTTCGCAGTACAGGATGCCGCAAGTAAACTTGAATGTGTTCCTGGATCTGTTTCCTTTCACGATTGTCTTAAATCATGATATGAAGATAACGCATGCTGGCGAGAAAGTTGTTGAGACGTGGATAATGCACAATCCCGGAGTCAATCCCAAGTCCTTCATTGGCACATATGTCATGGATCTGTTTCACTGCCGTCGCCCCAAGGATACCACCATTACCTGGGACACTTTGATTCAGATGCGAGCGGTGCTCTTCGAGTTCGAGCTCATACGCACCGGGCATAATCGAGCCGCCTATGAGGCTGTGCTCAACATGGACCTTGAGAACTATGATGACATGGTCCTGAACGAGGCCCAGACTACAGCGCTGCAGAAGACCAAGGATTTAGCGGAGAAACTGGAAGAGGAGTCTGGTGACGAGCGGGAAATCGATCCGGCAACGGGCGAACGCCGATCTTCGGATGGTGTTCGCTCCATTCTACTCAAGGGACAGATGTTCTACATTAAGGATGTGGACTCTTTGATCTTTCTGTGCAGTCCTCTGATAGAGAATCTTGATGAGCTGCATGGGATTGGTTTGTATCTAAATGATCTAAATCCACATGGCCTGAGCCGTGAACTGGTGATGGCGGGCTGGCAGCATTGTTCCAAGCTAGAGATGTTGTTCGAGAAAGAGGAAGAGCGCTCTGATGAGCTGGAAAAATCTTTGGAATTGGCGGACTTGTGGAAGCGTCAAGGCGATGAGCTGTTGTACTCCATGATACCCCGTCCCATTGCAGAACGCATGCGATTGGGACGTGAACACGTCTGCCAGAGCTTTGAGGAGGTTTCCGTCATATTCATAGAAGTCATGAATATCTACGACAGCGGCTCAAATAACGTCCAAGAAGCCATGCAGGCTGTTAATACGCTCAACCAGGTGTTTTCAGCAATAGATGAGGAGATCATATCACCATTTGTCTATAAGGTGGAAACTGTGGGCATGGTCTATATGGCGGTATCCGGAGCACCGGATATCAATCCTCTACATGCCGAGCACGCTTGTGACATGGCGCTGCGCGTTATGAAAAGGATTAAGTCCCACAATCTGCCAGATGTGGCTATTCGAGTAGGTATCAACTCGGGTCCAGTCGTCGCTGGGGTAGTTGGCATGAAGGTGCCGAGGTATTGCCTGTTTGGAGATACTGTGAATACGGCCTCACGCATGGAGAGCAGCGGCGATCCGTGGAAGGTGCAGTTGTCCGGTTATACGGCCGAAAAGGTGCAAACTGCGGGCTACAAGGTTGAGTCACGCGGTACAGTTAAAGTCAAGGGAAAGGGCGACATGGAAACCTTTTGGCTTGTGGAAGGACCTGAGGAATGAGAATTGAGATAAATATACTAATTAATGTACTCGTGTAATCTATTATGATATATACCAATGCACACTTAGTTGACGTAATAAAATATGCCCTCATGTGGAGCACCCTGCACTTGAATTGTACTGCTAGAAATTTTAAATGCAATAAATTTGAATGTTTCTCATTATTCTGGAATGATTTAAATGGTGAGTGCTTGAAGAGCTTGCTATGACTTTAAAAGTAAATAATTAAGACTAGTTAAACTTAATTAAAAACCCAACATTTTGGAGGATAATTATCTAGTTGAACTATCATCAGAATTTTGATATTATTTCTTACAAATAATTTACAAGAATGCTTAGAAATTGCTGAGTGTTTTGAGTAGACTGCTAAGGTATCTCACTTATATAGTAGCTTTTTTTCAGTGTTCTCTATAGTACTAAATAGACTTACTTATACGAATAAGTATTCAGATTTGGTTTTTACGCTTGCCTCTTAATTATTTTCCTGTTGAAATGTATAATTTCTTAGGAGAAACACTCTTCTGAATGCACTTCAAATGTTTCGAAAACAATATTATGTCAAAGCTGCAGATAATTTAGATCTTATTTGTCTCACTTATTTTCTTGTGTTTACGTATATAAACGGTTTCCATATCCTTGGTAATGTTGCTTTGATGCACTCGAACCTTATGATTATGTCAAATAAGAGGAAATATTTTGACGTCCGCTGTGGTAAGTTAGTCGCAACCTACTGTCGCTGGCTCCCATCCAAGTATCAAATTTAATAACATTTATGAGCGGTTCGCGTGTCAAAATGCGTGCACACCACAAACACAGACACGAACACAACCACAAACACAGATACAAACACGCACACACACGCACACATTGTCACTGAGACACTCATCATAAAAGCGTAGCATACTTTCTGGCGAATATTAGTAACAATTGTGGTTGGTCCCTCTGTACCTGGGATGTGCCACTGCAATCAAATTAAGACATTCTGCGTGACAAATGGGCGCTCAAAGTCGCACGTAATATTTTAACTTAGTTGGGCCAATTAATTTCAGTTTGAGTTCGACTTCAACTAAGGTACGTTCATCAGTTGAGTTTGTGCGTGTACATCTTAATTACCTATTGAAATGATATTGTTATGTTTGTTGTTTTCACATAATTCGTTGTTGTCTTTCCTTAATGGTATTCTGAGTATATTTTAAACGTCCGCAAACAAACATAATTTCCATTTTCCTCCATTTGCCCCTTCTGTTAAGCTGAATGGAACGAATTTGGAAACGTTTATGGACCTTAAATCCATCCGCACTTATCATCATCATCATCAGTTTAGCAAACCAAATTTTGTGCCATAAAGTTGTCAACGTTCATCGAAAAGCTCGCTTTGAATCCTTTTTATTTGCAGTCGAACTTTGCTTTACCCAATGCCAAAAATACGCATTAAATTGCTTTAAAGCAGAACATCAAACTCGTAGCTAAGGACCAAAGGACACACACATACACACACACACACACTTATATACATGTTTGTATGCTTACTGTATTTTATTGGTATGCGTAAAAATGGCAGAGCATTAAATACAGAAGGGGACGAGACGGTCCCACGCATAGACAGTGTCAAAGGCTACAACAATAATACAATTCATGAACTGTGAACAAGAGACAAATAGCTCAGGGCTACGCTGTGATAAACCTGGAATTGGTAATGGAGAACTAGTTGGTGAATTTTTAAGCATCAATCTATTTTAGCATAGCTTAAGGTCTGATTGTAAAACTTTTTAATGATTGGTAAAACTTTTCGTATTTGAATACCAAGCTAAAATTGAAAAAAACTCAAATAATCGATTTTTTATGAACAAATGCTTTGGAGCCTCTCTGAATCTAGAGCACTTTTCATTCCAATTTCTTGGTGAATTGCCATGTTCGATATATCAATATATTATCCTTCTAGTCAGATCCTAACTTCTATTGTTGATATTCATACCTAGAAATAAGTAAGCAAATGGGAATGTTGATATTAAGCTTATTAAAAAAAAAAAAACAACAACACATATTTACTGTATTTTTATTAGTTAAGTTTTCTTATAGCATTCTCAGTCAATATAAAATATTATATATTATCATCAACAAATTTTAAAATAAAGTAAAGTTAAAGCTAAAGGTTTTCCACAGTATCTCAAACTAATTTTCGTTTATTTAACAAATCTCTAATTACATATTTAAGTACTATAGTATCATAATAACTAAGTTATTTTAATTAGTACGATAATAATTAAGTACAGTATTATATGTAATTCGATACACTGAACACAAAACCAATGCTTTCATGGGCTTTTTGTGTGCGTCCCTATTGCAACACTTAAGTGTAACAACAAGTGAGGAAGGAAAACATTTCCTAGGAAATGCCAAGAGCCAGGAGTAAGCTCGTAACGGCAAGGAGCTAGATATAAACTCGCTTTCATTTGATGCTTTATCGAAAAGTGAGCGTCAATTGGCATAAAGCCCTTTGGGAAAGTGTGGGGATGCGGGAAGTGAGATGCGGAGGGAGTATTGACATGAAATGAAACACTAACGATGATGATGCGGGCAGGAACGGTTCGAGGAGCTCTGCGTGTCTACACAGTGGGGGGTGAAGGAGTGGGGCACATGGTATTAGCGGGGTAGCAAGTGAGGCGCGGTAAATACAACAACAAAAAAGGCGTAAAGTGCGCGCAAAAGTCGAACGGAGGCAGGTCCAGTGCCGGCTATAAAAGACCTGGACGCCAACGAGACACGCTCCATTCACACGACGAGGCCAGCCGAAGATACACGACGAATTTTCAAGGCTCTTACGCGACACAGCCATGAAGCACAAGGCACAAAGCATCGTTAAGCACTGTTGCAAAAACAACAAAATTAGTTGAACAGCAGCAGCCGAAAGCGACGGTACGTCAACAGCTAAAACTGAGTGTTAACAACGAAAATAACAATTTCGAGAAAAATCTGTATTCGCGGATTTGTGTCTGTATCTGTGAGTGTGTGTTCTGTGTGTGTATGTATGTGTGTTGCTCCATTCAGCATATGCCGCCCGATGGCGCTGTAAAGTATAAATAAAATATGCGACTAGGTCGACTAAAACTAAGTCAGCGCAAAAAGTGAATGGGAAAGTGATTTAATGCTTGATCTACTTGATGCTGCAAGGCAAATAAAAAATACAAATGCCTAAATGCTTGATTAACCTGATGATTTCCACGAGTAATATATGCAACATTAATTAATAAATAAACAAGATAATTTAAATGTTAAGCGGCGAACAGAATTATTTACTTTAGTAAGCCAAACAAGATTATTTAAATTTGTTGTGAAAGAAAGTTGACGGTTTTTAAAAAACTCTGCTTAAAGCTGAAACCGACCTTTACGAATTGGATAAACAAGATATCTTGGATAAATTATCTCCCACTCATGGTAAATATGCTTTGGTATAAACAGTAGTAATAAGAGCAGGAATAAGTTGCTATGGAGCTTGAGCTTAATTTAATTATCACAAAATTTGATATTCTTGCCATATTCATTATATTCGTGAACAAATTTTAGGTTTTCCTAATTTATTATGCCAGCTATATTAAATTCGTGTTGAATTTATGGGTTCTCAGTTGGTTTGACAAATGATTTACACAAGTTGCCTGAAACCCAATAAAGAGCTAAACAAAAGAAATTAGCAGATGAAAGCCACTGAAGTAAGTTAAGCCCACAAAAGGCTTCTGTTATTTTAAGAACGTGACAGGCGAAAGGACATTTAACGGATGCGGGAAACAGGCAGCTTGTTTAACAGGCGAGCGCATGTCTTGTCGGCGTGAATGTAAAACCAAATTAAACCGCCAGAGCAATAAATCAAAAGATATTTTTGGTCGAAGCCTCTTAACTTTTTTGTGCATGTGCCGCTAACAGATAAACTTGGTTGGTTTTCTGGCAACAGCAGGCAGTGTATGTGAATGGATGTGGATGGGACAAAGAATGCTCACGTGACATTTGTCAAATCTAACTCAATTTTATGCTTGACTTCAGAGGTTAATCGGTTTAGCAGGTTAACCACAACATCCTGAAATTATGAACCAATCATTTTGTTTCAAAATATCATAAGGGTTATCTCTACTAAATATTATACAAAAGCCAAATTCAATTTAACAACTAGATTCATTAAAGATAATATAATTAAAGTTATTTCACATTGCTTAAATATATTGGATATTGGTATATTTAATTAATTCAAATATGATATCTATAAAACAATCGACTCAATTGCTGTAAGAATTTGCCCTCAATACTCTCTGATAAATTGCGTTATTCTTTTCTCATTCTTTTCGTTTCCAGTAATGACTTGTCTCCAGTGCGACCTTATAGGCATAATAAAAACATATCGTGACTAGAGTAATATAATAATTGACTAATCGCTCTTCAGGAGTTGAATTTAGATAATCCCTGACAAATTGACTTGCATTTTTTCTTGCCCCAGCACTCTGCTTAATGGAAAAACTTTGCGATGTGCTACCCTAATTATATTCTTGCAAACTTTCGCTCATTACAGATAAGCTTGGCGCAAGCAATTTGAACGCACACACAGCCACCTGACCAGCCATCTCAGCCTCCCATTCCCATCCACTCCCCACTCAGGGGAGCCACGTAAATTGAGCGGACCACAATCGCCATCATGTACGGCATGCTATATGAGAGCGTACAGCACTATATACAGGAAGAGTACGGCATGGATACGTGGAAGAAGATTTGCCACATTGTCGACTGCAAGCACAACAGCTTTAAGACCCATCAGATATATCCGGATAAGCTGATGCCAGATTTCGCAGCAGCTCTATCCGCCGTAACGGGCCAGTCCTTTGACTTTTGCATGAACTTCTTTGGCAAATGTTTTGTGCGTTTCTTCAGCAACTTTGGTTACGATAAAATGATACGTTCCACGGGTCGCTATTATTGTGATTTCCTGCAGTCCATCGATAATATACATGTGCAAATGAAATTCACCTATCCGAAGATGAAGTCACCCAGCATGCAGCTGACCAGCATGGATGACAATGGAGCGGTTATATTATATCGTAGTGGTCGGACCGGCATGTCCAAGTACCTCATCGGGCAGATGACGGAAGTTGCAAAGCAGTTCTATGGCTTGGATTTGAAGGCCTATGTTATTGAGAGCCAGAATGATATATGTGGCGGCACTGCTGGACCCATTAAGCTAACAGACGGTCCCTTAACGGTCATTGTCAAGTATCGCTTGGATTTTGACAATCGCGATTATATGGCAAAGCGTGTTAATATTGTTGCTCATCCGACTCAAGTTAAGATGCCACCTGTGGATCTGAATGTATTTCTCGAGCTATTTCCCTTTACGGTTGTCTTAAATCATGATATGAAAATAACGCTGGCCGGGGAAAAGATTATTGAGACGTGGATTCTACACAATCCAGGCGTTAATCCTAAGCACTTTATTGGTACCCACGTCATGGACGTGTTTAAGTGCCGGCGACCAAAGGACACCAAAGTCGAATGGGAAACCATTTTGCAGATGCGAACGGTTCTATTCGAGTTTGAGCTGATACGCACCGGGAACAATCGAGCCGCCTACGATGCGGCCCTGAATGCTGACTATGATGATCTCGATAGCTGTGACGATCTGAGCTTGAACGAGGCACAGACCATGGCACTGGCTAAGGCCGCGGAGTTTGAAAAAGAGCATGCGAAGGATGAATTAGAAGTGGCGGCCGCAAAGGAAGAAATTGATGAGGCGACAGGACAGCGTCGACCTTCTGTGGGTCTGCGCTCCATTCTACTCAAGGGACAGATGTTCTACATTAAGGATGTGGACTCTTTGATCTTTCTGTGCAGTCCTCTGATAGAGAATCTTGATGAGCTGCATAGCATTGGTTTGTATCTAAATGATCTAAATCCACATGGCCTGAGCCGTGAACTGGTTATGGCGGGGTGGCAGCATTGCTCCAAGCTAGAGATGTTGTTCGAGAAAGAGGAACTACGCTCCGATGAGCTGGAGAAATCTTTGGAATTGGCGGACTCCTGGAAGCGTCAAGGTGATGAGCTTTTATACTCGATGATACCGCGACCAATTGCCGAAAAGATGAGATTGGGACAAGAGCACGTCTGTCAGAGTTTTGAGGAGGTCTCCGTCATTTTTATTGAGGTGATGAACATCTACGACAGCGGAGCAAACAGCATACAGGATGCTATGCAGGCTGTTACTACTTTGAACAAGGTGTTCTCAGCACTCGATGAGGAGATCATATCACCATTTGTCTATAAGGTGGAAACTGTGGGCATGGTCTACATGGCGGTGTCCGGAGCACCGGATATAAATCCTCTGCATGCCGAGCACGCTTGCGACATGGCCCTGCGCGTTATAAAAAAGGTTAAGGCACACAATCTGCAAGATGTGGCTATCCGAGTCGGTATCAACTCGGGTCCAGTCGTCGCAGGGGTAGTTGGCATGAAGGTGCCGAGGTATTGCCTGTTTGGAGATACTGTGAATACGGCCTCACGCATGGAGAGCAGTTGCGATCCGTGGAAGATCCAGTTGTCCAATTATACGGCGATAAAGGTGCGTGAGGTGGGCTACAAGGTGGAGGCGCGTGGCTTTGTGAAAGTTAAGGGAAAGGGCGACATGGAAACGTATTGGCTGCTGGAGGGACCGGAATAATATTAATTTACTCACAGATTATCATCTTATGTATTAGTCAAATCTTAAATAAACTCTTTGTAGAGCTTTACGACACTTTAAATAACCCGCCTTTTATTGAGCAAGCAATATAAGTGAAGTTTCAAAGTATTCGATAGATGGAAAATCGGTTAGAGCTGCTATCGGCAAACTGTCATTCACATTGTCAGGGAAATAAGTCGATAACAAGTCAAAATCTTGCCTTGAAGATTTGCTTTCAAATTTTATGGAGATTGCTCTGATATAAAGATAAATTTGAGATAAATAATTTCAGTTGTAATTGCTAGACAAGATGCTTAAGTTTAATTTAATAGTCGCTGTTTGCGAAAACTTTGGCATCGGTTTCAAGGGCAATCTCCCATGGAATCTCAAGTAAGCTTCAAAGTCACCCCGAAATTAACTCTCTTATAATATATGCATCTTACAGATCGGAGCTGAAGTATTTTAGTCGCACAACAAAGCGCGTCTGCGATCCTTCCAAGCGCAATGTCGTCATCATGGGCAGGAATACCTATATGGGCGTCCCGCCAAGTAAGCGTCCACTGCCAGATCGCTTGAACATTGTGCTCAGCACAACGATGTCTGCAGCCGATCTGCCCAAGGAGGTTCTGCTGTGCCGCAGCCTGAATGAAGCAATGGAGACCATCGAGAGCCCCGAATGGTGCAAGCAGGTGGAGAATGTATGGATTGTCGGCGGCAGTCGTGTCTATGCCGAAGCAATGGATTCGGAGCGTTTCCATCGCCTCTATTTGACCAAAATCCATGAGAAATTCGAATGCGACACATTCTTTCCCGAAATCCCGGATTGCTTTAAGGAAATCCCACTCGACGAGCACACCCCAGACGGTATCCAGGAGGAGGATGGCATTAAATACGAGTACAAAATTTTGGAAAAGCAATAATGTAATAACATAAAACAATAAAAGCTGTCAATTTATTTATTTCGGCCACGGACGTCATCCGGCGTTATCGTATCGCCCTCGAGTGCCTTGGCGGCCAACATCAGTTCGTACAGCTGCACCACTTGGTCATCCTTGAGCATCTCCACCGACTGCGGATCCATTTGCTCGCCCAGCTCACCCCTCGGCTTGCCGCGCAGTCCCAGTTGCTGTGTTATCGTGGAGGCGTAGCGCTAAAAACATGAGGCGTGGCAATTAGAATGCCCAATTATTGTGCTTACGTAAAACTCACAGCCCATTCGGTCATGAAGAGTTGCGCCTCCATCGGATTGCATTTGATGTGACGCCTGAATTCATCGCGGACATAGTTATCGCCCAAGGCGCGCAGTTCTGCTGGCATTCCTTAAATAGTATTGAGATTTTGCAGTTGTTTTTGTTTACGCTTTTTGTCTTTGCGTGTTGCACTCACCTCGATGTAGCCTCAATATGGTTTTGTAAAGCAAACGCACGCGCTGCGGATGAGTTAGTTGGTTCATTATAATTTTCGACATTGTGTTTCTTTCATAAATATTAAATACTAAATATTAAGCGACTAACGATATATATTACAGAAATTAAATCCTAACTTGCAACGCGGGGCAGCAAGCTAGGCCCAGGGCTGTGTGCTTTCCAAACACTTATCGATAATTTGCCAATAAATAAACTGCGGTCTCATTATAAAGTTGTCAAGTTGGCAGTACCGCAGCAAATACAATTTTAAGGCATTTGAATTTAACTGCAGTTTTGCTCAGATTGGCATGTCTGGGTCGCGCGTCCCTTGCAAAAGAATTCCTGCACAGGAAACCGGGATGCTTGCGTCGATAAAAATCAACAATAAAGATACGCAAAATACATGTATTTTATTTAAAAAGTGTTTCAATATATAAATTAAATAAGTGAAAAGGTTACAATTTGCGTGTGCATCTGTGTGCCACTTAAGTCTAGCTTTATTTCTTGCTTGCGGCTTCCTTCTTTTTTTTTTTTGTCTTCGCTTCTCGGCACCAAGCGAAAGTTGCAGCCGACAACGCCGACGCTCAAACCGCCCACAAACTTCTCCAATTTTCTGCTGCCAGCTGCATCGAAACGGTAAATACAATAAAAATGTCGCTAGATGGAGCGCAAATGAGTTGTGTAAATGCCGCTGGTGGATCTACAGTGGCTTATACGGCAAAAGGAAACAAATTCACCGTTGGCTCCTATCTTGGCTGCGATTTGGTTTTGCCCGATGCGGAGCGCATTCACTGCGAAATCCAATGCGATTCCTTTGGCAGGGTGAGTAGCTTTTTGGATATGTGTGCGTATGTATATGCTAGAAAATGCGCGCGTCTTTCATATTTGACAATTGCGAACATCTATTTCATTTTATAGGTAACCATTTACAACCACTCGCGCAACAAGCCCATCTTGTTAAACGATCAGATCGTGCATGCAACGGCCAAGCGCCCATTGCCACATGGTGCACGCATTCAAATCCTGAATGATGTCTACAGCTGGCAATTTGCTAGAACAACCGATGAGCTCCTCACGCCAGATCGTCCACCGGCAGAGCAGGCGTCCAATTCGGCGCCGAGCCTTATCGTGAGTACAGTTCTCAGTTTTATGGGTACATTAATAATTGCCGCCAATTCTGTGTATTTTACAGGCTCATCGACAGCGTCGACAATTTGAAAATCGCCTCACCGTCCACAAGTAAGTAACAGCAAAAGGGCCTGCAAACGGCAAGCAAAAAGACGACCACTCAGGTAGTCAGACGAGCATCCAATACACATTTAACCCCTAAAAATGTTCTGCCATATGCTAAAAGTCGCAAGTAAAATCAAGACCAATTCAAGGCGCATTCAATACAAGCCATTTTTAAAGCTGCAAGAATTTATATTAATTCAATTCGTTTTTCTGTGAATAAGTAGATCTACAGAGGATTATATTGGTTATACTTCTTTGAAATAAATAGCGTTATTTACAAGCGTCTCTTTGATAGAGCTCTATAGAAAAGTTGAGTTAAAATTTGTATATTATTAAATTTAACAGTGAGTTAATATAATATTACATAAGCATAAACATAACATTTAACATGTTGAAGATGCTCGGATAGCTATACTTTATATTTCACATCCACGTTTAGTCACAATTTGAGATAGAAGTAATCAATGCCTCGCAAAATCTATTTTTAGGTATTCTTATTTTAAGTAATCATATTTGCAGATCGCTTTATTGAATTTTTTGCTCGCACAGTAGTCTATATTGATTTCATTCAGGCTGTTATTCATGTAAATGTGCTTTAATCAAATGCTTATGGCTTGCAGCTTTCGATATTCAATCAATTCGGACGATGAAGGCAATACATCCATTGAATTGCGCCAGCTGGAGATCACCTCAAACAGCAATGCGGCTGAAGAGCCAGAGTGCAATGAACTGGAGGAGAGTATGCCCAAAGTGGATCTGCTTGAGGCGACACAGAACAAGGAGAACACCAGCACACTCATCAATAAAACAGTGCTGCAGCTGTGCGCTCGCTCTGACGTAGTCATCACTTCGTTTTCACCGCGCCAAACGGGCGTCAAAATTGAGAAATCCTTTACGCGTGTGGTCAAGCCGAGCACAGGTCTCGGCTTACTGTCGGTGGCGACAACACCGAGAAGTGTTTATAATACGCCAAAGAGCGTGCTTTCCGAGCAGAACGATGACAGCTGCAGTCGCGATTTAATGGAATACAGCACACCATCAACATCCAAAATAGCTGTGGCTGGCATGCGATCATCTTCCATGTATCTGGTTGATTTAACAACCCCTCAGCGACTAAGGCCAACGCTTAAGCAGACGCCTGCCAGCAGTGACGTCATAAGCGTTGATTCCACCGACGAATCGTCGGATGCATCGCCATTGATCATCGACATCACCAACTCAGCCAGCCCATCCACATCGATGATGGCAAGGCAAAAGTCGCGTCCGTTAGCCAAAACGCCCAAGGACCAGCTGATGTCTGCCGGTGGTACGCCCAAGCACACATCCTTGGTGAAGCGTGCAGTGCTCAGCAGCGCCAAGAAGCAGTGTCTATCAGTGCCGCGTCGCCTGCCATTACACCACCCACAGCCACAATGGCGTACACCAGTCCGACGAAATCTGTCTGCATTGGCGGATGAAGCACCGATGACATCGCCACGCGAACGGCAAACCTCATCCATTGGCAAGCCGCGCCACACGATAACCTCGCAACGGCGAAACACGCTTGCCGCCGCTGTTAAACTGAGCGGCGTTGGCCGGAGCAACAAGCTGGTGGCCAAAGCCTGTCGAGCTCTCAACTCGCCCAAGCAGGGGCAATCACCACATCGATTAAAGCCAACGGCAAGTTTTGCACCAAACGAAGCCTCGACACCCTCGCGTGAACAGAATACGTCGGCTGAGCTGAGTCGAACGTTTACCATTGATGGCGATGGTGACGAAGTGCCGCATAGTCCCACAGCTGCAGCACTTGAGGCAGTTGCTTCCTTGATAACTGATGGGGAGACTGGCCAGCCATTCCCCGATCGGAGTGTAAGCAAAAAGTTGTATGAATCTCTCACGAGCGAGGAAATGCAGAGCAGCTCAAGGCGCACGTATTTAGTATGTGTCGAAAATGCTGAAATTTTCACGGAGAACGGCAAACATATTGATCAAATTGTCAATCCCAATGATGCTGCGGTAAAAGATACACTAAACCGAACATTTGAAGCGAATGGTTGTCTTGAAAGAGCAGCGGACACTTCAATCACCAGCAATCAATCCCCAAAGGCAGAAATTGCTATTAAGAGTATAGGCAACGATGCGCATGTTGAGGAGAAAGTTTCCAGCAATGGCAATTCAACTGAGGAGGAATTGACAACTGAAGCCGTCGATGTTATTGAGGATAGCATTTGTGAGGAGGTGGTCACTACCACAACTACCACAAATCAAGATGGTAAGTACTTAATATTAAATCAATATATCAATTGCTTAACTTACGAAAAAATAAACTACAAAAAGCTACAGTGGGAATCACACATGTGCGTCTGGTTGAGGATACGATTTGCGAGGAAGTGGCAACCAGTGAGGAGCACTTTCCCACAGCAAATGGTGAGTGCTTCAAACGTAGTTGGCCTATCTGAAATTACTCGAAGTATTTGTTAAATAAATATCAAACTTACGTTGAACTAACATATTACCAGAAGTTAATATTTGATATAAATTGTAAAAAATAGTAAAACTCATTTTTTTGTATGCTCATCGCAGCTAGTACCGACTCTCAAGAGAAGGAAGAAGAAAAAGTGGAGGAGGACGAGGCAAATTTGATAGTGGTAGCACCGCCTGGTCAAACGCCAACACCCACACGCAGCTTGCGACGCTTTTCAATGGATCAGCAGAAGACAGTTAGCTTGACGCCCAGGAGAAGCGCACGTCTCCAATCCATGGAGCTTGGAAAGCAGCCAACGCGACGCGCCTCTTGCTCGGCAGCCCTGGAAAGTCTAGCCGAAAGTAGTGTGCTTGCAACACCCAAACGAAAGCGTCGCCTCACTGAAAATATGTCCACGCCCACGCGAAAATCACTGCGTCTGCCCAGCCATACACGAAAGAGATCGGCGCAGTTGGATGAATCTGTAGGCGACATGGGCGTTGTTGTGGAGGAAATGGCTGCTGAACAAGCTGAAGGTAAGTCTGTTGATACCATGCAGTAATCCTTAGTTAATGTACAAATTCTAAAACAGCTGACAAATTGCCAGCGGATGAGGATTACGGCACTGAAGTACCTGCTTCGGAAGCAGATGCGCCGTACAAAATTGACTATCACGGCATGCGGGAGCTGCTCAAGACTCCGAAGAGCTGCAGCACTCCACGGTTCAGAGGACTGCGTGAATTGATGCGCACTCCGAAGGTGACAGCGTCGCCCATGTTGGACAACATTGAAGAACTACTGGAGGGCAACTCAAACGATGCTTCGGCAACTCCCAAACGTCAGATAACTGCCAACCGTCTCACATTTGATCTGACACAATCCGAGCCAGCTGGCGATGCACAGGATATGTATTTCAAGACGCCGCGTGCCAAGAACCTAATGATACCAATTGAACCCGCCAGCGCCGTGTTGCAAACGCGCGACAATTCACAAGACACAACCACCGAATACGATTTGAATGCGACTAATGCCACACTGCACTTGGACAAAATCTTTGATGATGTCCTAACAGCGGAGGCAACTAATGCGACAATCACCGTCGAAGATTCGGAAGCCGAGATTAATGTAACTACAGTGAGCACTGGCAACGTAAGCGCTGCAGATCCCTTGGCTACATCTGCAGCTGCGACTATGGTGTCGCATAACAACACATCATCCGAGGCTATGATGACAATTGGAGATATTGACGAATCCCACAAAGATCCTTTAACAAGCACTGCATTCAAACCTGGAGCTAGAGATGATCTCAAGCTAAGCGCTCTGAACGACGAGCGTTACGCTAATAAATCCAAGTCTCTGGACGTATGTGAAGTGAGTGGCATACAATTACTGGATCAAACCAGCGATTCCATGTTCTCGGAACAACTGATTGTCACCGGAGTTGACTCTTGCGATGTGACCTTGGAGGAAACAAGGCCGATTGCGAGTCGCACACCCAAGAAGGACTCACTGGAAGAATCCTCTACGGATTCGACGGTTGGCTTGGCAGAGCCTCTAGTTCTTAGCGATGATCAGGATGTGGTCGAAACACCAATTGAACAGAAGAACAATGATGGCCATGAATCCGAAGCCTCAATCGAAGAATTGGCCGTGCAAATTGAAACACCAAATAAAACTCAATCTGAGGTAGACTTGAATGCTTCGAGCATTATTGGTGCTCCTAAATCGCCAATTTATCCTATTGACACCAGCCAAGCTAGTCGTAGTGAGAGCGAGGAAACTACGACAAATCCTGTCGATGAATCTTTAATCATAATGCAAGAGGATTCAACGCTTGAGTTGGATGCGTCGAATGCAGCCGACGAGTCATCAAGCCAACATCTAAGTAAAGTTCCAGATGAAGCGGCAAATGATGAGTCACTGATTATGCTAGATTCTTCAAATGCAGCTGAGGCTGATCTTGATCCAGAAGCGGAGAGTGTTGAAAAGCAGTCTTCTGCTGAAGATGCCAATGAAGCACTTATTCTTGATCAACTTGATAAAGAACTAGATACGATTACAGCCACTGCCGAAGAATCGCCAATTGGCATAAATGCAATTGAAGAAGCTCTTAAGGCGTCCATCGAAAAAGAATTAGAGCATGACGAGGTAAAAGATGCAAAAGAAGCTGAAACACCTTTACCTAAAGATTCAACAGAAGAGCTTGAAGCTGAAACTGAAATTGAAACTAAACCAAATCAGCAAAAGGCAAGTATTGAAGAATCAGCAGCTCCGTTGGAAATTGTAGACTCAAAAGAAGCAAAATTAAACAGTTCGAGCTCAATTGATCTAGTAAAGGAAAGCACAACAAAATCTACAGGAAATTTGGCAAATGTGTCGGTTGGGACTAACCTGGATACTTCAGTTGTAACAGCAGCTAATACGGTTAAAGAAAATCTTGTTAAATTAATAATTCCTGACATTATTATAACATCTCCTGAAATAACGTCCATGGACATTCAAGATCAAAATGAATGTCAAGTCGAAACTAGCCCTCTAAGTGATTCGTCAATCGAAGGGTATGCTTCAACTGTAGACGAAAGTAAACAGATCGAAGTAACATCTACACAAGCCAAGAATGCTGCAGCGGACAATTCTAAACTACAGCAGGAAGTCCAGGAAGCTTTGTCAACATCTACTAAAGAATTGTCGACCAACAAGGAGCCATCAAAGTTAAATGAGTCCGACAATGTGGACAACGAGCAACAGATCGCATCGCTGGAGATAGAAACAACTAAGGACGAAGAGGAACTGAACGATACCACAGAAGAAGATACTCCCCAGGCAGATCTAGAAACGAGCGCCACAAGCCAGGAAGAGTCGTTAGTCGTTGAGCTTGATGATGAAATTGAAAACAAATCCGTAGCAATTGAAAAGTCTGTTGATATCCCATCGAGATCTTCAGAAGAATCAACAGCCGACACAAATGAAGTTGAGGCTGTTGCGGAAACGATAAATTTAGATGATTCAATGATTGAACTAAATGCATCAGTTGCACTCAAAAGCGATAAGGAGGAGCAAGAAGTCAATGAGGTGGTGTCCGAAGTGTTATCCGCATCAGTTGAGAAACCCGTAACTGAGGATGACGAAACAGATGTAACTGCTGAGGAAGACCAAAACGAGTCTTTAATTGAATTGGATACTGCAGATCCAGCTGAAACAAACAATGGACAGGCTTCGATTGATGAAAAAGATTTTAAAACTGAATCAAAATCTGCTAAAACAACATCAATTGCGATTGATGAAGACCCAAACATGACTCAGATCGATGATGAAGTCAGAAATGAATTTGACATTCAACTGGACTCATCACTTGCAACAGCAGATGTTGAAAAAGATGCTGAAATCGTATCCATATCTTCGAGTAAATCGTCAATGGAGGCCATGGACACAAATAAAACTGACCCATTGGAGTCTTCTAACACGGATGAATCCATTATCGAATTGGCTGCTGATGATTCACTTTTAGCTGAATTTGATGAGACTGAAATCGACGAATCTGCTGAAATGTCCCGAAATAAAGACGAAACTGCGCCTAATGATCCAAATTATGATGTTCAGGTTGTGGAAGTTTGCGCTGTTGAAGAATCTTCAATTTGTATTATTGATTCAAAGATAGCTCAGAATGTGGTGCCTTCCAACACAGATGAATCCTTGATAGCATTGGATGCTGAGGATAAGGCTGAAATTCAAACTGCTAAGAAGGCTACAAGTGAAGAGCTGTCCGATGAAGAATCTGCGCCTGAAGTTAAAAAGGATACAGTTCAGGATGAGGGAGTTGCTGCTGTTGTAGAATCTTCAGTTGAGGCCATGGATACAACTACAGCTGCGAATGTGGATCCTTCCAACACAGATGAATCTTTGATAGAATTGGATGCTGATGATTCAGCTATAGCTGAAATCCAGGAATCGACTGAAAAGTCTATGGAAGAAAAGCAGTCAAATGAAGTGACAAAGGATGACGCTCAGAATGAAAAAGTTTCAGCGGAATCGTCAATTTCGGTCAAGGATACACATAGAATTGAGAATTTAGAACCTTCTAACACAGATAAATCTTTGATAGAATTGGCTTCTGATAATAAGGCCGACATCAAGGAATCTGCTGATCTGACTATAAATAAAGAACAGTCAAAAGACAAAATTGCGTCTGAAGTTAAAAAGGATGTTGTTAAGAAGGGGGAAGTTTCAATTGAGGTTATGGATACAAATAAATCTGAAAATTTGGAGACTTCTAACGCAAATGAATCCTTGATAAAATTGGCTGAAATCCAGGAATCAGCTGAAAAGCCTTTAGAAGAAGAGAAGTCAAATCAAGTTACAAAGGATGATGTTCCGAATGAAAAAGTTTCAGCAGAATCGTCGGTTGGTGTCATGGATGCAAATAAAACTGAGAATGTAAAGTCTTCTAACACTGATGAATCATTGATGGAATTGGCTGCTGGTGATAATTCAAAAATCCAGGAATCTGCTGAACGGTCTATAAATAAAGAGCAGTCAAATGACGAAACTGTGCTTGAAGTAGAAGTTCAGATAGAGGAAGTTTCAGCTGTTGCACAATCGTGTTTTGGTGTTATGGATACAGATAAAGCTGCAAATGTGGAGCCTTTGAAAACAGACGAATCCTTGATGGAATTAGCTGCTGATGATTCAGTTAAAGCTGAATTTGCAAAGGCTGAAATTCACGAAACCGCTGCCCGGTCTATAAGTGAAGAGAAGTTAAATCAAATCGCAAATCATGATCAGAATGAAATAGTTTCAACTGTTGAAGAATCGCCTGTAGAAACTGATGAAGACCAAGTGATGGCTGCTTTGGATACTTCAATTGGAATTCAATCAGTTAGTAAGGAAACAGATGAGGGCTCAACTTCAGCGGCAAAGTCTGTCAATAAAAATCAAGTTCATGTCGAAAAATCATGTGACAATGTGGTTGATTTGGATGCTTCGAGCAACGCTGCAACCAATCTTGAAAAAGAAGTTAAACCATCGCCTACTGAAGAGATCATAGCAGAGGTGGCAGTTTCAGTTTCCAACTTAATCGATTTGCCCTCAACTGAAACTAAAAGTAATCAAAATGGTGCTTCGACCGCTGAAGCAACTCCCATCAAAGATATGTCAGTCGCGATCAAAGATCGAAATCAAGTTAATGACGAAACTAAGCCATCAATTATGGATCAGTCGGAACTGAAAGTGTCAGTAGAAGCTAAAGAGGAACCAACCACTAATGAAAAGTCTTCAGGAGTGCCAGCAATACAAATGGAACAAATTGACGACGTAATTGATTTGGATACAAGTAGTGAGGATGATCTGGAATTAGAAGCAGCTAATCGAATCAAGCAAAGCTCATCTATGGTTCCTCAGCAGCAGGAAAAAGATATGTCAACAATTGCTAAAGAACCCATTGTTGTGGTCCCAGAATTAAATGCTTTCAGTGCCAATGATACTATTGCAGCTGACGAAATAGAAACAAAACAATGCAAAGAAGCTGAAGTTGAGAATCTATCAAAACAATGTGAAAAGAATAAACCCTCAACGGCAGCCGAAGGACAAGATCAAATACATGAGGATGAGATTCCGACAGATGCTTCAGTCGAAGCAACTTCAAGTCAAGTGATTGAATCGAAAGAACCTGTACCTGAGCCTAAGCTCGCGGCAGATAAACAAAAAGCTGCAGCTCTTCTCCCAGAAGAACCAATAATTAAAAAAAGACGCGGACGAAAGCCGTCTGTGGATATTAAAGGATTTGAATCACAAAAGGAGAACAAAGTGGAAGATGTAATCGACAATGACTTGGAACAAATAGATATGTCAAAAGAAACAAGCGAGCAACCAAAACCCACACGACGTGGAAGAAAACCAATGCCAGAAGCGGATAAAGCAGAAGCGCATGCACAGAAGCAACCAGAAAAAGAATTAGGAGAAGAAATAACAGAAGAAGCGCACGTGGATCAGCCAAGAAGACGGGGACGTCCTCGCAAGCCATCAGCGGAAGTTGTTGAGGTTGAAGTTGATACACAACAAACTCCACAGACCAAGCGGCGTCTCCGGAAAGCCTCAGCGGAGGTGAGAGAAACACCTGAACGGATACAACCCACACGCCATGCACGCAAAGCATCAGCGGAAACTGTGGAGGTCGCGGCGTCAATCGATGAACACTTGGAAGTCATAGAGGAAGCTATCGAACCGACGCAAAAGAAGCAACGACTGGAGAATAGAACCGATGCGAACGCGGAGCATAAGCAACAGAAAAGACGTGGCCGCACACCATCGGTTGCCGTAGAGGTTCACCAAGAATCGCTTGAGCCTGTGAAGCCATCGGGCTCGCGTGAGAAGAGCGTGCCGCGACGCGGAATAGCGATCAAGGCGATCAACGAGGCGTCCGCACAAATAGTTGAGCCAGCTGACATTAAGCCAAAGCGACGCGGCAGAAAGCCTACTGCTCAGGTGGAACACGCTGATGACGATCCGTTGGAGTCAATAGAAATATCCACTTCTACTTCAGGGAAGGCCATCAATGAGGCGACCGAACCATTGGTTGAGGCAGCTGACATTAAGCCAAAACGACGCGGCAGAAAGCCTACTGCTCAGGTGGAACACGCTGATGACGATCCGTTGGACTCAATAGCAAAGTCAATTTCTACTCCAGAGAAGGCCATCAACGAAGCGAGCGATCTCGTAGTTGAGCCAGCTGAGATTAAGGCAAAGCGACGTGGCAGAAAGCCTACTCAGGAGACACACACTGACGAGCCGTTACTGGAGTCAATAGAAAAATCCATTTCTACTCCAGAGAACGCCATCATTGAGGCGACCGAACAATTGGTTGAGGCAGCTGAGATTAAGCCAAAGCGACGTGGCAGAAAGGCTTCTGCTCAGGAGACACACGCTGACGCGCAGCCGCTGGAGTCAATAGGAAAATCAACTTCAACTCCAGAGGAGCCATCAGCCGAAAAGCATATAACTCAACGCGGTCGCAAGCCATCGGCTTATGTTGAGGCCCCAGTGGAAGAACCGCCTCAAGCCGAAAAGAAGCTAACTCGACGCGGTCGCAAGCCTTCGCCATATGTCGAGGAACTAGCAGGGGAGCCGCCACAAGCCAAGAAAGTAAACGCTCGCCGTGGAGGCAGGACCTCGTTGTCAGCGCCTAGAGACGAGCTGGAGGTGCCGGTGCCGGTGGCAACTGTGATGACTGCTAGCGACACGGCATCACCAAAGCCCCAGCAGTTGCCCAGCTCCGAGGATGAGCTGACACCACGACGTCGCGAGGGTCGCAACTTGCCACGCAAAAACTATGATGAAACCCACTATGACGATAAGCTTAGCGCTCCGTCACGACGGGGACGTAAGCCTGCCGTCACCAAAGCACCGATTGCATCGCCCACAATCAAAGTGGTTGAAACTGAAGCAGCGCCATTGCCAACAGCGTCGGTGCCCACCACAAAGCAACAGAAGGCAGGAGTGGAACCAGCCATGCTGGAATCTGTGGAATCCAAAACTGCCGCTGGAGAAGTAACTTTGTCAGAGCCCACAAGTGCACAGCGGCGCGAGGGGCGTAATATGCCACGCAAGAACTACAGTGAGACCTCGGACGATGACAAGCCGGGCACATCGCGTGCTCGCCGCATACGTCAGCCGGTAGCCAAGGCGCTGGAGTCGCTGGTGAATGCAGAGGAGCGACCTGCAACGCCCAAACGTCGCAAGGCTAAAGTCGATGACGAGGAGCCGCTGGAGAAGAAGTTTGCAGCAGAGGAGTCCACGCCACAATCCGTGGCCAAATCTCGTGTGGGCACTCGACGTAAAGTAGCCCTTGTAGATGAAATTACAGAAGTCGAAACAGCTACACCAGCGGCCACCAAACGTGGTCCACGTAGCCGCAAAGAAAACGCCACCAGTCAGCACGACGAGTCTGCCTTAGATGTGGATGTGGTGCCGCCCAAGCAGCAGCCCGTCAAGCGCAATGCACGCAAAGCCAAAGCAGTCGAAGAGCAAACAGAAGACGATGTGCAACCGACCAACAAAAGAGGGCGAGGCGCTGCACGCGCCAAGACACCAGTCGCGGAGCCAACCAAAGCTATCGATGTGGATGTTGTTGTTGTGGAACCGACAACGCTGGAGGAAGTGCCGGCCACCACCAAGAGAGTGCCGGCAGCACGTGGACGTGCACGCGCCATCAAGGTCGTCGAGGAGGCGGAAGCCGTGCAGAAGACGGCAACGACTCTACGATCAGCACGAGGTCGCAAGGTGCACTTCGAGGCGACGGTTGCGGCAGAGGCGGCGCCTCAACGTGCCACACGCTCTCGCCGCAAATAAACACATTTATTATTTTAGTATCCTAAAACCGTACGTTTTTGTTTTTTGTTTTATGCGTCCTGTGTACAAAAGAAGAATTGTTTACAGAATGGTAGTATATGTAGTTATGTATTGTTAATTTTTAAGTTACAAACAAAATTAAGGAGACAGTTTGGAAAAAGAAGTTATAATTTTAAGACAAAACACATAAATATGAATACATGAATAAAAGTTTTGAAATCTAGATATACATAATACAAAATGCATATGAATGAATACACATATAAATATAAATACATAAATGGCTTACCTTTTAAGGATTATCATCAAGGATTATTAACTATAATAAACAAAATTCTAACACCCATTCAGAGATTTTTGATTTTTTCTTTACATTGGGCGCAATCAGAATTTGAGAAATCGGTGGACATATTTGAGGATTGTGAAAAGATTTCAAATAAATGAGATTAAATAAAAAACATTTTGTTTAGCTTACGATTGACTTTGCCGTCATTTATTTAATATTTGAATGCTTCATCAATTGTATCGTTATAAAAAATTTGGGTTTTTGGTATAATCGTATAACTAATTCGTTCCTGCTTGTGCTTATCCATATGATTTTATAATTGCATTAAAATAGTAAGAGACTTATCTTCCAATACAACATGCATTGGTATTTTGGGTTTTGGGTTCTACATAACAAGGGACTACAAAATGGTATTATATTGTAGTAAACACTCGCATATAAAAGCTGTCTATATAAGGTATGTATATATTTTTAGTACATAATTCGAAAGAGCTTAGCTTAAAACGCTTGAGAACATATTGTGGCAGAGTTCTTGTATATAAAATTTGTGCCATTTAAGTATAGTATATAAATAAAAGTAAAACATATGTAACAAAGAAAAAGCGATAAATAAATATTAGATTTATAAAATGATAAAGGACGTGTGAGGATTCTGTGTTGCAATAAACATTTTGTAGAACCAGCTCCACTTATCATAAATAGCATCTATGTCAAATAAAGCACAATAAGACTTAGCATAAAACATAAATACGACGTCTGATTATACAATAAAACAGTTATAAAAGTAGCTTCAATTTCACTGGGTAATACTTTCAAGAGCTTCCAAGTATATACACATGAACCTTATACACATCTCAAATGTGTACAAATGTGCGCACTACTAGATAAATTAAATAACTTTGAAAACAATCGGTATTCGTATAAATAAATGTAAATGCAAATGATTCATATTTATGTGTGCGCGTGTGTTTTGTTTTCCTTCTTTTTTTTTCCTTTCTTAAATTTATATATGCTTCGTTTTTTAGGCTTTCATCAAGAGATGCGGCTCGGAGCGCAATGAGTCCGTGAGGTATTGCGTTTTCATTGTTTTCTGAAAATAGCGTTTCTCGTTGGGCGAATTCACCATGTACACAATTGGACGAACGCCCACATTGCGCCACAGATCGCCGATGTGGCTGCAAAATAATTCGTATATTATGTTAGATGTACACACAGATTATTAACATATGTGTATATCAATATGTGTATAGCTTACAAGTTGAATTCTTCCTTGTTGAGAAACACGACACTAATGCCAATTACAGGCGCAATAATATTACGCAAGATTGCGCCATAAATTGAGGTAATCAGCGTTGAGGATTTAAGTATAGACAGCGATAGACAGCTCTCATGCCAAAGACCACATATGATTTCAGGCCTCAATTTGCGCAACTGTGTGGATGTTAATCAAATAAAATTGTCAGTTTGAGTGAATGTGTAGAAAATAATTATATGCAACAATTTGGACAGCATATGGGTTATTTTCGCAAACCTGATAAATGGCCAGCGGCGACCGACTAATGACAACTGTGCGCTGCGTAAACGTTTCATTTGCAGCCATAAACTTCTGCAATTGATCAATCATAGCGGCGCTTGTGTCCTGCAGATTCAGAAACAAAGTGGGCGAAGTCCACTGATCCTCCAGAAAATCGGCAAGCTGCTTTAGTGTGGCAACAGACTCCGTTTCGTACTGAGAGCTGCAATAAATAATATTCATATTAAGAAAAACTATTCAAACTAAATGTTGTAGATAAACAAGACAAATTTCTATGCTTGCTTACCCCATAGGATGGTGCTCTGTGATGCTAAGTTGCTGCAGTTCATGGAGCGTATGATGCGACAGGTTGCCCGTTAGGCCGGCACGCTCCACAGTCAGACGATTGGCAATGACAATTTCGTTGCAGGCAGTTATACCGGCATCCACAAGGACATTGCGATAGCCACGTGCGAGGCACTAAAAACATAAATACAGATTTAGGGTTGTTATTGATTTTTGGCAACAACCACTCATTGTCTGGTGACGTCACACACACACACACACACACACACACCTTTTTGAGAGCTGCCTTTGAGTTTTCGGGCGCATCGTAGCCGGCACCACGATTCGCGATGGGCCAATAATTGGGCCAATCGTCTGGCGTGTTGAGGAGACTGAGTAAACGCTTTTCGTTGGGGCTGCGCTGAAGCTTGACGAATTTCGATGCCACACAAATGATGAGCAGGGTGAGTGTGCACCACGGAATCGCCAGATTGCAGAAGAACCACAACACATTGAAGCAGAAGAAGACGAGACTCACCGAACAGCAGAATAGCTTATAAATCATTTTCAGGCACAGCCAGAACCAGCGCCACCACATTCACCAACAAGACTGCAAAAAGATGCACATGCAAATTGTTTTAATTATTGTTCGTTTCGTTGTTGTTGCCACTCTTCTGATTTATTTATAAACTGTGTCTGTGTTTTGTTAGTTTGCTGATAATTTGCATTTACCCCAATAAGAATGCCCGCCGCCGACCACCGTCCGTTGCCACTCCCTCAAGCACACACCTCACTCTTCGCTTTGCACGGCTTTCTGTGTTGGGCACCTGTATTTCAGTTGCTGACACAATTCGCTTGAATCAAATTCACTTTTGCTCGTTTGCCAATTGACGCAGCGTGTCGTTGTAGGGAAGCCGTTGTTAAATTAAAAGCGCTGCAGAAGCGGTGTGTGCGTAAATTTTCCAATAAGAAGTCAACCTAGCGATGTGCAAATGCTATCAACTAAAGCACGCAACTATCGATAACGTGCGTGCAGCCACAGAATGTGGCGCGCGCTTTTTGAATGTCAGTGAGTAAAGTACATCATGATTATCTCCAAGAATCATTCAAATATCAAAAATAAGTATATTTTTATCACGCAATTTATTATGATTTATGATTATTTAAGACTCTTTTACAATTTGGTTAGCAAACGTACCCAGCGTCTAATAGATGGATGCGACATCCGTGCATAAACACCCGGATAATATGGATCTGTAAATGAGCAAAGTTATGTAACCAAATATAATAGATAAGAATGGATAAGTTAACTCCTACCTGCACATCCAACGCCCCAGGAAACAATGCCAATCAGCTTTCCCTGGGCGACAAGTGGACCACCGCTGTCACCTGTGAATAATTTTCAGTAAACGGATCGTAAATTTAAATGATTGAAGTGCGCATATAAATCATGTTTCAAAAAAACCAGATACAATTCGCTGCATTGACTAATCTGTACAATAATATTCGCATATTTTAAATGCTGCTCCAAGACTGTAAACAATGGAATGTTAATGAAAAAGCAACTCACCCTGACAGGCATCCGTGTTACGTGCTGCGGCACAGAACATACTAAAAAAAAGCACAGAACAAATTAAGATATGAATTATTGGTAAGTATTGTTGCTCGAATCAGGTATCTCGCTTTGGTTACTTACACATCGGTGACACCGCCATGAAACATCAGATTTCTGTGACATTTTTGCTGATTAACCGTCAGCACCGTGGTATATTTTAGCACCGAGGATAGTGTCGATTCGGTGCTACTCATGTGGCCCCAACCCGAAACCACAGCACTTAAGTTTTCCACAATGGGCTCTCCAGACTCGGGCAAGCTAATCGGCGCCGCATTGGGATCCATGGTCAAGGCGCCAATTTGTGTGCGCAGCAGGGCCACATCGAAATTCATGTCCTTGGGATCATAGGTGGGATGCTTATAGATCGTACGCACATTCATCAGGCTGCCCCCGCTGGAACGTCTTACGCTGCCAAGTCGCAGGCTGAATTCCTGAGGCTTTCTCTCATGGCCATCGACGCAATGGGCCGCCGTTATTGCCCAGCTGCCGTCCAACACAGCGGCGCCACAGATGTGTATTGTGAGACGGCGCAGGGACAGCTGATAGGGAAACTCGCCGTCGAACGCCTCCCTGCCATTCACAATGCGTCCATCGGGACGACGTTTCCCAGCTGCTGATCCGCTGGTCCATAGAAGTGAGAATATCAGCACAAGTTGTGCAATTGGCTTCTTCATGGCTTTGCTGACTCTTCAAAACTGAGCGACAGCTGTTGAACATGGCTGGAGTTTTGGTAGGCAGAATTGTTTTGTCAATCAAGCTTCCGTTCCTCTCGCTGGAGTTGCACTTCACCTTATTTTTATCAATTCTCTCTGTTATCTGTTCGTGTTCTTGATTTCTGACGAAGTGAGGTGGTGGCTATAATTAACAATTGTCAGTAGGTCTGTTTTTTTTTTTTTGGTTTTTTCGTATGATTAACTTTTTGTTTTGTAACAACGGCAATGAACTTCTGACTGATTTTTTTGGAGGACATTGTAAATCTCAAATAAATCGAAGGCAATTGTAACTTTTTTAATTAGTTACACATTTTTTATTCTGTCCTGTATAACTATCGAACTATTTACATCGAAATGCATTGAATATTACACAATTTAATACATTAACTTAATTATTGTACGTAATCTTATACCTGTTCTACTTTATTAAATATATTTTCCGCTACAATTTAAAATTTTTGAATTTCAAATTAGAGTAATCGATTTTCTTATACATGGTAAACACCTGAGGCTTGTATTTATCGATGAATCGATATGTGACACATCGCTATCGATTTCTTTTGGGGTTTTTACGCTTTCACAATACGTTCACGCTGCCAAGCAGTCTCGCGCTCAGTCTGCTCCAACAACAACGTCCATATTGGGCACGCTGCGCGTTCTATTGATTAAGTGTTATGTTTACATTGCATTACTTTAACAACGCTTGCTTAAAGCAGCAATAACGGTTTTTATAGTTTTTTTTACAATAAACATCCACAAGTGGAAACATTGAAAATAATTCTAATTGAGCTTCGCGTTTATTTGTGTGTGTACTTCTATAAGGTTTGTTGTTGTTGTAAGGATTACGCGACGCTGGGTGTGTGCGCGTCTGTATGTGTGTATGCTTACAAGCAGTTTTACAAGATGCAGCAAAGCAATTAACGAAAATCCGGCAACACCAACTCCAAATATATATAACAGGAGACTACACAAAGAGGAGGTGCGTAAAATGGGCAAAGGTCACAACACAACAATCAATAGTATTTCCATCCTCACAATAAAAGACACGGATACAATGAACACACACAGACACACGCACACACACACACATTCAAATTCAACCCTCTGACAAAAAAAGAAGGAAAGAAACCGGATTCAAGTTTAGTTGAGCAGATTCAGAGACAACTAAATTTGAATTTGTGCTTAACTTAAATCAAATTAACAAAATTGCCGCATGTCGTTGTGTCTAGCTGTATGTATGTGTGTGTGTGTGTGAGTGCGTTCAATTACCGTTACAACGCACCTGACGCAGACCGTCAAGGTTGTCTATCACTTCCCCTTTCACCCTCTCCTTCCCATTCCCCTTCCCCTTTACAAACACACATTTTGTATTTAAGCTGCTATATGGCCAAAAATAAAATGAAACCAAACTAAACAGCAGTCTGGCCACACCAACAATTTTTGCATCTCCTTTTTGCGTTTACAAATTGTTACAAAATTGCTGGTCTTAGCAGGCTGGCGTGTGTGCAGCAGCAGCGTCTTTAATTTATGCAGCAACAGCAGCAGCTCATCTTTATTTAGCTTTTATGCTTACTCATTCTCAGGCGCATTCATTCATTTATTCAATGAGGTTATACTTTGCTTCAATTCTCGCCTTGTGCTCAACTTGTTTCAATGCAATGTTCGTTTTCGTATTGTATAATTCAATTTAAATTGATTTTCTGCTTCTTCTTTCGCACTTAAGCAATTTTTTGTTGTTTTCTTGCAAAGTGGCACCTCTTTATGTATGCTTTCCCCTTTGTCTGTACATGCATATATACATACACATATATATATATATATATATATTACATTCCCTTTTCTTTTTGCTTTCTTTGACCTTTTTTTTATTTCACACACCATACCCGGCACCGGGCACCGAGCACCGACTCCCCGCGTGGCCCCAATACCAGCGGCAGACAGAGACTCGCATATTTGTGCTCTTGAACCTCGTTTTCCCATTCCTAATCTAGCTTTGTCTTATATTAGGTTGTATTTGTCGTTGTTGTTTGATTTTCGATTGCTTCTTTGATGTTTTTGTTGCTGTTCTGTTTTATTTTGTTGTGCGCATACTAATTATTTATATATGTACACATATATTTTCTTTTCGTCTTGTTTGTCCGATTAGGCTTTATATAGGCAATTTACGGCCTTAAGTAACATTTGATGTCAAAACTCATAAGTAAAATTTCTGAATTGCTTTATCAATTTTCTACAGTTAAAATGTCAGCTGCATTATCTGAAATAAGTATGGTTTTGGGTTTTTTTGTTGTCAATTTTTATAATTACACAAATGTTTTCACTAAATATGCAAATTGTTTGTGCAGTTAATCAAATAAATTTGATGGCAATGAAAAAATGAAATGAAAAATGAAATTGAAAAAAGAGAAAAGAAAAAAGAAAAACACAATTTTTAGGAATTTGCGAACTTCGAATTAGCGATTTGGAACCGTGTTTTACCGTGTATAGCGTGTCGCTAATCGTAAAAACATAATTAGCTTACTTGCTTTAAACATGTCAAAGCAACCGTAACTACGCGCAGCATGCGAGATTTGATAGCAACATTAAAAATATGCCATTAACATTTTAACAATTATGGTATTTAAAATAATTATTACATTCGATAGCTCTGCCAGACAATTTTATAGTCTTGTTTTATTAGTTCAGCATTGTAAGTTTAAGAAACAAATCCACTTTGTTGAGCAATAATTGCTCTTATCGTCTGTTGTGTTAGGCAGAAATTTAACCAAGAAAATGTTGTTTACACTTAAATTCACAAGTTAAAATCGGCATAATGAAAAAAAAAACCGTGTCAAAAATACCATTTTAAAATAGTTCACAAAAAATATTAATATTCAGCAACAATCATTTACTTAGTGGAATTGGAATTGAGTTCCATTTGTTGTGGGGCATTCGGTATGTTTCCGTATATCGTGACTTGAATTTGGAAATGCCATTTAATGGACACAATGCCGTCAAAATATTGGCCGGTTCACTGACTCTGTAACACTGTTAACACAGGAGTTGAGGATGGCCTGCAACACAAAATTGCAACAGTTCAAATTACAATGACAACAACAAAATGAAAATGACGGCAACAAACGATGACGACAACTGACGGGCAATGTCGCTTACAGTTAAACTAAAAACAACCACAACAATACCAGAAAGAACCGTTATCATTCCAGCAACGCACTTGCAAATACACTCATAATCTTGGACTCTATTATTGAATCAATCAATAGGACTTACAACATATAATATACGAGAACAGAAACCAAATTTGTAAATCATCATTTCTGATTGATTTAGACAAACAGCTAAAATACACATTTGAATCGATGCTTTTTCTTACTGTTTTTGTTTTCCTAGTGATGCAAATATTTGCTTTAGATATGTCTTCCATTTCGCTAGCCGCTATGGCCTCTGTAAGGGTATAAAAACCATATTAAACCGCAAAACAAAAAAAGAACAACAACAAATATAAGTACAAAGCAAATAAAACGAGATTTCAATGCAGGAATTTCCATTTCCATTACAAATGCTGATGTTGTTGTTGTTTTCGCTGTTGTTGTTGTTGTCGTTGTTGTTGTTGTTGTTGTTGGCTGCTTGGCTGAGTTTTGTCAACTGTGATGGCAGCATTGCAGCTACCGGTTGCGGCTATATGGATGGGGGATTGGAATGGTGCCCATTCGAGTCTCCGCGTTGGCTATGGGAAAATCGGTGCTGCATTTGCAATTTGACAAACGTTGCACGCCACGCACTTCGAGTGACTGCTGGCTCTTTTCTACCGTTACGTTTTAGTCGAGTGCAGCACAGCTCAACTATCACTTGCGACCTGGGCCCACAGTGTGTATTGCCTGCCAACTTGGGAGTTGCAACGTGAACGGGGCCAGTGACTGACTAACTGACTAACTGTCTGCTGTCTGCTGTCTGCAACGCAATTGACCTGCAAATCAAGAGAAATGTCCTGCCACACTGCCTTGCGTTGCGTTTATATATCGCTTTGTGGTGTGCCACTTGGTGCAACGAGGCCAGCTGCTCAAGATGCCTTTTTTCGTTATATATTTTTTTTCTGTTTTGCCACAAGACGGTTGTCTCTAATTTCTGGCATACATTTCGACGAAAATTGAAAATTGCCATCAATTTTGCCAAGACACAAACTGCATTGCATATGCTTTTCCGGATAAGAAATTATGGCTCTAGCAGTTCAACATAAAAGTAATTAAGTTAACAGTTAACAGTTATATAACAGTTACCAAGATTAAAGGATAGCAAGTCTATAAATGATATGATTTAATAAATATGAGCATGAAATACATATTATATATTAATATAGAAAAGGATTTAGTGGCAAAGTTAAATCGTACAAATTTAAATCTGCTACTCGTGCAGAGTAATCCTTTAAGCTCCAAGTGCAGCTTCTCTATGAACAAAATTTGTTAAGTGATGCCGCACAAGAGATCGATGTACAAAAGTCTTCTTTTTTGTGTTTTTATTTTTTTTGTAGATGCGGCGCCCTTGTGTCAGTAATGCCACTTGCACTTATTCGTCATCTTCACGTCGAGGCGACTCGTTGTCGGATTTAGCGTAGGCTCGAACAGCCAGCTTTTTTCAAGGGCCTGTGCCAATTCCCCGGTTGCAAGCGCTTCTCTCTGTTGTTGTCTGTTTTGGTTGCTGACTGCCTCTGCTTGTGGCTCGTCTGGTTCGTCGTCTTGTGCCACGCAATCAATAAACAGCGACCTTCTCCACTTAAATGTTACTTGATTCTTTGTTTTATTCTTAAGCTCTCCGCTTTATATTTCTTTCGCTTTTAGGGCCGGGCCACTCGAGCTGAGCCGCCTACTGTTCTGCGCTTCCCATCTTCCACGTCCGTTACCGAACATGGATTTTTCCCTTTTATTTTTACAGGCAGGCATTCCACAACAGTTAATTGCTGCACTCAACTGGGCTCAGCCACAGCCCCGGCTAACTCCCAGCCCAACGCAGTCCTCCAGGCGAACGTGGTGCAGCCTTGAGTCTTGCCAATTTGCCAAAGACATGAACTCAATGCGCTAAGAGGTTCGCAGATTAATGCCCTGGTAAAGGTTTCCACGCCGTTGCCGTACGAGCTCTTTACAACTTAAATCGCTCTTGGGCAACAGGGTTCAAGAACTTTACAACAACTGCAATAAAAGTAGACTATAGAAAATTAAATAACATTATCTATATAAATATAGAGCACAAATCAAGGCCAAAATGGGATTACCTATGCAAATCCATTCAGTTTTAATATATATGTAGTTATATGAGTTGTATATTTAGAAAGGCATTTTCAATTGGGTTAAACCGAAATGCAAAACATATTTTGCATGAAAATCACTTTGCATTCAGTTTAAGGGGAGAATGACTGACGAACGTGAAATCTTTTTAAAAATCACTTCACAATGTACAGTTAAAAATACAAGTGCAAATGCACGAGCTGAATAAAAGCAGCAAAACACAAACAAAACGCATTGCTGGCTGAGGGAAACCACCAAGCGTTTTTGCCCCCGCAACCAAAAGGAGAGCAGCTGGCAGCTCTTCCCCCTTCCCCATCACCTTGCTCTTTCCATGTTCTTTCCCTTGCTCTTTCTCTTGCTCTTGTTACTGTTGTTGTGGTTGTCGTCGTTGTCGTGGTTGTCGTCGTTGCCGTTGTTGAGCCGAGTCAATGAGCGAAGTTTAAATCGCAGTCGAAGTTTGATGGAAGTCGTTTGTTCGTTCGGTTCGCTTCGCTCAGTTGCGTTTTGTGCGGCATCGTCGACGGTTGGCTGAAAAGCAAACTGCTCCTCTAAGCGTTTGTAATTTAATTGGTTGTGCTTGCACCTGCATCAACCTCAACGGGTGTCCCTGGGACAGTACGTGAACAACTTATCCCGAAATTCGAATCCAAAACAGAAAGTTTGTCCGCTTTTGTTCAGCCGTTCAGCCAGCCTTTAGTGTTTTTTTTTAATATGCCGTGACTGAAATTGTTTTTAATTAAGCGGAGGGTAAATGCAATTACGAACAATACAACGGCCAGTCGGTGGATCACTAAGTGGCGCGAATTTCAGTCTTGGTAATGTGCAACCGCTTTAAAGTGCCGCATTGTTCTTTAATTTCATATATAATTATTCCTGGATTTACTTTGCGTTTCTGTGTGTTGATTTATGTGTGTGCTTTTTATTATTTTTTTTGCTTTTACTTCTGTTTTTCTTTGTATGGCAATAGTGCACTGGCACTTTGTCCAGGACTCCAGACTCGGTGGCATGGCATTAAAAGTTGTAGCACAACTTCTTTGATTTTATACAAAAGTTGGGGTTTTTACAATTTAAAATTCAAATGTTGTTACTTCTGTGGTATCAGATCCCTAGAGTTGTTCTCCACCACATAAATTTACATCCAGATATGTATAATGTTTTATAAATTAAGTTTTTGCGCGTTTTCTTTATTTTTATTCAATTTGCCCTACACATTTTTCCCCCCTTTTCCGGTTCTTTTCCGTTCTCTGTATCCATTATATCCCCAGCTTCCGGTTACTGGGCCTGGCGCTTTGCAACCCACTTACTTAGTAAACGCTTTCTGTTCTTAATTTCATTTATTTTCTACTTTTTGTTTTTAATTATTTCATCCATATAATTTGTTTTGACTTTGACATACTATTTAAAATTATATAAAACATTTCCTTTCTGTTTTTGGACTTTTGACATGTCCAGTTCTAAGTTAGCTACCAAATAATTACTTAAATATATATATTTTGCGGAAGTCCTTAATTTTTTAAAAATTTCTGATGTCAATTTGAAATTAAATTTTAAATCTTTATCCTCAATTTAAATCTCATAAGTCAATGTATTTATTTAGTTGTTTCAACAAACTATTCAATTTTATTTCTCTTTGTTACTCCTCAATTCCATCTAAAAGGGCAGGGGACGTATCGATTACCTTTAGCACTTTATTTAGATAAGGCTATAGATATTATGGCCTACACACACACACACACATGCACACATGCAGCTAAGAACTTGTGTCACTAAAATTAGCTTGCAGACCCCCACAAGGGGCATTCGCTGCATGCTGTGTTCCATTTATTCCATTACTGCATACTTGGCTCGTTTTCCTCCACACAGATCCCCCCCGCGCGCGTATAGTTCGTTTCCATTCGATTCGCTTATTGTTGCTGGCGTGCCGTAAATTTTCCGGTGGCATCCCGTTTGCAGCACTTTTTTATGCCGCTTGAGATGGACAAATGTCGTGTTTTTTATTGCAACACGAACACCGATTTCGTACATGGCTGACTTGACAGAAATAGAAAATATATATAAAAGTTGCTGACTTAAAAACTAATAATAAATTGCCTAATATTTTACTTTATCTATATTACACTTGCCATTGTGCATATTGATGTCTTCATGTATATGTATCAAAAGTGCTGAAAGTTTTCCAAGTGTTTTGACTAGTTGCCAATATTCGATATGCGCACATCTCTAATTGGAACTTTATCTTTGACTTGGACATTGTCTGACGGCTGTTGTCTATGGCTCTTCAAGCGACTTTATTATTATTATTATTTGTCATGTCATCATGCAATCATATCGTTTTACCATATAAACTGCGACGCGCAATATAACCGTCGCATCAGCGTCGACTTTGGCTTAGGCTTTCGGTCACGGCATCGGTACAGTACGCTCACCATAAACAGTTTAACAACAATTTGGCTTTGATAATTCAGCCAGTTGGTAATGATGCGTAACTGAGCGAGGAGTGGCGAGAGCGGGTGGTAATCATGATTTGGCCAAAATAGTCTGATACACGTAGTGTCGAATGTTACCGGTCAATAATGGTCATTTAGTTACAGTTAACTGACTACGGCCATAAACGATACAAAAATTCAACTAGTGCGGAAACTGGCCTCAATTTTAGGTGAGATAGCATTTGATGAATCAATTCCTAATGAGCATCCATTGAACGACTCATATAGTACTTCACAAATGGGGCAAGTGTGTGCATTTAGTGCGTACCTTAAGTACTACTTCACGAAACCTACGAAACAGCAACGTAATTAAATATCAACAAAAGTGTAGTAACAATTTTTGAAGCAAGTAAAATATCTTCCAGTTCCCACACAGGTTCCGCACGTATATACTTAATAATTACATGATGAGTAACTGTAAACCTGTTTCACATACATACACATATAACATATATATACATATATATATATATATATATATATATGTGTGTGTGCGTGTGTGTAATTTCCCAGCATTTAAAGTGCATGAAAATGAGAAAACCAGAAGGAAAATTTCATAATCAATGCAATAAACGGCTCCATTGTTTGCGCTGTTTGGACGGCTGTTTCTTGTTTTATCGCCGCAAGGAAAAGCAAACGGAAAACCCAGCACAATATTCAAGTTACCGAAGTTTAAATGCACTTCCAATGAATGAATGTTACTTTGGGTGTATTTGAATTTCAAGACAAAAATCTGTAGATTAATGATCTGATTCAGACTATTTTTGAGGCAGTCCAAAGAAATTGAAATGATTACTTTCTATTCTTAAATGACTCTTTTAATTGCCTGACAATAATAGTAGTCCCTTCAAGAGTACAAAGAAACGGGAATAAAATATGTTCTTGCATCTCATCGTTTGTCTTTTATGAACAAGGAAAGTGTGTAAAAATAAAATTATTCACGCCCCTTTGAGGCAAGCTCCAGAACATAAAACTCTCACGTTTCAAATTTGATGACCTGGCACTTTTGTGCTTTATCAGCGCTTTGCAGTATAGAATACAGTGGTCTGCTTTAAAGCTAATATTTATCAACACTTCTTGCAAAGTGTTCAAATGCGAGTACTTAAGTGTCTCTACAGCTTACGGAATTCACTTTCATGTTTATTTAATGGCGTAATTCATGGGAAGCAAATTGCAAGTCGTTTAAAACTACAAAATTACAAGAAGCTCACGAAATGGTTTTAATTATTTGCATACAATAAACAGAAGTAGTCAGTTCTCAAGTGAGATTAGGTTTGCTTAATTTCCTCAGGCAAATAAATAAAAAAGAACTCAAATAAGTTTGAGTTTAATTTGTGTTTCACTTAGTTGAACGTTCAAGTTAAATTCAGCTTGCTCGTTGAAATATTGTTATTTTTATACAAATCATACTTTTATGGATCAAACAGTATTGCTTATTAATTGCATTCATATTTCCACTTTATTCAATTTTTCACTTAGTCTTCTTTATGATTATTATTATAGATTTTCTCTCTAATCATGATTAATACATTCAATTAAGTTTCTACAACACCTCTTTGAGTTATTCTCTTACATATCTGTTTCAGGAGACTTTCAATTAAATTAATCGATATTTGCTGCTCTTTAATTGCAATTATTAAACTATAAATGCCATAACTAATTAATTTATGCTCTATGAGTGGTTTGCCAAGGAAGTCTTTATATCTACGAGCCACTTTCACAATAATTATGGCCATAATGCCTTGACCACTTTTAGACGAGCCGATTATATAGTTCTGAAAGCAAAAAAAAAACAAAGAAAACCACAATCACTTTGCCCCTTTTGAAAATGGCACAGTTTAGGGGTGTTGCTGACATCATTTAGCAGAAGAAAAAACTATATATACTTATATATATATATATAAATGTTGAGAACAAAAGTTTTCTTGGCTTGCATTACATTAAATTCGCGTTCTAAAAGATTCACAAGCTATCCCAAGCACAGAAAGAGCACAGGAAGCGTAGATTCTTTTCCAGGAACTTTCAATTCAAATTATTTCATCAAGTTTCCATGGCTATAATATAAACAATGCAACATTTTCACATTATTTATCTACACTTTTGACCACATAACCATAATTTGTAATTAAGAGAACATAACAGTTCTCCAACAATCAATAAAAGCAGACCTGTTGAATGAACTGCCAAAGGGCAAAAAACAAAACAGAAACAACTGCAAAATCTCCTAATTTATGTTTTAAGACGCGAAACAAGACAACTAACGCACTTCCTGCTTCAAGTTCAGAGAGCTGATTGGTGAAGTATGATATAAATTTTAATCAGAAAACGGCTCAAGAGTCAGACAGCTGCAGGATATGATCGGAATTGGGAGAAAAGAATATTAAATGAATTGCTATTATTTAATAAACTTTAAAGCCGGACCTCGAAATATGATCCCAAATACGGAATGTGTTTAAAAATTGTCTCCTTTCTTTTTAATTAACTTTATTACTATATATAGCAACTTGCCGTGTTGGGGAAAAAACACGTTTCAAAACAATGTCGCAATCAATTTTAACAGGATCTTCACACTGGACTTGCAGTAATTGCCACGTGATCGAAGAATAAAGATATAATTTTGCAGTTGAAAGATAAAGATAAAACAATGATCTCAAATTCATTCTCCATTAAGGATCTTTAATTTAGTTGTTATTTGAAAAGTTATCATTTAACACAAAATACATATAATTTTTCTTTGTGAGCTAAAATGATGAGTTTCAAGAACTTGTTATTTACAGCAAATTTACCGCTTGATTAGACATAAAAATTCTTTCCATATCATAAATTCTATTTGAAATATTTCGCAAAACTTTTGTATTCGTAGTGTTTTATTTTTGGTGGGGTCAAATGTCAAACCTTTTGTGTTGTTGTTGTTGATATTGTTGCTGTTGTGCATATGTCAAACAAATTCTCCGTAAAAATGACTAACTGCTCTTTTGTGAGTTTACTTATAATGGTTGTCGTTTTGGTTGCTGCTCTGCACGTATATATATATATATATATATATATATATATATATATATATAGAGATAGATATTTTTGTATATATGCATGTGTGTATTTGTATGTGTTTTAGCTCGTCCAACGGCTTTCAGTCCCCATGGCGCTGTTTGGTGATGTTGTTGCTGTTGTCGCTGTTTGGTTCGTTTAATCTGCTTTTGGCTCGATTGCAACTGACATCGACATAAAGCAATTTGTGTGTTCTTGTTGTTTTAGTGGCTGTTGTTGTTACTAGTTTGAGCTGTTGGAGAGTGGGCGTATATATATATATATATATATGCAGTTTTTAA